ACCTGATTCCCAGGATGCCGGACGAGGTGGGCCATTGGCCTCATCCTGCGGGCTCTTCTGCGGGTGTTCAGAGGAATACAGTCCCTGACATTGTGGGTGATACATAGCAACCCTGGCTTTTGATATAATAATAATTATTATTATTATTATTATTATTATTATTATTATTATTTATTATTTATACCCCACCCATCTGGCTGGGCCTCCCCAGCCACTCTGGGCAGCTTCCAACACAATATTATTATTACTGGGAAAACCATAGCTTTAACTATATGGACCTTTGTTGGCAAGGTGATGTCTCTGCTTTTTAAGATGCTGAATAATAATAATAATAATAATAATGTATTATTTGTACCCGCCCATCTGGCTGGGTTTTCCCCAGCCACTCTGGGCGGCTTCCAAGAAAGATTAAAAATACATTACAATGTCACACATTAAAAACTTCCCTAAAGACGGCTGCCTTCAGATGTCTTCTAAATGTCAGGTAGTTGTTTATCTCTTTGACATCTGATGGGAGGGCATTCCACAGGGTGGGTGCCACCACCGAGAAGGCCCTCTGCCTGGTTCCCTGTAACTTGGCTTCTCGCAGTGAGGGAACCGCCAGAAGGCCCTCGGCGCTGGATCTCAGTGTCCGGGCAGAACGATGGGGGTGGAGACGCTCCTTCAGGTATACAGGACCGAGGCCGTTTAGGGCTTTCAAGGTCAGCACCAACACTCGGAAACGTACTGGGAGCCAATGTAGGTCTTTCAAGACCGGTGTTATGTGGTCTCGGCGGCCGCTCCTAGTCACCAGTCAAGCTGCCGCATTCTGGATTAATAGCCGTTGAGTGATAGCTGTATTCTCCATTCACTTGCCCAACGAAAGCCATCCAGCTTCTTCCCACTTCTGCCCCATAGGGTTGCCAGGGAGATCACAGGGAGCAGCCCCTGGAAACAGAGGTTAATTGGGAGAAGGCAGCCAAGGAGGTCAGACGCCCCCACCCCAGGGTCTATGAGAGCCAGTGTGGTGTAGTGGTTAAGAGCGGTGGACTCTGTAATCTGGTGAACCGGGTTCGATTCCCTGCTCCTCCACATGCAGCTGCTGGGTGACCTTGGGCCAGTCACGCTTCTCTGAAGTCTCTCAGCCCCACTCACCTCACAGAGTGTTTGTTGTGGGGGAGGAAGGGAATGTTAGCCGCTTTGAGACTCCTTAGGGTAGTGATAAAGTGATAAAGGGATATCAAATCCAAACTCTTCTTCTCTTCTATGCTATAATTTGCACGCGGCTCATGTTGGGCTGAATTCTGCGAACTGCATGCATAGTTTTCTTCCTTAAAATTAAAACCAAGGTGCTTTCGCCCACCTGGTAAGTCGATCCCTTCACCTGCCACCTGCCAAACCCTTGAACATGTCAAGGAACGTTAAGAGAGGGTCTCTGAGCATATATGGAGTGCACCCTCCCGTTCCCGATACTAAACAGTCACAGCCCATCTTCAGATTCTGGAGCAACTCCTTTCAGTCACATGATTCCCACAATGCCCCCCCCCCTTTAAAAATAGACGCAAATAATGGTTAATTTTTTTGACCTCGTCTCACCCTGAGTAGCTTTGAAATCCATTAATGCAGCGGTAGCAACCCTTCGAGACTTCTCATGTTCCCTTGTCCTAACTTCACATTCCCTGTCCGTGTAACAGCGGATATTGAATAATCTTTGGGGCCATTCCAGGCTCTCTCGCTATTTTTCTGGTGGGATTCAATCCCCTATGGGATCAAACCACAAATTTAGGTTGCACAATTACAGCCGATTGGGGGGTCTTGCACATCAAAACCCTCTTCCCCAAAAGATTGCAGACTTCTCATCTAATCTCTCTGCAAACAAACAATGATGCTCCTTAAACAGCCAAAATATCTAGGTAAAGGATAAAGGGACCCCATACCATTTGGTCCAGTCATGGCCGATTCTGGGGTTGCAGCACTCATCTTGCTTTACTGGCCGAGGGAGCCGGCGTACAGCTTCCAGGTCATGTGGCCAGCATGACGAAGCCGCTTCTGGCGAGCCAGAGCAGTGCACGGAAACGCCGTTTACCTTCCCACAAGAGCGGTACCTATTAATCTACTTGCACTTTGACGTGCTTTTGAACTGCTAGGTTAGCAGGAGCAGGGACCGAGCAACGGGAGCTCACCCCGTCATGGGGATGCGAACCGCCGACCTTCTGATCGGCAAGCCCTAGGCTCTATGGGTTTAACCCACAGCGCCACCCGCGTCTAATCTCCTTGCAAACACCCTTAACAATCTATAGTTCCCAGGATTCTTTGGGGGGGCGGGGAAAAGAAGCCATGACTGTTTAAAGTGGTACGATACTGCTTTAGACAGAGTGTGGATAGACCCATGTTATATTTGTGTTTTGTGTTAGTGAGGGGTAGAATTTAGGTTTCCGGCCTCAAGTACCGAAACAGACTGGGTGGGACCTTTTTAATGGCACCCCAGAAGCAGAGTTGGGCTCTGTTGCCGAAACCCACAGGAAGATGTGGCGTGGATTAGGCCTTCCTGGTGAAGCGCCCCAAAAAGCTTCTTCTCTCTCCCTCCCTCCCTCCATCTCTGTCTCTCCTTTTCTCACCTTCCTTCACATTCCAGCAGCCTTCTCCTCAAGGAGACTGGAGGGTTTTCATCTGGACCGCGTTGCCACGGCAACGGGATGCAGGCCGGGCTTAGGGGAGGCGGATGGATTTGGACAGGAAAGGGGAGAGGGAACCGTGGAAGGGCCTCCAAACCGCAGCTGTGCCATTTTATTTCAAGGCTGCTTAGGATGAGACAATATCGAAACGTGAACAGGAGGACGGGTGCGGCACCTCGCCTGCCCTCTGCCCCCCATCGCCTGCCCCACAGCCATCTCCCTGGCAAGGGCTGCAGTCATATAGTCCTTCTCCGCCTAACCCTCTTTCAAAGCCGCCCAGGTTCATGGCCAGCGCTCAAGTTGTCTAACTCCCTTTTGAAGCTGGTTGGCCCTCACTGATTCTTGTGGGAGGGAGTTCCGCAGTCTAACTAGGTGCTGCCTGGGGAAAGTTTCATCTGTCCTAAATTTTCCAGTGTTCAGCATCATTGAATGTCCACACATTCTAGTGTTATGAAAGAGGGAGAGAAACTTTCCTCTATCCTCTTTTTCCAAGTCATCATCATCATCATCATCATCATCATGTTTTCGGGGGACAGGGGGCGGGCAGGTGTGAGGACTCCCTGGTCCTGAATGGGGTAACTGTGCCCCTGAAGGACCAGGTGCGCAGCCTGGGAGTCATTTTGGACTCACAGCTGTCCATGGAGGCGCAGGTCAATTCTGTGTCGAGGGCAGCTGTTTACCAGCTCCATCTGGTACGCAGGTTGAGACCCTAGCTGCCTGCAGACTGTCTCGCCAGAGTGGTGCATGCTCTGGTTATCTCCTGCTTGGACTACTGCAATGCGCTCTGCGTGGGGCTACCTTTGAAGGTGACCCAGAAACTACAACTAATCCAGAATGTGGCAGCTAGACTGGTGACTGGGAGCGGCCGCCGAGACCACATAACACCGGTCTTGAAAGACCTACATTGGCTCCCAGTACGTTTCTGACACAGTTCAAAGTGTTGGTGCTGACCTTTAAAGCCCTAAACGGCCTCGGTCCAGTATATCTGAAGGAGCGTCTCCACCCCCATCGTTCTGCCCGGACACTGAGGTCCAGCGCCGAGGGCCTTCTGGCGGTTCCCTCACTGCAAGAAGCCAAATTACAGAAAACCAGGCAGAGGGCCTTCTTGTTAGTGGCACCCGCCCTGTGGAACGCCGTCCCACCAGATGTCAAAGAGAACAACAACTACCAGACTTTTAGAAGACAGCTGAAGGCAGCCCTGTTTAGGGAATCTTTTAATGTTTGATGCGTTACTGTATTTTAATATTGTGTTGGAAGCTGCCCAGAGTGGCTGGGGAAACCCAGCCAGATGGGTGGTGTATAAATAATAAATTATTATTATTATTATTATTATTATTATTATTATATCATCATCATCATCAGTATACCACACCTATCTGGCTTCTTTTACATCTCCGCTTATCGTCTTGCCCCTTGCTCGCCTTTTCTCTAAACTAAAAGGTCCCAAATGCTTCAACCATTCCTCATAGGGTCGCCCCTCCACCTGCTTGATTCTTTCAGTGGCCCTTTTCTGAACCTTTTCCAACTCTGGGATATCCTTTTTTGAGGCAAGGTGACCAGAACTGTGATGTGCATGGTATTCCAAATACGGTCTCGCCATAGATTTGTAAAATGGCATCAGGATCTTGGGCAGTTTGGTTTTTTGAATCCCTTTCCTAATGCATATTGCACCCTCTGCCCAAAGTCCTCATCTGAAATGGCCCGTTGCCTTGGACCACTGTGAACGATTTTAAGTTTCCTCCCTGCAAATCAATATGGCTGGGGCTGATGGGAGTTGTAGTCCACAGCCCTGAGATGTGCGGATGAAGGGCGGACTACAAATTCAATAAAAAACAAAACATATGGAGGGTGTCAGGTTGGCAAATTTGACCTAGCTTGTATATCGAGGCAAGCCTTTTTTAAGCCTCTTATTCTCCGTAACTCCAATCTTCTTAGATTGTTGGGAATCTCCCTCCTGAGCTAAATGCTAGGATTCTTTCTCCTCCTCCGAAATATGAACTTAACGGGCGCAGTCTTATTTTAATTCAAAATTCTGAAACGGGCATATGGATATGCTACAAAGCACATTTATCAGCCGTTCCTAAAACGATCTCCTATTCCACCCCCTCCGCCCCAGTTCCGGCCCCAGAAGATAAGACTTAAAAACAGAAGGTTTACATGATTTCGGGATTATTTAAAGACCAACTGTAGGTGTCTGTTTTTGCAAGGAACATATGAAGAAGAGATGATGTCTGAACAAAATTCTGCCCAAATTTCTTCTTCCCAAGCGCCCCACACTAACCCAACCAGCTAAGCTAAAGGACTTTGGTGCTCTCTAGTGGCGCTTTGAGAAAACGGCAGAGCAAGGAAAAGTTGGCATCTGCGACTGTGTTTTGGTCTCAGCCGCCAATTGGGAGTCTCTCTTGTGGTACCCGGAGGGTAGGTTGGTTGCTTAGCAATGGCAATACGAACCGCTCATCACCTGCCGGGCCAGGTAGCAAACGCTTTCTATGCCGGGTGATGCGATGTAGCTTCAGAGCTCGGGCTCCGTTAAGCAGCTAGGGTTACCAGCTTCTTTTTCTGATGCAGCTCCTCTGCTTTTCACCCTGCCCTGCCCTGAGAAAAGCGTTGTCGATGGGCTTCGGTGATTTGAGACTCTTCTCACGGTGGTTTTGCAGGGGACGTTCCTGCTCATCTTTCGGAGTCGAAGGCCTGGAGGTCTCCCCAAAGACCTGCCCTGGCTGGGGAAGGACAGCAGCTCAGCGACAGAGCACTTCCCTTGCGGGCAAAAGGTCCTGAGTTCGAATCCTGCCAACGGCTCCTGGTGTTGTTGATTAGTCGTTTAGTCGTGTCCGACTCTTCGTGACCCCCTGGACCAGAGCACGCCAGGCACTCCTGTCTTCCACTGCCTCCCGCAGTTTGGTCAAACTCATGTTTGTAGCTTCGAGAACACTGTCCAACCATCTCGTCCTCTGCCGTCCCCTTCTCCTTGTGCCCTCCATCTTTCCCAACATCAGGGTCTTTTCCAGGGAGTCTTCTCTTCTCATGAGGTGGCCAAAGTATTGGAGCCTCAGCTTCAGGATCTGTCCTTCCAGTGAGCACTCAGGGCTGATTTCCTTCAGAATGGAGAGGTTTGATCTTCTTGCAGTCCATGGGACTCTCAAGAGTCTCCTCCAGCACCAGAATTCAAAAGCATCAACTCTTCGGCGAGCAGCCTTCTTTATGGTCCGGCTCTCGCTTCCATACATCACTAACTGGGAAAACCATAGCTTTAACTATACGGACCTTTGTTGGCAAGGTGATGTCTCTACTTTTTAAGATGCTGTCTAGGTTTGTCATTGCTTTTCTCCCAAGAAGCAGGCGTCTTTTAATTTCGTGGCTGCTGTCACCATCTGCAGTGATCATGGAGCCCAAAAAAGTAAAATCTCTCACTGCCTCCATTTCTTCCCCTTCTATTTGCCAGGAGGTGATGGGGCCAGTGGCCATGATCTTTGTTTTTTTGATGTTGAGCTTCAGACCATATTTTGCACTCTCCTCTTTCACCCCCATTAAAAGGTTCTTTAATTCCTCCTCACTTTCTGCCATCAAGGTTGTGTCATCTGCATATCTGAGGTTGTTGATATTTCTTCCGGCAATCTTAATTCCAGCTTGGGATTCATCCAGCCCAGCCTTTTGCATGATGAATTCTGCATATAAATTAAATAAGCAGGGAGGCAATATACAGCCTTGCTGTACTCCTTTCCCAATTTTGAACCAATCAGTTGTTCCATATCCAGTTCTAACTGTAGCTTCTTGTCTCACGTAGAGATTTCTCAGGAGACAGATGAGGTGATCAGGCACTCCCATTTCTTTAAGAACTTGCCATAGTTTGCTACGGATATCCTGTCTGAAGCCCTGGAGAACCACTGCCGGTCAGTGTTGACAAGACTGAACTAGATGACCAGTGGCCCGACTTGCTGTGTTACACACACCATAGGTCCAAAGTGCACACGGCATCCCTCTTGGGAACTGTAGTTTTACGTGTGCTGAGAATTGTAACTCCGCGAGGGGTAAACTACGGTACCCAGGATGCTTTGGGGGGAAGCCCTGCACTTTAAATGTGAGCTGTATAAAGCACATTTAAAACACACAATTTCCCCCAAAGAGCCCTGGGGAACATAGTTTAAGAGCGCTGGGAATTGTAAGCCAGTGAGGGGTAAACTACAGTTCGCAAGATTCTTTGGGTATAGTGATGCGCTTTAAATACCTTCCTTAAAGGTAAAGGTAAAGGGACCCCTGACCATTAGGTCCAGTCGCGGACGATTCTGGGGTTGCGGCGCTCATCTTGCTTTATTGGCCGAGCGTACAGCTTCCAGGTCATGTGGTCAGCATGGCTAAGCTGCGTCTGGTGAACCAGAGCAGCGCACGGAAACGCCGTTTACCTTCCCGCCGGAGCGGTACCTATTTATCTACTTGCACTTTGACGTGCTTTCGAACTGCTAGGTTGGCAGGAGCAGGGACCGAGCAATGGGAGCTTACCCCGTCGCGGGGATTCGAACCGCTGACCTTCTGATCGGCAAGTCCTAGGCTCTGTGGTTTAACCCACAGCGCCACCCGCGTCCTTCAAATACCTTCCTTATGTTCCTATAATTGCATCATTGGTTGTGAGGGGGTGGGAAAGGAATATCCCCTCCCATCCCCAATATATGGAGTTCTGAACTTCTTGGAGGAATATTATGTTGACTTCCTGGACCTACAAGGAGCTCAGGGCGGCTGACCTAATTCTCCCCTGCTTTTAACCTCACAACCAGAGCCTTGTGTGACTGGCTCAAAGCCAGCTTCCTGGCTTTGGGGGAATTCGAGCCTTTGTCTCCTCAGTCTTGGCCCAACACCATAGGCTGCCCTGGTTTTGAACAAATCCACACTTTTTCAGGAAACTGAGAGCTTTTCTGAGCATGCGCTGACTGCCTCTTCATCACCCCGGAGCCTCTCAGCGGCAGAAAAATGTGGCTTCCTAGACACTTATAGGGTGTGGCTTGCAAACCTGAGTCCCAATAATTCAGACTCGGTTCAAAAAATGAGAACACAAAATCTCCAAGTGCCCCAATTTTCCAGGGACAGTCCCGGATTTACAGAAGCCATCCTGGTTTCTGATTTGATCCCAGAATGCCCTGCTAAAGAGAAAAGTAACTGTTAAGTTGTGGGTGAACATATCAGACGACACAGCAATTCTTCAAACAGCTCTTGTTTATTCACAGGCCAGAACAGAACTGAACTGAAGTGTTCAGCCAGCCTGCTTATATAGAGCTCCACTACAATGCAACAGTAACAACTTTCTGTAACTAGCCAATCACTGAACGTCACTTTCAATTCCTTATTTGCATATGTGGACCTGAGTGAAAACTATCTACAGTATCCCCCTGCTGGCCCAGGGTGAGAACTTCAGTACATAACAGTAACTATACAACCTTTAGAAGACATCTGAAGGCAGCCCTATATAGGGACGTTTTTAACGTTTAATGTTTTATTATGTTTTTATATATGTTGGAAGCCACTCAGAGTGGCTGGGGCAACCCAGTGAGATGGCTGGGGTATAAATAATAAAATTATTGTTAATATTATGGTTATGATTATGGAATAGGATGTCCCTATTTTCATCGGGAAAATGTTGGAGACTGTGAGAACGTCTAAGTCCAAGTTGGATTCAGTGCTCCGCTTTTTCCCCTTCATCATTTTCAATCCTCCTCCTTCCTTCTCCCTTTCCCATGACAGGGTCTCGCCCTCCGTTTACTCTGCCTGGGATCCCACACCCAAATCCTATACATCTCTCCCCGCCCCATTCCTATGGCTACGAGCGTCAGCCACACCGCAGGCCATAGCGGTTGCCATGGCGATGGAGGTTGTGGCATCTTTCTGGCCCAGGCAAACAAGGCCTCTGCCCTCTCCTGGCCTTTTCCCAATCTCTTTCCCCACTCGGTTGTTGGACAGGGAGACGGACGGGGAACCAGGGGGCGAATAATTTGGGGCGGAAGGGGTTAGCTGTCTGCCAGGATCCAGGACAGGCAAAAGTCTTGAGACAGGTTTTTGGCAGCATGGATACTATTGGCACAAAAACGGAAGCAAGAAGAATTGCCGACGAAAGAAGAATGGCAAATGAAATCAATGATGCAGAATTGGATAAACAGGGAGGATTCGAAACCTGCGGAACCAGAGATTCTTAGAAGACTGGAGTAAATATTTGAAAAGCAATTGTAACCAACATATTACGCTAGTAGGACTGCGAGAAGTTCTGTAAGGAGGATTATATGAAATATTGCAAAGATGACTATGAAGAGAATTATTAGTTAATGATATTAAGAGTAATAGAGAAATTAAGAAATGCAGAATAAGTGATAAAGAACGGAAAATCTTCAGGGGTTGTTGACGGAAGTCTAAAATATTGTGTAAGATAAGAAGTTATGTTAAATGGCTGTTGGAAATGATATGTTAAAAAATTAATAAAAGTGTGTGTGTGTGTATGTAAAGTCTTGAGGCAGGTTTTGAAACCTAGTGTATCGCTAAAATATATTTTGAAATATATGTGAAACTGGGTGAATGCCAGCAATGTCGCAATTGCAGGGGGAGAAATTGAGAAGGCGTTTAACCGGAATTTCTCAAGACGCATCTCAAGTTTTATTGGCGAGGTCACCTCACCTCGAGGAAAAGGATGTCGTAGAGTTGGAAAAGGTACGAAAAAGGGCAACCGAAACAGTCAATACTTTTTTGAGGCTCTCCTATGAGGAAAGATCGCAGCATTTGGGACTTTTTCACTGAGAGAAAAGGTGCGTAAGAGGCGATACGGTAAGAAATTTGTGAGTTTGTGCCGGGCACAGGAAAACTTGACAGAGAAAACGCTTTCTCCCTCTTTCATAAGACCAGAACTCGTGAGAAACCCAGCAAATCTGAATGTCGGAAGATTCGGGGCAGATAAAAGAAAGCACATCTTCATGTAGTTAAACTGCGGAACTCTCTCCGACAGGAAAACAGCGGTCGCTACCAACTTCGAAAAAGAATCAGACTGATCCATGGAGGATGGATGTCAACAGTGGAGGAAAAGCCCATCCATATCTCCCCCCCCCCCCAATGCTTTTTATTGAGATTTAACACCAACCAACAAAAACATCAAGTCTTATTACATATATCCTACTTTATGCTCGATAGAGCCGTTGACTTCCGTCCTTCCCTTCCGTAAGTTTTCTTACTCCAACCTATAATTCACAGTTTCATTGGTTAAAAATTACTCCGTGACATAAGATTTAATTCAATCCTGCCAACGTTTTCATATTTCTACAGTTCTCACTTATATAAACCATAAATTTACTCCATTCTTTTTGGTACTTCGTCTCCTCCTGACTGCGAATTCTGTGTGTCAATTTTGCCATTTCAGCGTATTCAACCAGCTTTATCTGCCATTCCCTTACAGTCGGAATCTCCTGTAACTTCCACTTTTGGGCTATCAAAACTCTAGCTGCTGTTGTTGCATACAGATATAATCTTTGGCCTGTCTTCTTAATATCTTCTCCCACCAAACCTAGCAGAAATTCTTCCGGCCTTTTTGGAAAAGTATATTTAAACATCTTTTTTAGCTCATTATAGATCGATTCCCAAAACTCTTTTATTTTGTTACATGACCACCACATGTGGTAAAAATCGCCGTCCTTTTCCTTGCAGGAAAAGCCCATCCATATCAATGTTTCCCTGGCACTAGAAAGGTTTCCTCGCCGCTGGTTTAGCAGGAAAGTGCCAAAACATTCAGTCGTGCACCTAAGATGCACAGAGACCATCGGTCCTTCTTCTCCCCTGCCTCTGAAGGTACCCAAAAGCCATGTCTCCGTAGGATGTTATATTTATTTGTCAAAAATAAACCCTCAAGTCTCCTATGACATCACGGGCACAGTCACAAGGCAAGATGGAGGGGCACTGAGTGCTGAGGGCAACAGGTACCCGCTTAGTGAGGAACTCCCAAGACCAGCCCAGATTGTGGCTGTAGGTTGAGAGGAGAAAAACTGGGCCATCTTATGGGAGCGTGGCATCCTTTGCTCATGGTGCTTTCTGCATGTAGCTGCCCACCATGGCGGAGCGAGGGAGAAGGCTTCTCTTACTGGAACAGAGGAATCAGAACCTGGTGAGCATCCTTCGGAATAATAATAATAATAATGTTGCTGTTGTTTAGTCGTTTAGTCGTGTCCGACTCTTCATGACCCCATGGACCAGAGCACGCCAGGCACACCTGTCTTCCACTGCCTTGACCACAGTTTGGTCAAACTCATGCTGGTAGCTTCGAGAACACCATCCAACCATCTCGTCCTCTGTCATCCTTGTGCCCTCCATCTTTCCCAACATCAGGGTCTTTTCCAGGGAGTCTTCTCTTCTCATGAGGTGGCCAAAGTCTTGGAGCCTCAGCTTCAGGATCTGTCCTTCCAGTGAGCACTCAGGGCTGATTTCCTTCAGCATGGAGAGGTTTGATCTTCTTGCAGTCCATGGGACTCTCAAGAGTCTCCTCCAGCACCAGAATTCAAAAGCATCCATTCTTTGGCGATCAGCCTTCTTTATGGTCCAGCTCTCACTTCCATACTTCACTACTGGGAAAACCATGGCTTTAACTATACGGACCTTTCTTGGCAAGGTGATGTCTCTGCTTTTTAAGATGCTGAATAATAATAATAATAATGTATTATTTGTACCCGCCCATCTGGCTGGGTTTTCCCCAGCCACTCTGGGCGGCTTCCAAGAAAGATTAAAAATACATTACAATGTCACACATTAAAAACTTCCCTAAAGACGGGTGCCTTCAGATGTCTTCTAAATGTCAGGTAGTTGTTTATCTCTTTGACATCTGATGGGAGGGCGTTCCACAGGGCGGGTGCCACCACCGAGGTTTAACCATCTGTGGTTTAACCATCCACGTCCCCCCAATAGCCACATACTGTCATATATAAAAGGATGCTAAATATGGACATCAGGTTTCAGCAAATGTTTGAGCATTCAAGGAATAATTGAGGGTATTCAACATCAGCTTTATCAGCTGAACGTTTCGGAGGGAAATCTGGAAACAAATTTATTACAGCAAAGAATATATATATTTTTGAGAAAGGTGTTATGGGATCTCATGTTTCCTCTCCTGTTCATTGTTTATTTTTTTCAATTTTCCTACAGATGGAAAAGATCAGATCCCTTCAGAAAGCCAACGCAAACTTGCGGCAAATGGTGAGCACCGTAAAACAGCTCAGAGGGATAAGGGGAGAGAAAAGGCGCTTTAAGGGATGCGGGTGGCGCTGTGGGTTAAACCACAAAGCCTAGGACTTGCCGATCAAAAGGTTGGCGGTTCGAATCCCCGCGATGGGGTGAGCTCCTGTTGCTCGGTCCCTGCTCCTGCCAACCTAGCAGTTCGAAAGCACGTCAAAGTGCAAGTAGATAAATAGGTACCGCTCCGGCGGGAAGGTAAACAGCGTTTCCGTGCACTGCTCTGGTTCACCAGAAGCGGCTTAGTCCTGCTGGCCACATGACCCGGAAGCTGTACGCCGGCTCCCTTGGCCAGTAAAGCGAGATGAGCGCCGCAACCCCAGAGTCGGTCCCGACTGGACCTAATGGTCAGGGGTCCCTTTACCTTTACCTTTAAGAGGCCTCTTGGCATACCATGAGTGGCAGATCTATAGCTTAGCAGTGGAACATCTGCTTTGCAAGCAGAAGGTCACAGGTCTCATCCTGGCAGCATCTCTAGGCAAAGCTGGGAGAGAAGCCAGAGTGTAACCCCAGAGATCTGTAGAGACAATACAGTACCTCTGGTTACATACGCTTCAGGTTACAGACTCAGCTAACCCAGATATAGTACCTCAGGTTAAGAACTTTGCTTCAGGATGAGAACAGAAATTGTGCTCCTGCGGCGCGGCGGCAGCAGGAGGTCCCATTAGCTAAAGTGGTGCTTCAGGTTAAGAACAGTTTCAGCTTAAGAACGAACCTCCGGAACGAATTAAGTACTTAACCTGAGGTACCACTGTACTGAGCCAGGTGGAGAAACAGTCAGACTTGGTAGAAGAAGAGTTTGGATTTGATATCCCGCCTTTCACTCCCCTTCAGGAGTCTCAAAGCGGCTAACATTCTCCTTTCCCTTCCTCCCCCACAACAAACACTCTGTGAGGTGAGTGGGGCTGAGAGACTTCAGAGAAGTGTGACTGGCCCAAGGTCACCCAGCAGCTGCATGTGGAGGAGTGGAGACTCGAACCCGGTTCTCCAGATTACGAGACTACCGCTCTTAACCACTACACCACACTGGCTCTCTGGCTCACCACACTGGTACAAGTCAGCTTATGGCAGAGACATTGCTTCCTGTCATTTCGGTCACTGGGGCACATAGGAGCCACATCCCAGGGGCCGTAGGGGCCTAAACCCCCACAATAAAATATTTGAGTGGCCCGGGGGCCCACAAAGTGGATGGGCAGCCCCATTAAAATGGTGTGTGCGCACTGCGTCATGTGATCAATTATGTGCTGTGGAGCTTACCTGGGCCCCCACAATACTTCATTCAAGTTGGCAGCCCTGCTGGGGCAACACCTCTTTGGTTGTTCCTCGTGAGAGCAGCCGCCGAGACCACATAACACTGGTCTTGAAAGACCTACATTGGCTCCCAGTACGTTTCTGAGCACGATTCAAAGTGTTGGTGCTGACCTTTAAAGCCCTAAACGGCCTCAAAGGCCCAGTATACCTGAAGGAGCGTCTCCACCCCCATCGTTCAGCCTGAGGTCCAGCTCCGAGGGCCTTCTGGCGGTTGCCTCCCTGCGAGAAGTGAGGTTACAGGGAATCAAGCAGAAGGCCTTGTCAGTGGTGGCACCTGTCCTTTGGAACGCCCTCCCGTCAGATGTCAAGGAAATAAACAACCTGGCTTTTAGAAGACACCTGAAGGCAGCAGTGTTTAAGGAAGTTTTTAAGGTTTGATGTTTTATCACATTATTATTATTATTATTATTATTATTATTATTATTCTGTTGGGAGGCACCCAGAGTGGCTGGGGAAACCCAGCCAGTTGGGCAGGGTATAAACGATAAATTATTATTACTATTATTATTATTATTATTATTATTATTATTCCTGGATCGCTGTGTCCAGGGGAGGCTGGTCCATCTCGATGAAGAGGAAATTCCCACCAACCTGCTTTCTTACACCTCCCTTCACTCGGGGTGATTTTGCCCATCATTGGCTCTCTGGCTCCACCTAGTGTTGATCTCCCTGCCTTCCACCCTATCTGCCCCAGGGGGTGCCAGCTACCACTGCTAGCACCCCTCAGCTCAAAGCCCAGTGACTGTAGCATCAGCCATTATAAGCTGGACAGCTGGTTCAAGTTATTTGGCTGCCTGAAGCAAAGGACAAGATGGCACCCGCTGCCCATGCCACTTGTAGAAGCCAGCCGGATGGCCATTGAATCCCACCTGGACTTTGGCTGCAGGTTGGCATCTTTCACTGCATCCGAGGTGGGAAGGGTCTCCATCGCCACCACGTGCTCCACATCAATACCTGCTGCCAGAGGCAGACTCCTCACTCTTTCTTACAACAGGGCTGGCCCTCATCAGCAGAGATTTTATCTGTGGGAATGTTAAGGATAGTGTTATTGTTTAGTCGTTTAGTCGTGTCCAACTCTTCATGACCCCATGGACCAGAGTATGCCAGGCACTCCTGTCTTCCACTGCCTCCCGCAGTTTGGTCAAACTCATCTTAGTAGCGTCGAGAACACTGTCCAACCATCTCTTCTCTGTCATCCCCTTCTCCTTGTGCCCTCCATCTTTCCCAGCATCAGGGTCTTTTCCAGGGAGTCTTCTCTTCTCATGAGGTGGCCAAAGTCTTGGAGCCTCAGCTTCAGGATCTGTCCTTCCAGTGAGCACTCAGGGCTGATTTCCTTCAGAATGGATCGGTTTGATCTTCTTGCAGTCCATGGGACTCTCAAGACTCTCCTCCAGCACCATAATTCATAAGCATCCATTCTTCGGCGATCAGCCTTCTTTATACTCCAGCTCTCACTTCCATACATCACTACTGGGAAAACCATAGCTTTAACTATATGGACTTTTGTTGGCAAGGTGATGTCTCTATCCTTCCTTCACTCATGCTAGTAAGTGATGTAGCAGAGCAGATTTCCCTCAAAATAGCTGGAGGTTAGTTTGGAGATTTGTTTGAATCTCTTAAATGTAAAAGTAAAGGGACCCCTGACCATTAGGTCCAGTCGTGGCCGACTCTGGGGTTGTGGCGCTCATCTCGCTTTATTGGCTGAGGGAGCCGGCGTACAGCTTCCGGTTCATGTGGCCAGCATGACTAAGCCGCTTCTGGCGAACCAGAGCAGTGCACGGAAACGCACAGAATCTCTTAGTTAAGATTAATTTCCCTTTTGACCCCTCTTAAAAGAATAAAGACACCAGAGTCTTTCTGTGTAAAGAAACAAAAAGCTCACTCACATTTCAGTTCACGATATGATCGCTGAAAGGCAGGCTTTTCTTAGTACAGTGGTACCTCAGGTTACATACGCTTCAGGTTACAGACGCTTCAGGCTACAGATTCTGCTAGCCCTGAAATAGTACCTCAGGTTAAGAACTTTGCTTCAGGATGAGAACAGAAATCGTGCTCTGGGGGCGTGGCAGCAGCAGGAGACCCCATTAGCTAAAGTGGTGCTTCAGGTTAAGAACAGTTTCAGGTTAAGAACGAACCTCTGGAACGAATTAAGTACTTAACCCGAGGTACCACTGTAGTTACATAAACAAAGTGAGTTCATCTCATGTGGAGACTGAACTCACACAGCAAAATTACCGTACATTTTTGTGCTAGCAGTGTGCTAGCAATGGTAGCTGGCACTCCCTGGGGCAGATAGGTTGGAAGGCAGGGAGGTCAACACTAGGTGGAGCCAGAGAACCAGTGATGGGCAAAACCACCCCGAGTGAAGGGAGGTGTAAATAAGAAAGCAGTAAGTAAGAGCGGCATGGCAGCAAGAGAGAGAACGAGTCAACAGGAAGTCAAAACTAGACTGCAAGTGAGGAAATGGCTGCATGGCTCCGTTCTTTTATGGAGTCAGCCAGAGCCACGCTCATCTCCCAGATGACATGCAGGGGAAGGAAGTTCCACACCAGTGGAACAGAAAGTTACACTGACTTGATGTCCTCCTGCTTGTTCCCATGCTAGGGAAACAAGGAATGTTGCATTTGACTATAGCAATGGATTACATCTCACATTATCACTGTCTACCTTTCCGCAGGGCCTGCAAGACAGAGCTGTTCCGCCTGGCCTTTGGTTTGGACTCAGTCTGACCCTTATGTTTCCCTCCCCTTATGGTTTTGATCTATGGGCTACCGTATTTTTTGCCCTATAAGACTCGCTTTTTCCCTCCTAAAAGTAAGGGGAAATGTGTGTGTGTCTTATGGAGCGAATGCAGGCTGCGCAGCTATCCCAGAAGCCAGAACAGCAAGAGGGATTGCTGCGTTTCACTGCGCAGCAATCCCTCTTGCTGTTCTGGCTTCTGAGATTCAGAATATTTTTTTTCTTGTTTTCCTCCTCCAAAAACTAGGTGCGTCCTATGGTCTGGTGCATCTTATAGAGTGAAAAATACGGTACTTTTAAAATGAGGCTGCATTTTAAATTGCATTTTAACCTGTATTTTAAATTGGTCCCCCCCCCCCATTATGTTTTTACTGTAATTTTACTGTTGTTAGCCACCCTGACCCGGCTCTGGACGGGAAGGGCGGGGTATAAATAAATTATTATTATTATTATTATTATTATTATTATTATTATTAACCAAGTTCCTCTTCTCCTGACCTTTGCAGAATTCAAGGCTAAGGGAGGAAAATGAAGGTGAGACGTTTTGCTTCCCTGCAAGATTGGAAAGACCAGCCTCCTGGCTGCGGTGGGAGCAGAACCGGATGGGCAGGGAAGCGACCGACTTGTTTTGAGGACCAGACTTGCGTAGACGATTTGGTCCTGCCGTGGCGTCTTTCCCATAAACCCATGGAGAGGTTTGGTTCACCAGCTGAGCATCCTGGTCAGGTCCTCCCCCTTCTCAACAGGTCATCCAGGGCCGGACTTAACTTGAAGCTATTTGCTAGGATTCTCCCAACTCAGTTAATTCCAAACTAGCTCTGGATTTAGTGGGAAACGGGAGCATCCCACCCACTGATGCTATTGGACTCCAACTCCCATCAGCCCCTGGTCAGTGGTCAAGGGAATGATGGGAGCTGAAGTCCAGCAATATCCGGAGAGCAGCTTGCTCCAGACAGATTCTTAGTTAATAGTCACCAATCTTGTCCTAGGAGAATTTGCCTTTTTTTACTATCTTTCCTTTCTCTCCTTCAGTTTTCAAGTCAACAGAAGAAATCTTACTTAGGTATTTCTGATTTATGTATTTGCTTGTTTATTGATGTGGGGCATTGTTATGTACTGAGTTGAATAGGATCCAAAAGGCAGCAGTCTGATTGGTCCTAGAACAATAGGATCCAGAATGCAGCAGTCTGATTGGTCCTAGAACAATAGGACCCAGAATGCAGCAGTCTGATTGGTCCTAGAACAATAGGACCCAGAATGCAGCAGTCTGATTGGTCCTAGAACAATAGGACCCAGAATGCAGCAGTCTGATTGGTCCACAGGAGCCACCCAATCCAGCTCCAGGTGGAAGTGAATCCGCAACCTCATTGGCCTACAGGTGAATCCCGGAATTAGCCAATCACGTGGGGTCCATTGTGTAAATAACATATATAAAGCAGACATTCTGGGGGAACTTCCATTCCTCCTCACCACTATGAGCTGAATAAAAAGCATGAAATCCACTCTCGACTCCCGAGTATATTTCAGGCATCAACATAAAAACCGCAATATATATAATCAGAATAAAAACAACAGCCCAATAAAATATGCATATATTTAAAAATTCAAACTTATATGCTCTACAAATGCACTTTAAGGGTGGGGGAACCATACATACGTTTATTGAAAATATTAATATGTCACTTTTCAAGTCAAAAGATTGGAAGCAGTTAGGGATGAACTTTCAGGCGACAGTGTTAATCCTAAATGTGGGTGTCTGCTGCTGTCTTGCTGTCTGTAAGCAGGTCAAGGAAAACAGCATCCACCCATTAAAAGCCTTGGATATTTTTTTTAAGAGAAGGGGGGTGGGGAAAGGAAGAGGAGGAATTGTGCTTCAGTGGTAGAGCTTTTATCCTGAAGGTAAAGGTAAAGGGACCCCTGACCAATAGGTCCAGTCATGGCCGACTCCGGGGTTGCGGCGCTCATCTCGCTTTACTGGCCGAGGGAGCTAGCGTACAGCTCCCGGGTCATGTGGCCTTCCCGCCGGAGCGGTACCTATTTATCTACTTGCACTGGTGTGCTTTCGAACTGCTAGGTTGGCAGGAGCAGGGACTGAGCAACGGGAGCTCACCCTGTCGCAGGGATTCGAACCGCCGACCTTCTGATTGGCAAGTCCTAGGCTCTGTGGTTTAACCCACAGAGCCACCCACAGAGCCACTCTTCAGGATAGAGTCCTGCCTAAATCCTCGGAGAGCCACTGCCAGCCAGTGCAGGCAGTATCAAGTTTGATGGATCAATGATCTGAACTCACACCTCTTTATCCCTGCTGCCAGCCAGTGTAAACATGGAGTGTTTGTCTTGCATTTATCCTGACTGGCTTGTGGGATATTTGCATCTCTTCCTGTAAATGTGCTTATCAGATTTTCAGTGCATTGCCCATCAATTTCCAGACCACAGAAAGTCTATTATTATTATTATTATTATTATTATTATTATTATTATTATTACTGTATTATTAGTTTGCTGTTTTATAGGCACTTCTAAGCTATCATTTATTTGCAGGCGTAATTCAGTCACACACCAGTCTGCTTAGATTAATTAAAGCGCTCTGTTGGCCTAGCACAACAAATCCACTTTTTTAAAATGACGTTAAGAAAGAAAGAAAGAAAGAAAGAAAGAAAGAAAGAAAGAAAGAAGTCAAGGTAGATGTGGAGCAAATGTTCCTTGCCGTGTAACCGCCCCGTCAACAAATCGGAACAAATGCTCAATAAAAACCAGATAGAATATACCGTATTTTTTGCTCTATAAGACTCACTTTTTCCCTCCTAAAAAGTAAGGGGAAATGTGTGTCCGTCTTATGGAGCGAATGCAGGCTGCGCAGCTATCCCAGAAGCCAGAACAGCAAGAGGGATTGCTGCTTTCACTGCGCAGCGATCCCTCTTGCTGTTCTGGCTTCCGAGATTCAGAATATTTTTTTTCTTGTTTTCCTCCTCCAAAAACTAGGTGCGTCTTGTGGTCTGGTGCGTCTTATAGAGCGAAAAATACGGTAGCTTCCTTGTGAAGTTGGTGCAAGCAGACCAGGATGAATGTCTGGCGTAGGAAGTGTCCAAGCGCTTCAGATCAATTTGAAAGGTGGAAACCTAAAGTTCTCGTATGCCCTTGAATACGGCCAGGAAAAATGCTGCCTTTTGCCCATCCACTCATCCGAAACCCCCGCCCTTCCTTGACTTTCAGAGACAACGACAAGATCAAGAAGAAAGTTCAACAGCTGAAGGAGCTTCAGGAATCTCTGGTGAGTCGTCCCTGGCACTGCCATTCTTCACGCAGGACCCTGGGATCTTTATGCTAGGCGGGGAGGGAGGCCAACCAAAGACAAAGAAGGGAACAGGCAGAAATATGACCCGTGCCCTCATCCCCGCTGGCAGCAGCGAAGAGCAGAAATAAATCCCGGGTTGGCATTCTAAGGCAAGCATGTGCATGTGAAATATACTCGGAGTCAAGTGTGGATTTCATGCTCTTTATTCAGCTCGTAGTAGTGAGGAATGGAAGTTCCCCCGAAATGTCTGCTTTATATACATTATTTACACAATGGGCCCCACATGACTGGCTAATTCTGGGATTCTCCTGTAGGCCAATCAGGTTGTGGATTCACTTCCACCTGGAGTTGGATTGGGTGGCTCCTGCGGACCAATCATACTGCTGCATTGTTCTAGGACCAATCAGACTGCTGCATTCTGAATCCTATTGTTCTAGGACCAATCAGACTGCTGCATTCTGGGTCCTATTGTTCTAGGACCAATCAGACTGCTGCATTCTGGACCCTATTGTTCTAGGACCAATCAGACTGCTGCATTCTGGACCCTATTGTTCTAGGACCAATCAGACTGCTGCCTTTTGGATCCTATTGTTCTAGGACCAATCAGACTGCTGCCTTTTGGATCCTTTTGTTCTAGGACCAATCAGACTGCTGCCTTTTGGATCCTATTGTTCTAGGACCAATCAGACTGCTGCATTCTGGATCCTATTGTTCTAGGACCAATCAGACTGCTGCCTTTTGGATCCGATTCAACTCAGTACATAACAAGGGCCCAACCCCCCTGCCTGAAATTCAGGTAGGCTGCTGCCAGTAATCTGACTGTTTCGCTGGAATCTGCTTCAGCACAACCCATAGATTAGAAAAATGCACAAGGAGCAGTGGTCATAAGGATATGAGTGGCTACATATCCTTAAGACCAGTGAAACAGTCAGATTATCCGGGATCACTGTCCTACGTTGTTATTCACTTACTACTTCGGACCCTGAACGCCTAAAAAGTTTTACTGCTTAGCCCACAGGATAGCATCTATTACTTTGTTTCAACCATAGACTTATTATACTTTTACGGACTTTCAAAGATTGACAGGTGTGTGTTCATTTGATTTCAAATATATTAGAGAATTTACAAGTGTACAGTTTGTTTTTGTTGTACTAAAACATGTATATTATGCAATAAGAATTGCAGTGCTATCTAGTATACTGGTCATCGTGTTGCTTGCGTTGTTTGTTGTGTTAAGTTTGCAACACAGGGGTTTGTTGTTCTTTAATGGTAGGGCACGCAAGTGGCGCTGTGGGTTGAACCACAGAGCCTAGGACTTGCCGATCAGAAGGTCGGCGGTTCGAATCCCTGCGACAGGGTGAGCTCCCGTTGCTCAGTCCCTGCTCCTGCCAACCTAGCAGTTCGAAAGCACACCTGTGCAAGTAGATAAATAGGTACCGCTCCGGCGGGAAGGTAAACGGCGTTTCCGTGCGCTGCTCTGGCTTTGTCATGCTGGCCACATGACCCGGAAGCTGTACGCCGGCTCCCTTGGCCAATAAAGCGAGATGAGTGCCATAGCCCCAGAGTCGGTCACGACTGGACCTAATGGTCAGGGTTCCCTTTACCTTTACCTAATGGATGCACAACCTGACTGTCTGCAAGGGATTCCTACACAGCAAGGTTGATGTTGCCAGCCATCATGTCATATTTGCAGACATCTTTGCAATGTGGAGTTGGTCTGCCAACGGGCCTGGGGCCTGAAGGCAACTCCTCGTAGAGTACTTCCAGAGACCCCCGAGCACCAATATTTCGGGACCCGAAGCCCCTTCTGCTCCCATAGTTGACGCCCCTGCTTCCTTGTAGTCCAGCAAAACACATGTCCAAACCTGTGTTCTGCTGACATGTGGTGTTGTGGGTACAATGGTACCTCGGGTTACAAACACTTCGGGTTACAGACTCCGCTAACCCAGAAATAGTACCTCGGGTTAAGAACTTTGCTTCAGGATGAGAACAGAAATCGTGCTCCGGCAGCGCGGCGGCAGTGGGAGGCCCCATTAGCTAAAGTGGTGCCTCAGGTTAAGAACAGTTTCAGGTTAAGAACGGACCTCTGGAACGAATTAAGTTCTTAACCCGAGGTACCCCTGTAGTTGTATTCCGTCTCACCATGGAATATTTTTTGAGGTCTAAAATAATAAACGGTGGCCCGGAAATCTTGGGTGCAGACCTGCCTCAATACAAACCTTTAAATACCGTATTTTTCGCTCTATAACACGCACCAGACCATAACACGCACGTAGTTTTTAGAGGAGGAAAACAAGAAAAAAATATTCTAAACGAAATAGTGGATATATGATTTTTGTGGTTCATGCTGTGGCCACAGACATGTGATCTGACAGTGAGTTTGGAGTAGCCCAATGCAAAAATCCTGAGGATCCATGTGGATCCATGCATTGTAACCACGGAGGAGGGCAGGAAGGGGAACCATGGATCCTCTGCTCACGACTGCAGCAGATCCCCCCCGCCACCCGCAGGCATTCGCTCCATAATACGCACAGACATTTCCCCTTACTTTCTAGGAGGAAAAAAGTGAGTGTTATGGTGCAAAAAATACGGTATATTGCTCCCTGGAGTGACTTGATTTCTACAAGCGCTGACTGCACTTAGCGGCCGTTTTTCTGATCAACTCTTTCTCTCCTTCTTTACAGCAAGACGATATTTATGTTCTCGAAGAGCAGCTGTGTACGTAAGTCAATCGCGAGTCCTTGGCTTGAGGCTGCATTTTCAACCCCCTCACCTCCCTTTCCTTTTAAGCAACCTGGTCTGAAACGACTCTTTTAAAATACTGTTTTCTCATATGCTGTGAACTTGGGGCTAGGATGTGGGGAGACCAGGATTCACTGAGCGACGTTGAGCCAGTTGCTCTCTGCTAACCTAATCTAATCTACCTCACAGGGTTGCCGTTGGGATAAAATGGGGAGGGGGAGACCCGTGTACACCTTGCTGGGCCTTTTGGTGGAAAGGCGGGGTAGAAATATAATAAATTTATTTAACATAAACAAACATACGCAATAATGAATAAGATAATTTGGGGTTTCATTCGAAATGTTTGCTCAAGCCTTTTGGGTGGGCTGGGTTTTAAATTGCAAATGGTTTATTAAATACAGTGGTACCTCGGGTTACATAGGCTTCAGGTTACATAGGCTTCAGGTTACAGACTCCGCTAACCCAGAAATTGTACTTCAGGTTAAGAACTTTGCTTCAGGATGAGAACAGAAATCGTGTTCCGGCGGCGCGGCACCAGCAGGAGGCCCCATTAGCTAAAGTGGTGCTTCAGGTTAAGAACAGTTTCAGGTTAAGAACGGACCTCCAGAACGAATTAAGTACTTAACCCGAGGTACCACTGTAAAGGACTGAAAGCAAAATCTGTGTGATAGGCCACGATCCATGCCTGAATCGCATGCACATCATCGTTCCCCTTAATTTTGGGCGGGTGCGCATTTGTGTGCTTGCACGGGAGAATGTTCCGGAACTGGTAGCACGCGAAGGAAATGTTTCATTTTCGAAATGATTTTTTTTTTACCTGCGACATTTCAAAAATGGGGACCCTGGCCCTTCAAATTGCTCCGTCTGTATGTGTGCTCACGTACGCACCACACACACACACACACACACGGGGCAGGGGAAAACAGACTTGATTTTGAGATCTAATGCAACCTGGCATCTGGTCCTCAAATACAACTCGCATTTCCAAGGAGAAGGAAGCGAAGAGGCGCCCACGGTTCAGTGATCTTCCTTATGCACTCCTTGTTAGCAGATGCTGAGTGGAAGGACAGAGAGAGAGAGAGAGAGAGAGAGAGAGAGAGAGAGAGAGAGAGAAAATGTCCCTGGAGTGAGAGGCAGTTGCCTAATGACGATCAAAACAAAATGGAACTTATTTATAGCTTAGGTTCCAGGGACGGAGAGGGCGTTTCTGCGTCAGGAGTAGATTTAGTTTTCCATTTAAAATAGGGCTACCGTATGTCCGGAATATCCTGGACCTTCGCTCCTCGAAAATGATGTCCGGGAAAACCCAGGAGCAAGGCAGCCCATATCGAACTGTTGGGGTGGGGGTTTTTTTTGGCAATTTCCTTTTAAAATAGCTCAAAAACTTCATTTTTTTGCGGTGGGAGGGGAGGGGGTAAAGATTTTGCAAAAGAAAGCTCCGCAACTTTTCCACTTTTTGAAATATGGCAGCCCGGTTCAAAATATTCCTTATCCACTCTCCACCCAGGACAGGTTATAACAATATAATGTATCAAAACGGATAAAACTGTTGCAATTATTATTATTATTATTATTTAAGAAAAGGAAATCCGTTCCTGCCAGAACAGAACAGTATACATTGAGTGAAAGCAGCAGTATGTGTGTGCTTTTGTGTGTCCCACACCCCACCCCGCAGAAAACAAAATGCCTTAACTGACCGGGATCAAGAGGTGTGCATTCACAGAAGCAGCAGAGCCTCACAGGGCGCTGCTGAAATTTTAAAAGCCCAAAGTCTGTCACTGCAAACAGCAAAAGCTGCATGACGAAGGTACCAGACTCACCTCTGGGGGGAAGGAGTTTCATAATTTGGGAGCCAACACAAAGACCGACAAGAAAAGATGCCCACGAGATGCTGTTGAAGGACCCATTTAAAGTGTTACCATACACAGAAGCCAAACTTACATTCACAAAATGTTTAGGGGTTATGTGTACCCCCGCGTCCTCCCAGAAAAAAGGCACCGGTGTAATGCGATCAATTATGTGGGCCATGGCTTATCTTTCGTTGTTGTTTCGTCGTTTAGTCGTGTCCGACTCTTCGTGACCCCAGGGACCAGAGCACGCCAGGCCCTCCTGTCTTCCACTGCCTCCCACAGTTTTTTGGGTTTTTTTTAATGATATTTATTAAAAGTTTAAAAATTACAGAAAAAAGAAAAAAACAACAATAAAAAAGAGAAAAAAGAATTTAAAAAACATATAAAAGCAAGACAACAGTACAGCAAAAAAAGAAAAACAAAGAAAAAACTAAAACAGACATCCAATATTCCATACCTTTACCTTTCCTTTACTTGTTTCATCGACCTCCTCACACCTCCCTTTTTTTGTATTCTAGTTCAATTCACTATTTCAGCAAATTCTTCCCATCTTTCTCAATTTTTATTCTATAATTTATCTTAACAGTCTAACCTTAAATTTTTCCATCTTAACCCATTATCAATCAGCTTTTACTTAATTCTTTGATGCATTTCTACTAAAACCATATAGCTTCATTCCAGCATCCTTCTAACACTCATTAATTTTACAATGTTTCTGTAAGTATGCTTTAAATTTTTTTCCATTCTTCTTCCACCGACTCTTCTCCCTGGTCTCGGATTCTGCCAGTCATTTCCGCCAGTTCCATGTAGTCCATCAGCTTCATCTGCCATTCTTCCCTGGTGGGTATATCTTGTGTCTTCCAACACTGCCTCCCACAGTTTGGTCAGGCTCATGCTGGTAGCTTCGAGAACACTGTCCAACCATCTCGTCCTCTGTAGTCCCCTTCTCCTTGTGCCCTCCATCTTTCCCAGCATCAGGGTCTTTTCCAGGGAGTCTTCTCTTCTCATGAGGTGGCCAAAGTCTTGGAGCCTCAGCTTCAGGATCTGTCCTTCCAGTGAGCACTCAGGGCTGATTTCCTTAAGAATGGATAGGTTTGATCTTCTTGCAGTCCATGGGACTCTCAAGAGTCTCCTCCAGCACCCATAATTCAAAAGCATCCATTCTTTGGCGATCAGCCTTCTTTATGGTCCAGCTCTCACTTCCATACATCACTACTGGGAAAACCATGGCTTTAACTATACGGACCTTTGTTGGCAAGGTGATGTCTCTGCTTTTTAAGATGTTGTCTAGGTTTGTCATTGCTTTTCTCCCAAGAAGCAGGCGTCTTTTAATTTCATGACTGTTTATCTACCCCCCCTCCATATTTTATTCAAGTTGGCCCCCCTGGTATCATATCACGATAAACCGCCATGGCTTCTTCCCTGAAGAATTCTGGGAAGTGTAGTTCGTTAAAGGTGCTGCGAACTGCCTGGGGGCACGTGTTCTCCTCAGAGAGCTAAAATCCCCCAGAGTTCCCCGTGAAAAGGGATTGATTGGGAAACCACTCTGGGAACGGTAATCAGGGTCTCCTAACAACTCTCAGCGCGCTTAACAAACTAATAGGTTATTGTATTTTAGTGTTTTGTTGGAAGCCGCCCAGAATGGCTGGGGGGACCCAGCCAGATGGGCGGGGTATAAATAATAAATTATTATTATTATTATTATTATTATTATTATTAGGCCCGGGGGGCCGGATCCGGCCCAATCGCCTCCTCAATCCTGCCCACAGACGGTCTGGGAATCAGCGTGTTTTTACACGAGTAGAATGTGCCCTTTTATTTAAAATGCATCTCTGGGTTATTTGTGGGGCATAGGAATTTGTTCATTCTTTTTTCAAAATATAGTCCGGCCCCCCACATGGTCTGAGTGATGGTAGACTGGCCCATGGCTGACAAAGTTTGCTGACCCCTGATCTATGGGGCAGTCCCTGCGCCCGCAAGAAAACATATCTCCCAAGTTCTCCCTGCCAGGTACAGTTCTCTCCCTCACCTTACACCTCTGGTTTCCCAACCCCTTCCTTGCGGCATTCTTATTCTCCCCCCTCCCCAATTTTCCCTTTCTCTGTAAGAAACCCCCCCTCCCGCTTCCAGCCTCCCCTCACTCCTTTTCGGTCTCATTTGCTTTTTCACCCCATGGGCGTAGCCAGGATTTTTTCACCCCATGGGCGTAGCCAGAAGGGGGACAGAACCTCCGTTTACTATGTATTTTTATTGATTGGGGGGCAGCTGCCCCTCCCTGGCTACACCCGTGCCCCCTCCAATCAAGTATATAAATAAAAATTCTTAGCTAGCTGACCGATTGCGTCTCAGATAACTCGGTTCTGTCCCCTCTGACATAAAGCCTCTCTCTCCCTGCCCCCCCCCCCTAAATCCTGGCTACAGTCTGGCTATACCAACTGCACTGGCTCCCAGTGGAGCACAGGGTCAGGTTTAAGGTGCGAGTTTTGACCTTTAAAGCCCTATGTGGCCTAGGACCCACGTACCTACGGGACCGCCTCTCCTGGTATGCCCTGTGGAGGACCTTAAGGTCCGCAAATGACAACATTTTGAAGGTCCCAGGTCGCAAGGTGGTTAGATTGGTCGCAACTAGGGCCAGGGCCTTTTCAGTACTGGCCCTGACTTGGTGGAACGCTCTGTCACAAGAGACCAGGGCCCTGCGGGACTTGACATCTTTCCGCAGGGCCCGCAAGACAGAGCTGTTCCGCCTGGCCTTTGGCTTGGACTCGGTCTGACCCTTATGTTTCCCTCCCCTTATGGTCTTGATTTATTAGCTACTTTAAAATGAGGCTACATTTTAAATTGCATTTTAACCTGTATTTTAAATTGGTCCCCCCCTCTCTTTTTCCCCTATTATGTTATTATTATTATTATCCATGTTTAACCCTCATTTCCCGGACCAGATATGTGGGTCCTGTCCCCACACAAACTCTTGTCCCACTTTGGAACCCCTTCTTAACCAGCCTGACACTGCCCACATTTTCCTTCTTGGGGTATACAGTGGTACCTCGAGTTAAGAACTTAATTTGTTCCGGAGGTCCGTTCTTAACCTGAAACTGTTCTTAACCTGAAGCACCATTTTAGCTAACTGGGCCTCTCGCTGCCACTGCACCACCGCCGCACAATTTTTGTTCTCATCCTAAAGCAAAGTTCTTAACCCGAGGTACTATTTCTGGGTTAGCGGAGTCTGTAACCTGAAGCGTCTGTAATCTGAGGTACCACTGTATATAAATGTGTGTGTGTGTGTGTGTGCAGGCAGGACATCCTAAATGGGACCAGCCTGTCCCCAAATTCCTACTGACATTGAGCATCTCCTTCCCTCCTTTCCTGCCTGTCGCGAGGGATTGCTATGCTCTGGAGTCATTTCAGCACCAGGTAATAATAATAAACAAACAAAGGTAAAGGTAAAGAGAGCCCTGACCGTTAGGTCCAGTCGTGGTCAACTCTGGGGTTGCGGCGCTCATCTCGCTTTACTGGCTTCCGGGTCACGTGGCCAGCATGACTAAGCCGCTTCTGGCGAACCAGAGCAGCGCACAGAAACGCCGTTTACCTTCCTGCCAGAGTGGTACCTATTTATCTACTTGCACTTTGACATGCTTTCAAATTGCTAAATTGGCAGAAGCAGGGACCGAGCAACGGGAGCTCACCCCATCACGGGGATTCGAACCGCCGACCTTCTGATCGGCAAGTCCTAGACTCTGTGGTTTAACCCACAGCGCCACAAACAAACAAACAAACAACCCCCCACCTGACCTGTATTTTGTCTGCAGAAAGGTGGCAACCCCTGGGTGAATCGGGTTTAGTACTAATAAATTTGCACCTCTACTCTGGTCCTAGTTTTGCAGCTGACTTCTGTTCTCTCCAAATGTCCTTTCCTCCCCCCCCCTCCCCCAGGTTCCTGTACTTGCCAAGGGGAGAACAAAAGGTAGGGCTGTTTTATGCCTTCTGGTGTGACTTTATCGATTACACAAATAACGAGGCATATGGTAAAACGGTGCCTATAGTCTGGAGCACGGTTTGGACTTCGTGAAGCACATCTTATTTTTCCTTTCCCCTTTCCTATAAATTCTAATCGCTACTGATCCAAAATACCAGCCACCAGTCTAAGGAACACACAGCAATAGACATCATTTCATATCAGTAGCAACCGTAATAATTTTGGTATACGCACCTTGACGCAATGTTGTTAACACATTCAGAAATGTTTATTGTTTAATTTCTGTTCTGTTTCTGTTGAATTTCTCTTTTTATTTCTAATTGTTGTTTAATTTCTGTTTCCATGTAAACTGTCGTTACGTTGTACACTCCAGTGCAAAGATATATCTCAGTGCCACCGCGCTTTAAAGATGAAAATAAATAAATAAATAAATAAATAAATAAATAAATAAAACCTACATTACAGAAGAAAAAGTAAAGCACTGCCTGTTGTATCTGGACTTCCCCTATTCTCAAATCTCTTCTTCCTGTCCCAAAACAGTGTTTTTCCCTTTCCTGGATCAGCCTGCACGTGATCCTAGCACATTTGTGGCGACGTATTCCTTAGTGATTGTAACGGTGTGAAGGCTAAACTACAGGGCCCAGAATTCTCTGAGGGAAATAATGTGCTCCGAATGTGCTTTAAATTCAAATTTAGCACAATTCAAAGTGTTGGTGCTGACCTTTAAAGCCCTAAACAGCCTCGGTCCTGTATACCTGAAGGAGCATCTCCACCCCCATCGTTCAGCCTGGACACTGAGATCCAGCACTGAGGGCCTTCTGGCGGTTCCCTCATTGCGAGAAGTGAGGTTACAGGGAACCAGACAGAGGGCCTTCTCGGTAGTGGCACCCACCCTGTGGAACGCCCTCCCTTCAGATGTCAAAGAGATAAACAACTACCTGACATTCAGAAGACATCTTAAGGCAGCCCTGTTCAGGGAAGTTTTTAATGTGTGACATTTTAGTGTATTTTTTGTCTCTGTGGAAGCCGCCCAGAGTGGCTGGGGAAACCCAGCCAGATGGGCGGGGTACAAATAAATTGTTGTTGTTGTTAAAGGTCTGACTTTGAGAACAGCTTTGCCTGGGACACAGATTCTGTTTCCCATAAGAGTTCCCTTGCTTGCAGTGTGGTGTAGTGGTTAAGAGAGGTGGACTCGTAATCTGGTGAACCGGGTTCAGGTCTCCGCTCCTCCACATGCAGCTGCTGGGTGACATTGGGCCAGTCACACTTCTCTGAAGTCTCTCAGCCCCACTCACCTCACAGAGTGTTTGTTGTGGGGGAGGAAGGGAAAGGAGAATGTTAGCTGTTTTGAGACTCCTTCGGGTAGTGACAAAGCGGGATATCAAATCCAAACTCTTCTTCTTCTTCAATTGGCTGGAATGTGTATATTTGCATTCATTTCCCCACCACCACCTCAATAAAGTCACCGGGCACAATTTGGGTTGACAAGAGTTCTGGATTTTGCATGTTACTGGCAGATGGCAAATTTTTGGAAGCAGGGTTTCCTGCGCTCACAACCTTTGTGAGTCCTAGGAAGTTGAAGAGGTTATGCGCTAGGAACTATTCTCCTCCTGGAAACGCCTAGTCCAATTAATGTCGCGTTTCGACCTCGGATGCCCCCACTTCCAAAAGCTTTGCGCACTGCTCCTGAAACATCCAAGACTGTTGAACCGAAAGGAGAGTGGTTGGCGTCACGAAAGACCCTGCTCTCTGTCCTACCCCATCCATTTTTCTAACTTCACAGCCGCACCATATATCTAAAGCACATTTAAGGCGCGTATCTTTCCCCAAAGAATAATGGGAACGGTAAGGTAAAGGGACCCCTGACCATTAGGTCCAGTTGCGGACGACTCTGGGGTTGCGACGCTCATCTCGCTTTACTGGCCGAGGGAACCGGCGTACAGCTTCCGGGTCATGTGGCCAGCATGACCAAGCCGCTTCTGGCGAACCAGAGCAGCACACGGAAACACTGTTTACCTTCCCGCCGGAGTGGTACCTATTTATCTACTTGCACTGGCGTGCTTTTGAACTGCTGGGTTGGCAGGAGCAGGGACTAAGCAACGGGAGCTCACCCCGTCGCGGGGATTCGAACCGCTGACCTTCTGATCGGCAAGTCCTAGGCTCTGTGGTTTAACCCACAGCACCACCCACGTCCCTACTGGGAATGGTAGTTTTCCCCTAACAGATTTATAATTCCCGGCAATCTTAGCAAACTAACAGATTTATAATTCCCGGCAATCTTAGCAAACTACAGAATTCTTTGGGAGGATTCGTGCACTTTAAATTCACTTTATACACCTCACATTTAAGGTGCATGACTTCCTCCGAAGAATCCTGGGAACTGTAAAGGTAAAGGTAAAAGACCCCTGGATGGTTAAGTCCTGTCAAAGGCAACTATGGGGTTGGGGTGCTCATCTCGCTTTTAGGCCGAGGGAGGCGGCGTTTGTCCGCAGACAGTTTTCCAGGTCACGTGGCCAGCAGGACGAAACTGTTTCTGGCGCAACGGAATAACATGATGGAAGCCGGAGTGCAAGGAAACGCCATTTACCTTCCTGCTGCAGTGATACCTATTTATCTACTTGCACTGGTGTGCTTTCGAACTGCTAGGTTGGCATGAACTGGGACAGAGCAACGGGAGCTCACCCCGTCACAGGGATTCGAACCGCCAACCTTCTGATTGGCAAGCCCAACACTATTATACTTATTTTATGATTACTATTTATTAAATTTGTATGCCGCCCTTCATTCAAAGATCCCAGGGCATCCCAAACCCTCGGTGGGTTAGGAACTTCCCCTGCATGCAAAGCCAGACTCTGGCGGATTGAGCGGTCAAGACCAAGAGTAGCTCCAGCGGTCAAGAAGGCAGTTTCTGCATGTGCTATAGAGGGGAGTGAGGGGCAGGTGGGACTCGTCCACCCGGGAAGAGAGCCCATCTCTGATCCTAAACCTCTGCTGCCTTGCGGGATAATAATAATAATATAATAATTTATTATTTATACCCCGCCCATCTGGCTGGGTTTCCCCAGCCACTCTGGACGGCTCCCAACAAAGTATTAAAATACAGTGGTCTGTTAAAAATTAAAAGCTTCCCTAAACAGGGCTGCCTTCAGATGTCTTCTAAAAGTCTGGAAGGTGTTCTTCTCTTTGACATCTGGTGGGAGGGTGTTCCACAGGGCGGGTGCCACTACTGAGAAGGCCCTCTGCCTGGTTCCCTGTAGCTTTGCTTCTCGCAGTAAGGAAACCACCAAAAGGCCCTCGGTGCTGGACCTCAGTGTCTGGGCTGAACGATGGGGGTGGAGACACTCCTTCAGGTATACTGGACCGAAGTCGTTGAGGGCTTTAAAAGTCAGCACCAACACTTTGAATTGTGCTCAGAAGTGTACTGGGAGCCAATGTAGATCTTTCAAGCCGGTGTTATGTTGTCTCGGCAACCGCTCCCAATCACCTGTCTAGCTGCTGCATTCTGGATAAATTGTAGTTTATTGGTCACCTTCAAAGGTAGCCCCATGTAGAGCGCATTGCAGTAGTCCAAGCGGGAGATAACCAGAGCATGCACCACTCTGAGGAGACAGTCTGCGGGCAGGTAGGGTCTCAGCCTGCATACCAGATGGAGCTGGTAAACAGCTGCCCTGGACACAGAATTAACCTGCGCCTCCATGGACAGCTGTGAGTCCAAAATGACTCCCAGGCTGCGCACCTGGTCCTTCAGGGGCACAGTTACCCCATTCAGAAGCAGGGAGTCCTCCAAACCTGCCCGCCCCCTGTCCCCCCAGAACAGTACTTCTGTCTTGTCAGGATTCAACCTCAACCTGTTAGCCGCCATCCATCCTTTGGGAGAAGGCTCAGGAGTAGACCCTACACAAATCCGGAGTCCCTAAGGCGGTTGGCTGGCGCCTTGTACGCCTCCTCCCAGCAATTCCTTCATCCCAGCTGGTGCCAAATGTCTTGCTCTGCTATCCTTTGGACCACATCAGCGATGCCCAGAGGCAGGGATCTTGCAGTCTGGCCTTTGCAGATTAAACCGTGGGGAATTGAGAGCGGTTGCTGCGTCTTAATGAGCACAGATGGGGGCTAATCACTCCTTTCCTTTTCTCCTCAGACGAGAAAACACCGAGCCACTGAGTCTGTGACGAGGTCAGAGCCAGCTGAGAGATCGACCCCAGCTCTTTGCCACTGTGGGATGCAAACAGAAGCTTCTGGAATAAACTCTTGTCTTCTGTTTGCGATTTTTGGATTAGGAAGGGTGGCTCTGAAGTTCTGACGTGTGAGGCTAGCCTTCTGAAGGAGGCATGGGCAGTTTACCCGACGGGAAGCAGAGCTTGCTGCCCCCGCCCCCCCGATCCCTGTCCAGTTTGAATCCTCTGCCAACAGCCACACCCCAGTGGTAAGGACAGCTGCTTGGCAGGCAGAAGGGCTGAAATATACTCAGGGTCAAGAGTGGATTTCATGCTCTTTATTCAGCTCATAGTGATGAGGAGGAAATGGAAGTTTCCCCAGAATGTCTGCTTTATATAGATTATTTACACAATGGGCCCCACGTGATTGGCTAATTCCGGGATTCACCTGTAGGCCAATCAGGTTGTGGATTCACTTCCACCTGGAGCTAGATTGGGTGGCTCCTGTGGACCAATCAGACTGCTGCATTCTGGACCCTATTGTTCTAGGACCAATCAGACTGCTGCATTCTGGACCCTATTGTTCTAGGACCAATCAGACTGCTGCATTCTGGACCCTATTGTTCTAGGACCAATCAGACTGCTGCATTCTGGACCCTATTGTTCTAGGACCAATCAGACTGCTGCATTCTGGACCCTATTGTTCTAGGACCAATCAGACTGCTGCATTCTGGATCCTATTGTTCTAGGACCAATCAGACTGCTGCATTCTGGATCCTATTGTTCTAGGACCAATCAGACCGCTGCATTCTGAATCCTATTGTTCTAGGACCAATCAGACCGCTGCCTTTTGGATCCTATTCAGCTCAGTACATAACAAGGGCCCAACTCCCCTGCCTGAAATTCAGATAAGCTGCTGCCAGTCAGTGTAGGCAGTACTAAGGTAGTTGGACCAATGGTCTAACTAGGTATAGAAGGCTCATAGAATCATGAAGGGCTGTTGGGTTGTGGTTTTTATTTTGATTATATATGTTGTGGTTTTATATTCTGATTTTGTTCTGTGAACCGCCCTGAGACCTTTGGGTATAGGGCAGTATATAAATTCATTCAATCAATCAATCAATCAATCAATCAATCAATCAATCAAGGAAGGGACCCTGGGGGTCATCTAGCTCAACCCCCTGCAATGCAGGAATATGAAACCGTCCCCTTAACGGGGATCGAACCTGCAACCGTGGCGGTGTTAGCACCACGCTCTATCCAACTGAGTTGTCTAATATTTATCTAGCTCCTGTGTTCGTTGTTATGAAGGCGCTAAGAACTACAGTTCCAAAAAGTGTCTTTCAGTGGCAAATGCATTTTTATTTTTAAGATTTGAAAATGGCTTTGCTTTGGCATGCAGACATGTCCTAGAGCAAGGGAACCTCAGGTCCAAGGTCAATGTGGCCCTCTAGACTTATTTACCTGGCCCTCAATATTCGCTCCAGGTCACACCCTGTTTTCTCCTGGCTAGAACGCAGCCTTGAATTCTGATAATCCTGGATGGAGGATAGAGAGCGTCGGGTGTGGGTGGGTGTCAAACAGCTAACTGTACAAAGGCAAAAAAAATTATATTCATTGCTCCACCCACCCTTGACTCTGACCCCGACCACTCTTTGTATGTGGCCCCTGGAAGGCAGCCCTGAATGGAATGTGGCCCTTAAGCTGATAAAGATTCCCCATGGCTACCCTAAAGGGACTGTCCTTCTCTTCTCTGCACCGGGCAGTTTCACCTTCAAGGCGAAGTTGCAGTTCGGGCCTCTTCAGGAGCTGAGCTTGCTGGATCAACACCAGCCCCCATGTTCAGCTCGCTGCAAAAGGGATTCCAGCTGTGTTTTGCAAACTCCACTGGGATCGCACGGCTAACCAGGGAGAAGCATCTGCAAGCTGTAATCCGTTGAAAAATAGCCACATGCACAAGAGGTACTTCCTTGTGGCTTGGCGTCCTTCATGCACATTTTGCAAGCTGCTGAAAGAAACACTTAAGGCAACTGGTGTTTGTGGTTCGAGGACCCGACCCCCGCGATGTGAAATAAATACACAAGGACACGTGATATAAGGTTAATGGGCAAGAAAAGGCCACAACTTTATTGATTACAGCAGTGAAAAGGTATTGGCTTAGGCATTGGATGTCTAAAACAAGGGGGTTTATTCACCAGTAGGTGGAGCCTGTTGATGCTAATCCAACTATAGGCTCTCCCTGATGTCACCGGGGTCGTGCCATGGCCTCCCGCCAAGCAGGCATCGGACAGAGTACACGACCGCCAGATTCCTTTAACGGAATACCCAAAATTGAAGGCATAGACGATGGCCACACCCAGCCCTTCGACACACCACAACACATTATTCCAATGCCTAACCTACCCACCAATACCACAAAAAGTTGTGACGATTGCTACGAGGTAGGCGAAAAAACCAAAAAGCCGAATGCCAAATGGAAAAATTCCTACCAGGCCCCCTAGACAACCAGGGCGACCAACCTAAGGTCCATAGCAAGGCCAAAGAACAAAGACCCTGAGCTAAAAGGGAGCGGAGGGTGGGTGACTCACGACGAGAGGACGGAGAAGAATGAGGCCGAGGAGAGGCTGGCACCACCGCAAAAGGCTGCTGAACACGCCCCCTCGAAGGCACCTGGTTGGATGCCTGCCAAGGGGGCGTGGGCGCCAGCCAGGTGAGAGGAGGAGGCAGGGGGCTAATGCCCCCTGCTAGGGGCGGTGCTTGGGCTCCCACCCACAACCACTCCCCTCTCTTCCAGGGAGGAGAGTCTTTTCTGCAGCGGCTGCACCTATATGTGCACGAGAGAGGTGGGTTTTTTTGGGGTTCACACCCCAGAAGGCAACCCCACTGCCAGCCTCTAAACCCCCTGGTCTTCCTCCTCTTCCTTCTTACCTCTGGGCTCCTGTAGACAACCTACCTACTGAACAGTTATCCCAGTATCCTTGCAAAAAGCTTACAAGGACACTATATTGTATCCGATCCCTACTAAGCATCCCTTCTGATTTCTACACAGGGAGGGGTTTCCCCCCCTCAATTTATTTTATTTTTAATATATATATAAATTTCCAGAAATTCCACATATAATTCCAATACATTAAAAAAAAAATCTTTTATATTATCAACTTCCCATCCCATTTTCCATGATGTTTTTCTTATCCTCACCCGCCTTGCTGCACCTGGTCTTCCCTTTTTTACATCGTAATCATAACACAAGAGTCCAGGGGTCAGGAAACTCCCTCAGACCTTGTAGGAGGCCGGACTATTTACTTTTGGGGGGGGGTGAACGAATTCCTATGCCCCACAAATAACCCAGAGATGCATTTTAAATAAAAGGACACATTCTACTCATGTAAAAACACCAGGCAAGCCCCACAAATAACCCAGAGATGCATTTTAAATAAAAGGGCACATTCTACTCTTGTAAAAACACGCTGATTCCCGGACTATCCATGGGCCAGATTGAGAAGGCGACTGGGCCGGATCCGGCCCCTGGGCCTTAGTTTGCCCACCCATGCAATAGTCTCTCATGCTTTCTGTTGCTTATAGATCAAATCCCACTCGCAGGTTCTTCCTATTATATTTCTTCAAATAATCCACAAAGGGTTCAAAAGCCTTCAAAAAAACCCCCAGTCTCCATTAGATTCTCTTATTCTAGCTGTTAGCTTTGCTGATTTGACATGGTCCATAACTTTGCTAATCCATTCTTCCTTTTGCTGGCAGGTTCCATCACGACGAGAATTCACTCATCCCTGTTTCCTTGAAGGGTCCTTTAGATGTTTTCCCTTTGGTCCTTTGCCCACCCCACACTTTTCAGCGTTTCCCTATCTCTTTCCTAACTGCTGGAAGTCGCTTCTAAAGAAGTGCCTCGATTGTGCTAAGAGTGACAAATGGCTCCAATTCAACGTAACTCTGCAAATCTTAATTCCCAGTTTGTGCCTGAATCCCACCTGCTGAACACTAGTGACGTGGAGCCACCTGAAGAAAGTAAGATGAGCCCTGGAACATGCCCAAATCCCTTCTAATCTAGCACTCTCCTTTGCTCAAGTTGGCCAACCGGATGCCCACTTCTGTCCACCTTCTAGATCCCTTATCCTCAGGACTCGGGTGAAACACTGCATGTATCCAAGGTGAACGGCCAAGCCAGCTTGGGCCTCTCTAAGATGTGAGTGTCCACCTTGTGCTCCTAGCTTGCCTTCCCCTTTTAGAGTCTGGGTATCCAGCCTTCTTTTTTTTTATAAGATATTTATTAAAGTTTAGACATTACAAAGAAAAGAAAAGAGAAACAAAAGAAAAATACAAGCAATAAACAGTTACAAAGCCTCAAAAACAAAAAATGAATACAGTAATACAAAACATCAACAATACAAAAAAGAAAAAAAAGAAAAAACAAAAGCATTTAAAAAACACAAAAGAGAACAAACAAACATAAAAAGGACCCCATATTTTCATATCTTTCATTTGCTTATTTCCTCAACTTCCTCACACCTCCTTTTTTTGTATTCTAGTTCAATTAATTATTCCAGCAAGTCCTTTCCCTCTTTCTCAAATTTAGTTCCATAATTTATCTTAACGCAATTTAGACTTAAATTTACATCTTTACCCAATGTCAATCTATTCATACTTAATTCTTTATAGTATTTCTACTAAAGTCATATAGCTTCTTTCCAGCATCCTTCTAACATTCATTAATTTTAGAGTATTTCTGTAAATATACTTTAAATTTTTTCCAATCTTCTTCCACCGACTCTTCTCCCTGGTCTCGGATTCTGCCAGTCATTTCCGCCAATTCCATGTAGTCCATCAGCTTCATCTGCCATGGGTATCCAGCCTTCATTTGGGGGACGACCATTCTCTGAAGGACCTTGTTCCATTTGCTTTCTCCATTTTATCATCAAAAGTGGGCCTGAGAGGCCAGATTGGGGGGGGGGGAGCCCTCTCCATTGACCCTTGTTTCCCATTGCCCATTTCTAGAGATCAGGGCTTTCTGTTGGAGACGGTGCAAACCAGCCGTCTCCACTAAAGATACAAAATTCCTCTTTTCTGCCAGTTGCTCTGGGGGGGGGGGGGTAAAAACAGAGCGAATGGCAGCCATAACAAACCTCGCAACAGGCAAAAAAGGCCTTGTTTATATTCCAGCATGGAGACTCTTCAGAGTCCCATGGACTGCAAGAAGATCAGACCTATCCATTCTGAAGGAAATCAGCCCTGAGCGCTCACTGGAAGGACAGATCCTGAAGCTGAGGCTCCAAGACTTTGGCCACCTCATGAGAAGAGAAAACTCCCTGGAAAAGACCCTGATGTTGGGAAAGATGGAGGGCACAAGGAGAAGGGGACGACAGAGGATGAGATGGTTGGACAGTGTTCTCGAAGCTACCAGCATGAGTTTGACCAAGGCAGTGGAAGACAGAAGTGCCTGGCATGCTCTGGCCCATGGGGTCACGAAGAGTCGGACACGACTAAACGACTAAACAACAACAACAATATTCCAGCATCCTATCGCTTCTCACATCCATGAGGGCAATGGATGCTTCCGGAAAAGGTGTGGGGAAACTTTGACCCCTTCCAGGTGTTGCTGAAACTACAACACCCATCATCCTTGCTTGTTGGCCATGCTAGCTAGGGGCTGATGGCAGGTTGCAGTTCAATGTCTGGTGGCTCAAAGAGTTATCCACTCCTTCGCAGAAGTTCAACCCTTCCTGTGTGAACAGAGGAAAAGTCGTGCTGGTTTAGGGGAACATCCTTTTCCCCACAGGTTTGCCAAGTCCAGTGTTTACATCCACATCGTTCCATCCTTGTTTCAGATATCGTGATGTATCGGTATACAGTCATACCTCGGGTTACAGGCGCTTCGGGTTGCGCACCGCACCGAACCTGGAAGTACCGGAACAGGTTACTTCAGGGTTTTTGGCGCATGTGCAGAAGCACTAAATCGCACTTTGCGCATGCACAGAGGCACCAAATTGTGACCTGCATGTGCACAGGCACGGCGCTGCGGGTTGCGAACGTGCTTCCCGCACGGATCACGTTCGCAACCTGAGCGTCCACTGTATCACGATGTTTAGCTAGTGATATATCATGCTGCTGAAAACCAGATATCGAGGTGATAGGGTGCAAAAACTGGGATGGGGTGGGCTACCTGCTTAGCAAAGGTTCATCTGCTATGTTCTGGGTTCTGCGTGGTATTCTTTTTAACATGAAAGGGGGGGCGCAGAGATTCCCATTCCTTAATCCTCCAGCTCAAGGCCACACACAGTGTTTTCCACACTTTGATTAATCATGATCAGGACTTTGTGCATTCTGCTGTGTGGGGTGGTGGGAAAACATCTACATCCAGGGGGGAAATGCATCTACCCCCCACCCCACAGGGTTAAACCACAGAGCCTAGGACTTGCCAATCAGAAGGTCGGCGGTTCGAATCCCCGCGACGGGGTGAGCTCCAGTTGCTCGGTCCCTGCTCCTGCCAACCCAGCAGTTCAAAAGCACGTCAAAGTGCAAGTAGATAAATAGGTACCGCTCTGGCGGGAAGGTAAACGGCGTTTCCGTGCGCTGCTCTGGTTCGCCAGAAGCGGCTCAGTCATGTTGGCCACCAGACCCGGAAGCTGTACGCCGGCTCCCTCGGCCAATAAAGCAAGATGAGCGCCGCAACCCCAGAGTCGGCCACGACTGGACGTAATGGTCAGGGGTCCCTTTACCTTTACCCTCCCCAAAAAGAGGGGGTGAATGTGATTTGTGAATGCCAAGTGTATCTGCAATACCAAATCCCTTTCACTTAATTTCAACAGTGTCTGCAGATGTCAGGGTGCAAAATCCAGCCCTATATAGGGAGGTTTGAGAAGGGGGGAAAATTCTGTGAATTTCATGAATTCTGTGAAAGGGAAGGGAGTACACGTTTTTGTTCTCCCCAACCTTAAAAAGAAGAAGTTTCTACTCCTCACGGTGGCTTAAAAGTGTACAATTAATGCCTATTGAGATCTGAGAAGACAAAATGGAGACCAAGTAGGAGTTTTCACTGGTTAGTGGATATGAGGCATTGATGTCTTGCACGGTCCACACATGATAAGTGGAAGCATTAATTTTTTGCAGAGTTAAGGAAATATAGATCCCAGATTTCAGAATTTACTCAGGTCGCAGAAGTTTCCAAAGCATGTTAAAACATTCAGCTGCAATTATTTAAGGATTCCCCATTTTCAACTGATGATCTTCCCAAAAAGTCTTGCTATCTAACCCAGTTAGATTCCATGTTTGTGCACAGATATATTTCATTAACAAAATACCTAGAGATTTATGCACAGACCTAGAGATATTTACAAGGCAGTATGCCTCATTGGCCTAAGCAGGACATACTTCCAAGTACTGTAAACTTTCCAAGTTATGGTCAGGCTGTTGTTGCCTGAACTCTTGCAGGGAACCGCATGAAGAAATTTCAACAGTTTGATGCAAGAACAAAACTGAGAAAAGCAATGATTTGATGCAAGAACAATAAAAACTTGTTTATTAAACAGTCTCAAACGTCACCGGAACAAAACATAATAAACTTCTGCAATGCAAACACCACCACCCACAAGAACAAATATAGATATAAATACTTTTCTTTTTAAAATATATATAAAAATATTTCTTTTCAAAGCATATAAACTTTTCTCACATATACAAAACACACATGATATAAGAAACAAAATGGCAACTTTTGGGATTTGTTTTAGGATTCTTTGAGGGGGAAATAGCTGCTTCCATCATGCAACAAGTGGCCCTGAAAAGATTTAAGACATCTAAAAAAGCAAGAAACAAAAGTGTTATAAACTCACAGATTTTGGGAAACAAACTAGGCTGATTTCCGTTCTTCAAACTGAAAAGCAGGGTGCATTTTCATGATATCCCGTATGTGTCCCAATGTCTTTTTAAAAAGATCACTTGTTGCAGCATCCATCATCTTCCTGGCGTAGAAAGCAAATAATACAAAATAAACGTCTTGATTTAAATGTATTTTGAAAGGGGAGGTTGGGTAAGGGCAAACGAAGCTGGCTTTTTTGGAGTTGCCGGTGTCAAAATTGTTGCCTGTCGATGCGTTCTGTCTTATTAATTACAGTAGTTGTGGGTTGGTGGTTCTTCGTTCCTGAGCAGGGAGGTCCCTCGCTTCATCTCTTAACCTTGCGCCCAGCCGAGTTGCGTCCGCACTTGCGATACAGTGACTGCTTCTCCTGGTTGAGCGGGCAGTATTTGAGCGTGTGGGCCTTGCCGGCTGTGGCGCCACAGAGCGGGCAGGTGTAGTTGCGAAGGATGGGGCAGGCCACCACCCCGTCGGCCCGTTTCAGCGGGTGGGAAGTGTAGACGTTCTTGGACTCTCCGTTGTGCTTGCAAAAGTTGCAGATCATCCCCTTGGCGGCTTGCTGGGGGGGCTGCGACGCCTCGCCGTTCGCTCCACCCTCCGAGCTGCTGCTCCCGCTGCTGATGGCCCACTGAGCCAGGACCCCCAAGGGGTCTTCAAGGGGTCCCAAGGGCACATCACTGCAGTCAAGGGGACCCCAGACCGGAAAACCAGCCTGCCCCTTCTTCCGGTCCTCAATGATCTCCAGGATGACCTTCGACAGGTTGAGATAGTCTTTAAACCTGTCAAAATACTGGCCCCCGGTCAAGGCAGGGGGATAAGAGGGAATCGGGAAGGATGAAAGCATGGCCAATGCTACACAGAGGCACACAACTCTCTTAAGTGATGTGGGACTGATACTCAAAACGCTGTTTAGACAATGTTAATATTGGGGAGGTGGAGTTTGCAATTTAAAGGGCCAGGGGTATGAAAATATTCATCCCCACCTCCCCACACGTCCCCGCCATGTCCTGAATTTAACCTTTATACGTCTAGACATGCAAGGTTTTCTGCAAAGAACTCATGACTTGACCAAGCACACACACACACAGAGAGAGAGAGAGAGAGAGAGAGAATTGTGCTATGTTTTAGGCACAAAATTCGCCTGAAAATGTCCAGAGTTGGTTCTGCAAGCACAACTGAAAGCTCCTTTTGTGCCATGGGGCACCCTAGACTCAGCCGCATTCCCCTCTCGGATAAAAGACCGGTTTTAGGGAAACCAAGTGGCGCTTCTTGCAGAAAGACACTGGACTTTGGAAACTTGACTGCAAAACAAGGGAATTGGTAAAGAAGAAAAAAAGGAACGTTGAAAGGGAACGCCAAGAGGGTGAAATCTCTCCAGGATGCTTAGGGGGTTATTCAAAACTATAGTAATAGAAGCAGAGCTAGGTATATATACCAGAAGTTTACTGCAAGGGAAAGAAGATGTTGACATGATTAACTAGCAAGAGTCAAAGCAGCTACAAGAAGAAACAAGGCTTCCTTCAGAAAAACGGAAGACTTGCTGAAATTAGGACAAATAGGAACCTAAGAATCTGGCCAAAGAAATGTTAGCAGACCGTAAAGGGCGTGAAAAATAAAAACAACCGAGGGACACATCGTTAAAATGTTAACACCAACATGTTCAAAGGTTTTTAAATGCCTCAGAAGTAGGGAAACCGCTTGACTGTTAGGATGACAGTAGACTTAAAGGTGTGCTGAAGTAGAAGGAGATGGCAGAAAAGGAGGATCCTTTGCCTTTTGTCTTTTGGCAGAAAACGTAGATGAGATCCCTGTGCCTGAACTGACTTTTCAAAGAGGGGAGTCTGAAGAACGAGGCAAATACTGGTGGCAAGACATGAAATTCTAGGCCGCAATAACAAATTAAAAAGGGAACAAAGCACCAGAACTAGGCTGTATCCTGCCCCCTCCAATTCATCAAAGAAATCAAATGCCAAATTGCTGGCATACAAAAATATGTAACCTGTCCTAAGACTGACCTCTGCTCTGGAGGACTAGAAAGTGACCATGGGGAGGGAGGGATCCGGGGAGATCCAGTTAGCCGAAGGTGCATTACATTTGTAAATGGGTGGAAAGCGTTATGAAGAATAAGATCACCAAGCATATGGAAGAAAACGAAGAATTTGCTGGAGAAGAATCAGCAAGGCTTCTGCAAAGGCGAGTCCTGTCTCACTAACCTTTTGAACGCTAGGACGCGGGTGGCACTGTGGGTTAAACCACAGAGCCTAGGACTTGCCGATCAGAAGGTTGGCGGTTCGAATCCCTGCGACGGGGTGAGCTCCCGTTGTTCGGTCCCAGCTCCTGTCAACCTAGCTGTTCAAAAGCACACCAGTGCAAGTAGATAAATAGGTACCACTCCGGCAGGAAGGTAAATGGCGTTTCCGTGCGCTGCTCTGGTTCTCCAGAAGCGGCTTAGTCATGTTGGCGACATGACCCGGAAGCTGTACGCCGGCTCCCTTGGCCAGTAAAGCGAGATGAGCGCCGCAACCCCAGAGTCGGTCACGACTGGACCTAATGGTCAGGGGTCCCTTTACCTTTACCTTTAAGGGGGGCTGGCTTCAGGCACCAGGCCGCTGGCAGGCCAACTCTGTGTTACGTCTGCAAACATGACGTGAACACTGGCAACATCAACCCCGCCGCGTGGGAATCTTTGCAGACGACTGCAGTGCCTGGAGACAGACAGTCAGGCTGTGCATCCATAGCAGTGACCAGAGGAGGAATGACCGCTGGGAGAAGCGCAGAGAGTCGAAATGCCATGGGGCATCTTCAGCAGCACAAACAGATGCCTTCTTCTGCCCCAGCTGCAACGAAACATGTCTCTCCTGTATCAGTCTCTACAGCCATAGCTGGTGCTGCAACCTTCCAGTGGTTTGACCTCAATCCCAAAGGCGCACTCCTCTATTTCCTCCCCAAGACAGATGGACGCCAGCAACAACTCCCACCGGTGCTAGCTAGTTTCTAAATCAGCCTTTCTCAACCTGTGGGTCCCCAGATGTTGTTGAACTACAACTCCCATCACCCCTAGCTAACAAGGCAAGAGCTCAGGGACGATGGGAGTTGTAGTTCAACAACATCTGGGGACCCACAGGTTGAGAACCGCTGTTCTAAATGGACACGGGTGGCACTGTGGGTTAAACCACAGAGCCTAGGACTTGCCGATCAGAAGGTCGGCGGTTCGAATCCCCATGACAGGGTGAGCTCCCGTTGCTTGGTCCCTGCTCCTGCCAACCTAGCAGTTCGAAAGCACGTCAAAGCGCAAGTAGATTCAGTGGTGCCTCGCAAGACGAAATTAATCCGTTCCGTGAGTGTCTTCGTCTAGCGGTTTTTTCGTCTTGTGAAGCAACCCTATTAGCGGCTTAGCGGATTAGCGCTATTAGCGGTTTAGCGGCTATTAAAGGCTTAGCGGCTTAGCTGCTAAAAGGCTATTAGCGGCTTAGCGGCTTAGAAAAAGGGGGGGGGGGGAAGCAGGGAAAAAATCTCAAGACTCGCAAGACATTTTCGTCTTGCGAAGCAAGCCCATAGGGAAATTCGTCCTGCGAAGCAACTCAAAAATGGAAAACCCTTTCGTCTAGCGGGCTTTCCGTCTTGCGAGGCATTCGTCTTGCGGGGCACCACTGTAACTAGGTACAACTCCAGCAGGAAAGTAAACGGCGTTTCCATGCGCTGCTCTGGTTCGCCAGAAGCGGCTTAGTCATGCTGGCCACATGACCCAGAAGCTGTACGCCAGCTCCCTCGGCCAATAAAGCGAGATGAGCGCCACAACCCCAGAGTCGGCCACGACTGGACCTCATGGTCAGGGGTCCCTTTACCTTTACAACCTGAGCATAGGGTGGAAGGGCTGACAGCGTTAACACCCCAAGAGGTCCTTTTTCCCTGCCCTGAAACAGACATCAACCATTGCTCCAACTCTCCCGCTTGCCACCCATTTTGCATCTAGCACGGAGGTCCCTGATCCTTTGTTGTCTTAATGGCACATCACTCCCGGCGATTGCCTCAACACCAGAGGCCAGGCTGGCTTCATTAGCAATTAACACTTTTAATTGGCTTTTAACACTTGCTGAGTACAGAGGCTGGGAATGTCTGCAGCACAGCTTAGCACGCCAAACCTTGATTAAATTCCGACACTTACAGGATCCAGGTGTCTGGCACCAACAAACTAACAACTCCCATTACAGTAAGCCCACAATTTGCATGCATTTAACTTGCCTGCATTCAGCTTTAGGTGCTTGGCAATTTTGAAAAAATTAAAAAAAGTAAAGGGGAAGAAATACTTTGGCAATCCCACCCACCGTTGAACTCAGTGCATTTTGACTATGTGTGATTTTGGCTTTAGGCACCGTCCTTAGACTGTAACCCCCATGTATGTTTACCTACTGTATTCAAATCAATGGGGTTGCACCCATGCTCGAAATACTATGTACAGTTCTGGGTTGGCGCATGCCAATAAGAATACTGCAGAACCGGGAAAGGTGTGCTGTGGAAGAAAAGTGGCTGGAGGCACTTTCCCCCAAGGAAAAGTTGCCGCATTTCGGGCGTTTCGATGAGCTATGCAGAACTGACCAAATTGACATATACCGTATTTTTTGCTCTATAAGACTCACTTTTTCCCTCCTAATAAGTAAGGGGGAATGTGTGCGCGTCTTATGGAGTGAATGCAGGCTGCGCAGCTATCCCAGAAGCCAGAACAGCAAGAGGGATCACTGCTTTCACTGCGCAGGGATCCCACTTGCTGTTCTGGCTTCTGAGATTCAGGGGGGAAAATTTCTTGTTTTCCTCCTCCAAAAACTAGGTGCGTCTTGTGGTCTGGTGCGTCTTATAGAGCGAAAAATACGGTAAACTGCGGGACAAGGACAACTGTGACTTTAAGGTAGAATGGGAGCTTTTTACAAATTATTTAAAAAGACAACAAAATGAACTGGACTCCTTGGCAGGTTTTGAATAAACATACACAAATTTATTGGTTGATAACATCATAGATAGATAAGGTAAGGATATATATAATTTTATAACATGCAGAGAATAATATGTACAGAGAAATCAGAGAGAGGAGCTGAGGGAAGTCCTAGGGGGGAGAGGGGATGGAGGAGTGGAAGGGGGGAAACTATGTTTGTGATTATACGGTGAAATATACTCAGAGTCGAGAGTGGATTTCATGCTCTTTATTCAGCTCATAGTGGTGAGGAGGAAATGGAAGTTTCCCCAAAGTATCTGCTTTATATACATAATTTACACAATGGGCTGCACGTGATTGGCTAATTCCGGAATTCTCCTGTAGGCCAATCAGGTTGTGGATTCATTTCCATCTGGAGCTGGATTGGGTGGTTCCTGCAGACCAATCATACTGCTGCATTGTTCTAAAACCAATCAGACTGCTGCATTCTGAATCCTATTGTTCTAGGACCAATCAGACTGCTGCTTTTTGGATCCTATTCAACTCAGTACATAACATACGGTTTGACAATTTGTTATGTTGAAATTGGTTAATAAAAAAGTTTTTTTAATAAAAAAGAGAAAGCGGCGGGAGGAAGCCCGATAGGAATTTATAAGACAATATACAGCAGGGTGTAAAAGTTTTCCTCCCCTCCTTATAACACTAGGGGGACGTCCAGCAAAGATTCGGGACAGATAAACAAAAGTCCTTCGTCATAGCTAATCTGTGGAACTGCCTCCCACAGGAGGCAGTCACTGCCACCAAGTTGGAAGGCTGTTGAAAGAGGACTGGAGAAATCCGCTATCAAAGGCTACTAGCCACAGGGCTCGGCTCTACCTCCAGAGTCAGAGGCAGCGTCACTTCCGAGTCCCAATGGCTGGAAGCTGCAAGAGCACAAGGGCTCTTGTGCTCGGATCCTGATCATGGGTTTCCTATGGTGGCTGCATACTGTTGTTGTTGTTTAGTCGTTCAATCATGTCCAACTCTTCATGACCTCATGGACCAGAGCACGCCAGGCACTCCCGTCTTCCACTGCCTCCCGCAGTTTGGTCAAACTCATGCTGGTAGCTTCGAGAACACTGTCCAACCATCTCGTCCTCTGTCGTCCCCTTCTCCTTGTGCCCTACATCTTTCCCAACATCAGGGTCTTTTCCAGGGAGTCTTCTTTCTCATGAGGTGGCCAAAGTCTTGGAGCCTCAGCTTCAGGATCTGTCCTTCCAGTGAGCACTGAGGGCTGATTTCCTTCAGAATGGATAGGTTTGATCTTCTTGCAGTCCATGGGACTCTCAAGAGTCTCCTCCAGGACCAGAATTCAAAAGCATCCATTCTTCGGCGATCAGCCTTCTTGATGGTCCAGCTCTCACTTCCATACATCACTACTGGGAAAACCATAGCTTTTACTATATGGACCTTTGTTGGCAAGGTGATGTCTCTGCTTTTTAAGATGCTGTCCAGGTTTGCCATCGCCTTTCTCCCAAGAAGCAGGCGTCTTTTAATTTCGTGGCTGCTGTCACTATCTGCAGTGATCATGGAGCCCAAGAATGTAAAATCTCTCACTGCCTCCATTTCTTCCCCTTCTATTTGCCAGGAGGTGATGGGCCCAGTGGCCATGATCTTCGTTTTTTTGATGTCGAACTTCAGACCATATTTTGCGCTCTCCTCTTTCACCCACAATAAAAGGTTCTTTAATTCCTCCTCACTTTCTGCCATCAAGGTTGTGTCATCTGCATACCTGAGGTTGTTGATATTTCTTCCGGCAATCTTAATTCTGGCATGGGAAATACCTGTTGCTTGTGTATCAGGACCAGAAGTGGGTTATGGCGCTTGCAAGCAGCCCATGGAGGCAATGCTGTTCCCCCTTTGGCCCTGATCCAGCACCCAAATTCTTCGGATGTTCATCTGTCAAATACTGAGACTGGCCAAAGAGTGGTTGCATCCGTACCATCCATTGAAAGCCCCTGGCTTCCCTTCCTAATCCTCTCTCTCTTCCTCTTTTGCATTTAATCATATTTCTCGATACTTGTCGAAAGATATACAAAAGTTCATACGCAATACAAAGTATCCTTTTTTCATATAATACACTGAAATAAAAGGGATGTCTAATCTGGAAGGGAATTTGTCTATAATCCTTTTAAAGCCGTCTAGGAAGTTGCTGGCCTGTTGCACGCCACTGAAATCCCCGAGCGGTCCGAGATTCCAGGGGTGATGGACCTTGAGGCGCACCAGGTGTTGCTGAACTACAACTCCCATCAGCCCCAGCAATAAAAGTACCATGACTAGGAACGGACTCAGGTGAAATCTACACATACCGTATTGACCCGAATATAAGCCGCACTCCCCCCCCCCCCAATTTGGGCCGTGAAAAGTTAAAGTATGGCTTATATTTGCAGCCTTCCCCGGAAGCAGCGTGGGGCAGCGGTGTGTTGCTTGCCTGCCGCTCCCAAGCCTCCCCCAGTTGCCTTAGGAAGGGGGAAGGGGGGAAGGCCGCCGGCAAAGCGGCGCGGCTCCGCCACCCCCCCCCCAGAGCAGCCAAGCAGCATGGGGCAATGATGCGCAGCCTCCTCACAAGCCTTCCCTGGCGCCGGCTTGGGGAGGTTGTGCTGGGAATGCCAGGAGGCAGAAGTGCCGGGAGGCAGGCCACACCCACAAGCAAGCCTTGAATTTTAAAGGTGCAGCTTATTTGCAGGTGTGTCTTATATTCGGGCCAATATGGTATAAGCTGTGAAAATCCTTCTTTAAAGAAATGCTTTTTTAAAAAAAATACATTGAATTTGCCATTAGCTCACCAGCGTCATGTAGTGTCACATTTGTATAATGCACTTAAAACGTTATATTTGCAGCTGTATAGCTGAGTCCATGGATGGCTTTAAATTAGGGTCAAGACAAACTCACAGAGGATATGACCAGCTATGCTCTATCTCAGGGGTCAGCAAACTTTTTCAGCAGGGGGCCGGTCCACTGTCCCTCAGACCTTGTGGGGGGCCAGACTATATTTTTTTGGGGGGGATGAACGAATTCCTATGCCCCACAAATAACCCAGAGATGTATTTTAAATAAAAGGACACATTCTACTCATGTAAAAACATGCTGATTCCTGGACCGTCCATGGGCCGGATTGAGAAGGCGATTGGGCCGGATCCGGCCCCCGGGCCTTAGTTTGCCTACCCATGCTCTATCTCCACTGTCAGACAGCAACAGACCTCCTAGTGTCCCTATTTTCCATTTACAGAAGCCGTCCTGGTTTCTGATTTGATCCCAGAATGTCCTGCTTTTCCTTGTTGTTGTTTAGTCATTTAGTCGCATCCGACTCTTTGTGACCCCATGGACCATAGCACGCCAGGCACTCCTGTCTTCCACTGCCTCCCGCAGTTTGGTCAAACTCATGCTAGTAGCTTTGAGAACACTGTCCCACCATCTCGTCCTCTGTCGCCCCCTTCTCCTTGTGCCCTCCATCTTTCCCAACATCAGGGTGTTGTCCAGGGAGTCTTCTCTTCTCATGAGGTGGCCAAAGTATTGGAGCCTCAGCTTCAGGATCTGTCCTTCCAGTGAGCACTCAGGGCTGATTTCCTAAGAATGGAGAGGTTTGATCTTCTTGCAGTCCATGGGACTCTCAAGAGTCTCCTCCAGCACCAGAATTCAAAGCATCAATTCTTCGGTGATCAGCCATCTTTATGGTCCAGCTCTCACTTCAGAGAAGCTATGAGCTATGCCGTGCAGGGCCACCCAAGATGGACAAGTCATAGTGGAGAGTTTTGACCAAACGTGATCCACCTGGAGCAGGAACCGGCAAGCCACTCCAGTATCCCTGCCAAGAAAACTCCGTGGACAAAGACAACAGGCTTTTCCTTAGGACGTCCCAATTATTATTATTAATAATAATCACCTTTATTTACTGACCTAGAACCTCAGGGTGGTTCACAACACTACATTGCAATATAATTTGTTTGTTTTGGACTTTGCTTCAGGGAAAAAATTACTTGGCAAAAATAGATCCTTGGCTGAACGGCTGAATGGGGCTGTTTTGCAGCTGTATATTGGGCCTTCATCTCATGTGTTTATAATTAGCAATTGCACCCATCTCTTCTCTCAGCCTCGCTGGACATATAGAAAATATACCTAGTTTTCAGTCACGTCATGCCTTTTCAAGTCCTTCCTGACTTTACTTTTGCTGTTCGACGCAGCTTAAAAAAATTGTGATTCATTAATTAATTAATGTAATATAAGGCATACCTGATATAATGATCACTTTCGGTCTCTATCCTCATCCTACCTGGTTTGACTGTTCTTTCTTGGTTTTACGTTACATTAAAAACCCAATAAAAGTTATTGTAAAGAAAGAAAAATCGCTTCGGCCTTCATAAGTGCGTGTGGTGCTGCTTTCACTTTCTGTTCCTCTACCAGTGCAGATCCCTTCCCACCGTCTGCTCTCACCTGCCCTGGATCTCTCCCGATCCCAGCTGGAGAGCTTTCCCTCGGACCGGATCGCTCAGCCGCTATAGGAGCAACGCGCTCAACGGCCACTAGAGGGCAATAGAGCCGCGCGTTTCCGCGCCCGCCCAGCCATAGGAGGACGTTCGGTGCCTCGAGGAGTGACAAGCCGAGGCGCCAATAGCCGGCGCCGAGAGGCGGGCGCAGCTCTGGGCGGGGTTCTTGCTTGATGTCCGAGGTCCCTTGGACCAATAAGCGCCGCCGGGTCGAGCTTCCCGTCTCGGATTGGGTGCTCCACGCCCCCTCTCCCGCCCACACACTCAAGGAGAGGGAGAGGAGGGGCTTGTAGTGTTAGGGGCGGAGCCACCGCTCTGACTGACGGCGAGCGTGGCCTCCGAGGGAGCCCTGGGAGGTGACGGACGTCGCCACGAGCCAATGGCGGCGCGGGAGCGGTTGAGCGGGCGGCCAATGGGAGAGCGGCGAGGAGGCGGCTTTCGCTGGAGACGGCAGTTGAGGTGTGGGCGGCGCGCAGGTAAGTTGGCTTTTGGGGGGCTCCGTCCCCTATTTAAACCCCCGAACCCACCTCATTCCGGCCTCCCTCAAAACAGTAACCCCTCCCCCCGTCTCCTAATAGCCGCCTCCCCCCCATGAATGCTAATTAACCCCAGGCAATTAGCGCTAATTAGCGCCCCCGCAATTAAGACCATAAGAAGAAGACTCCTGCCTCAGAGTCCAAGCAGGAGCCCTTCCTAGGCCTAATAACCGCCTCCCCCCCATTAATGCTAATTAACCTCAGGCAATTAAGACTAATTAATACTAATTAACGCCCCCTATTAAGGACATAGCAGTCAACGTTTCCCTTTTTTTAGGGGAAATTCCCTTATTCCGAATAGGATTCCTCGCAAGAAAAGGGAAAAGTTGACAGCTATGCCTCAGACCCCAGACAATAGCCCCTCCCACAATGAATGCTAATTTTTGCTAAGTAACGCCCATTAAAACCTTAAGAATCCTGATTCAGACCCCCAAACAGTAGCCCTGCCCGTCGTTAATGCTAATTAACGCCCTCCCACAATGAATGCTAATTTTTGCTAAGTAACGCCTATTAAAACCTTAAGAATCCTGATTCGGACCCCCAAATAGTAGCCCTGCCCGTCGTTAATGCTAATTAACGCCCTCCCACAATTAATGCTAATTTTTGCTAATTGACGCCCATTAAAACCTTAAGAATCCTGATTCCGACCCCAAACAGTAGCCCTGCCCACAGTTAATGCTAATTAACACCCTCCCTATTAAGACCGTAGGAAGGCTGCTTTCTCGGACTCCAATCAGTAGCCCCTCCCACTCCCAATAGTCGCCTCTCCACCATTAATGCCAAACATCTCCTGCCCTTAAGGGTAATTATCCCCTCCTTGTCACTGCTAAATGCTAATTGAAGTCCCCAGCCCCAGTTAAAAATATATGGATAGCCTGGCTGGGTCAGGCGAAAGGCCAGTCAAGTCCAGCTTCCTGCTATCAGAGGAGCCACCCAGACCTCCGACATGGGGAGCCTGCAAGGATAAATTGATGCTAATTAATCCACTATTATGCTCATTATCACAGTTTCCCTATCCCTGTTGCAGATCCTCCGGGTGGAGCTTTTCGGTCCCTTGCTGCCAGTATTTAGATTTGCATCCCATTTCCCCTCCCACTTGTCTCTCCTTATTTTTCTATGTTTTCCCAATCTCACTGAATCCAACACTGTCCCTCCATCAGTCTGGTCAGTCGTGGCCGCACTGGGCCATGAGACAAATTCAGGAAAATGGCATTAAGTGACTCTCGGACACTATGGGGGAGACAAAAAAATTAACAGTGCTCAGTTACTGGCCATTCTCTCCCGGCAGAAACATTTGTCTTAATTCTGAACCTGTGGGGTGGGAGAAACCATCATCCAGGGAACATCTGATGCGTGTGTCTGTGTGTGATTTTGTGATTGCTTCACACCCTGCTGCTAAACTTCCCTGCTTTTGTTTCCCCCCACATAGACAATTGTGCGTGGAAGGCTGCTGTTCAAGGCTGCCCACTTCCTGCCCTGCGAGGCTGGCAGAGATTGCTGGTCGCAACATGGACAAGCTGCACGGGCTGCAAGCGGACTATGTTTTCCGTGGCGTTGAGCACATCGTCCGGATGTCGGTGGACGGGAACCTTCTGGAAGTAGAAGTGGAGGACCGGCTCACCACGGACCAGTGGCGGGGGGAGTTTGATGCTGCTTGTGAGTAATGAATCTGACACTGAGGAAGCTGTGCTGATGTGAACAGCTTGGGAGGGGGAAGAGCTGTGAAATGCCCGGCTACACTGTGCTGCTATATGGGAAACCAAACACCGCCTTTCTCTGCTTTGACTATCTGGCACGTGCAGAGATGAGCCAGCTGCCCTCTGCAGTTGCCCTTCTGGCTCTGCTTTGTCCCTGCCTCTGCTGGCCACTTGAAGCCCTGTGTCTTTAATTATAATACAGTGGTGCCTCGCAAGACGAAAAGAATCCGTTCCGCGAGTCTCTTCGTCTTGCGGTTTTTTCGTCTTGCGAAGCAAGCCCATTAGCGGTTTAGCGGATTAGCGCTATTAGCGGCTTAGCGGGCTTAGCGGATCAGCTGATAAGCGGCTTAGTGGCTTAACGGATCAGCTGTTAAGCGGCTTAGCGGATCAGCTGATAAGCGGCTTAGGGATCAGCTGTTAAGCGGCTTAGCGGCTTGGGAAAAGGGGGGGGGAGGGGGAAAAAACCCGCAGGAACTCGCAAGACATTTTCGTCTTGCGAAGCAAGCCCATAGGAAATTCGTTTTGCGAAGCACCTCCAAAACGGAAAACCCTTTCGTCTAGCGGGTTTTCCGTCTTGCGAGGCATTCGTCTTGCGGGGCACCACTGTAATAATAATAATAATAATAATAATAATTTTATTTATACCCCGCCCTTCCCTGTTCAAAAACCGGGCTCAGGACGGCTAACAACAAATTTAAAACACTTTAAAACACTTAATTATAAAAGCAGCATAAAATACAATATAAAAACATGAATAACAATAAAATTCAAAAATCAATTAGATAATCCCCAGGGCTAGATGGCTGAATTGGTCCTACTTGTACCAGCTAGGAGGTCAGGGGAGAATTAGCTGTGGGGTCTTAGAGCGGGTGATCTTCATAAAAGGGGAGGGGGAGGGAAGAGAAGGGAAATAAAAGATCAGGCTGAATTCAAATTAAAGGCCAGGCGGAATAGCTCTGTCTTACAGGCCCGACGGAAGGAGGTTAAATCCTGAAGGGCCCTAGTCTCCTGGGACAGAGCATTCCACCAGGTCTTTTCAAACGATAAAATACTGGTTCCATTTCCCTCTTGCTCTCAAATTCCCAAGTTAAACCATTACATGCTCCCTATTACATGCCAAAATCAGCATCCCTCATGTTTTCCCTTTTCTTCCAGTCATTGAAGACCTCACTCACAAGACTGGGAATTTCAAGCAGTTTGGTATCTTCTGCAGCATGCTAGAGTCGGCCCTTTCCCAGGTGAGGCTCAGTTTGGTTTTGGGGCCGCCACGGAAAAGTCTATGGAAATGTGTCTCTTGAGCATTGCAGCTTTCCTAAGCTTCCTCTCCCTTCGGTCCCTTCTCCCCGGCCACCAACCATCCATTCCACAGGTGGACACCTGGGAGATTTCTTCGTCTATAGTCCTCTCCTGGGTGTGAACACGGCAGATAAAAGCCTCAATCTTTAAAAAACAAACAAACAAACAAACAGAAACAGACATTAATATCAGGTAGGTAGCCGTGTTGGTCTGCCGTAGTCAATACAAAATAAGATAATAAATAAAAAATACCTTCCAGTAGCACGGTAAAGGTAAAGGGACCCCTGACCATTAGGTTCAGTCGTGACCAACTCTGGGGTTGCGGCGCTCATCTCGCTTTATTGGCCGAGGGAGCCGGCGTACAGTTTCCGGGTCATGTGGCCAGCATGACTAAGCTGCTTCTGGCGAAGCGGAGCAGCGCACGGAAACGCCGTTTACCTTCCCTTCAGAGTGGTACCTAGTTATCTACTTGCACTTTGACATGCTTTCGAACTGCTAGGTTGGCAGGAGCAGGGACCGAGCAATGGGAGCGCACCCCGTTGTGGGGATTCAAACCGCCAACCTTATGATTGGCGAGTCCTAGGCTCTGTGGTTTAACCCACAGTGCCACCCGCGTCCCTTAGTAGCACATTAGAGACCAACTAAGCTAGTTATTGGTATGAGCTTTTGTGTGCATTCACACTTCTTCAGATGTGAAGAAGTGTACACGAAAGCTCATACCAGTAACTAACTTAGTTGGTCTCTAGCGTGCTGCTGGAAGGTATTTTATTCATTTTATTTATTTTGTTTTGTTTTGACACATTAGTAAGTAAATAATGGAGGGGACTCCAATCTAATGTGGCTGCTGCTGCTGGGAGTTGTAGTCTGAAACATCTGGCAGGCACCAGGTTTGAGAAGGGACCTCCAGAATGTCAAGCCTCCTTTATATGTTTCATCTTCCCCCCTGCTTTGACAACTTACGGTGTTTCTACCACATGCCCTGCCAGGTTCCTGCATCTTAAATCCTGCAACCATGATCCCCTTTCTGTCTTGAATTCCTGTCCTTCCCTAGTCCGAGAGTCGCTTCTTCCAGGATAAGGACTGGCTGTGTAAACGGTCCTTGATGTAGTGCTGATTGTGTGGGCTTTTCCCCTACAGAGCAGCGAGTCAGTCACTCTGGACCTCCTCACTTACACAGACCTGGAGTCGTTGAGGAACAGGAAGATTGGAGTGGGTCCCCGGCACACGGCGGCTGCCAAAAACTCCCCGCTGAGCTCCAAGCGCTACCTCATCTTGATCTACTCAGTGGAATTTGACAGGTGCCAGGGGAATCCCCGGCTGCATGACCAACAGGGAGCCTTGGGGTGACAAGGGGGCTTGTGGAAATGGAGGGCAGCTCATTTGTAGCTAAACATTCACCCCAAGGCCCCATGGCCAGCCACAGATTTATTGCAGGTGCGATGGGCACAGGTGAACCTGGCCTTTCTGGAAGACCCAAGTATCCTGTAAGAGCTGTGGGGCTGCCAGAGAGACTGCATAACCTTATAACTTGGAGGGAAGCAGCTAATGAAACCAGTCCTTCCCTTTGCTGTGTGGGAGGAGGAGGAGGCGGAAGACCATGGTGCTTTCCACGCCTCCTTTTTTGCTTTGAAAACAGCAAACGACGAGGCGGGAGCAAAGGCCCTTCTTACCTCTTAGCCCACGACTGTCCAGGGAGCTGCCCCCCTTTTCCCAAAGCAAGAAGAGAGGGGAAGATCAAGGACCACAGCCATCTTTGCCAAGCTGGGGCCTTCCAGACGCTTTGGACTACACCCACCTGGGGCTTATGGGAATTGTAGTTCAAAGCGGCTAGAAGGCCTCAGCTTGGCAAAGGCTGATCTGCAGGGATATGCAGAGGAATAAGCATTCAATATTGGTAGCAGTTGGGACGCGGGTGGCATTGTGGGTTAAACCACAGAGCCTAGGACTTGCCGATTAGAAGGTCGGCGGTTCAAATCCCCACGACAGGGTGCACTCCCATTGCTCGGTTCCTGTTCCTGCCAACCTAGCAGTTTGAAAGCACGTCAGAGTGCAAGTAGATAAATAGGTACCGCTCCGGCGGGAAGGTAAACGGCGTTTCCGTGCACTGCTCTGGTTCACCAGAAGCGGCTTAGTCATGCTGGCCACATGACCCGGAAGCTGTACGCCAGCTCCCTCGGCCAATAAAGCAAGATGAGCGCCGCAACCCCAGAGTCGGCCACGACTGGACCTAATGGTCAAGGGTCCCTTTACCTTATCGGTAGCAGTTACAGGGAAGAAAGTTGCCTTTCCCTTTTTGTGGGTTGGTTTTGGCTGTCTTCTGGACAGGGAGGCAGGAAGCAGCAAGGGTTGCTAGCCAGTCCCCTCTTGGGAGGGGGCCTCTGCCCTCCTAGTCAAACAGAGCGTCTGCCTGGCCTGTTAAGCACCAGAACCAGCCCCTTGACATTTGCTCCTGTCTGCGGTGAGGTGCAATGCCGGGGGTCCTGACTTGTGGTTGCGTTTCCTTGTTTCTCGGCAGGATCCATTACCCCCTCCCCCTCCCTTACATGGGCAAGCCGGATCCCGTCGTTCTGCAGAAGGTGATCCGGGAGCTCAAGGAGGAGTTGGCCCTGCTGAAGGCAAAGCCAAGCAAGGATTTCAGAGATGCTGAGATCCGCCGGCTTCGTGACGAGTGAGTGGGGGAGGTGGGGAGGGGTAACTTGAGCCATATCAGGCTGCTTCTCTCTGCAGGAGACATCAATGCGGCCTTCTGAATTTGCTGTTCCGGCATTTAGGAACCAGGATATCTGTGGCACCAAGAAATGGGTGTTTGAAGTGTTTCTTGGAACTTTCTTTCCCAGGTACCAGGGAGAGTGGAAGGTGTTGGGGTTTTTGTAGGGAGGGAGAGATACTCAAGGCATAGCTGTCAACGTTTCCCTTTTTTAAAGGGAAATTCCCTTATTCTGAATAGGATTCCTCGCAAGAAAAGGGAAAAGTTGACAGCTATGACTCAAGAACTGCATCTCCCATCTTTGGGAGCTATTTGTGATCACAGGCATGTAAATGCTTCTTTGGAGTCAGTTTTCCTCCTCAAAGCATTGTTCTGATCTGACTGATCCCTACTGATTTAAAATACAACCCTTAAATCTACCACGTTCATCTGTTGCTTCCCTATAAAAACGTTCAAGACAGCCTACAAAGAGCAAACAATCCAAATTAAGTTTAAATTCCTCGGCCCGAAAATCCAAACAAGGGCAAGTATTGAAATGGCAGTGAAGGAAACTCTGTAGCTTCTCATGGGTTTGAGAAGGAGACTTGCTGTGCGAGGAAATGGTGCAACAGGTCTGCCCTATTACCAGAAACCAGCAGGAGTCAGGAGAACTGTGACAGTTGTATTTATTTATGAACAGCAGATCAGCACTTCAGCATAGCAGCTAAGACTTGCTAGACAGGCAAAGCTAAGCTTCCCATTCATCCGTAGAGGGAACCACACCCAGCGAGAGGAGCTTTTATTACAGTTCTGGCGTGTCTTTTAAGGAGACAGGCCAGACATTTTACAATATCAGTCTGGAAATGCAATGCAGCAGGAGGGCAGCTGCTCTTTCCTTGAAGAGATGATGATGATGATGATGAATTCAATTTATATACCGCCCTTTATCAAAAGGTCCCAGGGTAGTGTACAACATTAAAAACACATTACAGAACATCAATAATAAAAAGTATACTGACAGATGTAAAGTAGTTGTCATAATAACGGTGCTCTGCCCCACACTTTAGATTATTTAATAGCCATAGGCCTGGGAAAAGAGGAGTGGTTTTTTGCCAGACGTCTAAAGACAAAAGTGGCTTTGCAAACCCACCTTTTAGTGCTTAAACAACCTTTTGCAAAGCCCAGGTCTCTCTTTTTTTTAAAATGATATTTATTAAAGTTTCAAAAAATACAAAAAATACAGAATACAGAAAGAAGAAGAATAATTTTTTTTAAAAAATATAACCTAAAAAATAAAAAGAAACATACCAAATAAAACAGTTAAAAGGACATTAATTTTCCATAACCTATCTTCCCTATACTTATTTCCCCGGACCTCCTCATACCTCCCTTTTTTGTATTCCAGTTCAATTTGTTAGTTCAGCAAATCCTTACCATTAAAATTACCCAGTTGCAAACCTTTTTTCATATCTCTTAGAGCATTACAGCTAAAAACCTCTTAGTTTCTATCCAGCATCCTTCTAAGATTCCTTAATTTTACAATATTTCTGTAAATAGTCTTTAAATTTCTTCCAGTCTTCTTTCACCGACTCTTCTCTCTGGTCTCGGATTCTGCCAGTCATTTCCCAAAGCCCAGGTCTCAAGCCTTGCGCGGAAGAGATTCTCTCTCGGCTGCCGCTGATCCTGCCCCGACGCTCCCTTTTCCAGGCTGCAGCACACCTTGGAGGAGAAACAGTCAGTGGAGACGGTCTTGCTGGGCCTTCAGGAGGAGCTGAAGCTCACCAACAAGAGCAGCGCCTTCAAGGAGGTCAAGATCCTCAAGAAGGTCGTGCAGAGCCTGGAGGAGGAGCTGACCAAAGAGAGGGCGAAGCACCAGCGGATCGCTAACAAGCGCCTGCAGGAGAGCCGGCAGCTTGCCGACGAGGTGGGCTGGGCCTTAATAATAATAATAATAATTTTTATTTATACCCCGCCCTCCCCAGCCAAGGCCGGGCTCAGGGCGGCTAACAAGCAATAATAGAAACAAGTTGAATGATTACAACTTAAAAACAAAATTAGAATACAAAATTAAAATACTGAAACATTAAAATATTAAAATGTAGCCTCATCGCAGGAGGCGAAAGGAAAAGAAAAAAGAAAGAGAGGGAGGGAATCAAATTGGCTCCAAGCCAAAGGCCAGGCGGAACAACTCTGTCTTACAGGCCCTGTGGAAAGAAATCTGATCCTGCAGGGCCCTGGTCTCATGAGGCAGAGCGTTCCACCAGGCCGGAGCCAGAGTTGAAAAGGCCCTGGCTCTGGTTGAGGCTAATCTAACTTCCTTAGGGCCCGGGACCACTAGGGTGTTGCTATTTATGGACCTTAAGGCTCTCCATGGGGCAGACCGGGAGAGGCGGTCCCGTAGGTACAAGGGTCCTAGGCCATGAAGGGCTTTAAAGGTCAAAAGTAGCACCTTGAACCTGACCCTGTACTCCACCGGGAGCCAATGCAGCTGGAAAAGCACTGGGTGAATATGCTCCCATGGCAGAGACCCCGTGAGGAGCCTCGCTGCAGCATTCTGCACCCGCTGGAGTTTCTGGGACAGCTTCAAGGGCAGCCCCGCGTAGAGCGAATTACAGTAGTCAAGCCTGGAGGTGACCGTCACATGGATCACTGTGGCCAGGTTGGGGCGGGAAAGCTAAGGGACCAACTTACAGGATCCTCCTTCCCCTGGGCGGGTGGGGGAGAGGGCTATAGTAGGCTGCTGAAAGGACAAAGACCTCAGTGCGGAAGCGCTCGTCCGAGCTCAGCTCTGCTACTGAAAACAAATCCTTAGGCGTGGAATGTGCTCAGAGGCACCTCCTGGTCTTTTATTCTCACTGCGTCCTTTCCGCTTCATTTTGGGGGTCCGAGGTAGAAAAACGCCAAAGATCAAATAAGCCTGGAATCTGCTCACCTTTGGCGGAAAGGGCAAGGCTTCTCTTTTCCCTCCGACAAGAGCCGTGGGGCTGGTGAGTGGGGGGGTCATGGTGAGGAGAGAGGGAGGGACGGCCAGCCTTCCTCCAAGACTAGGGACCCCTAGAAACACCAGCTCCTGTTAGGTAGATTTATTTCTTTATTGTTTGGCGTCCGGCACGCTTCCCCTGCACGCCTCTGCAGGTCGTAAAGCAATTAGCAGAATTGCACAGCGTCCGTGTTGAAAGGGCAGTAAAAGAAGTCCCACACGTTTCTTCTGTCCTAAGATCACTTTATTTGCTCAAAAGTAGCATATTTACAAACAAGAAATTCCATCTGATTCAAGCTGCATCTTCTCCCTCTGTTTGCAGCTGCGTAACAAAGCTGCTTTCACTTTTTCACTCAGCTCACAGCATTCCAAGCTGCTTTCGTCAAGTCCTGGCTTACTTCCCTTGTAAGCGCCTCCTCTCAGCCTCGAGACACAGAAGGTTAACCCTTCACTACACCCAACAGCTCCTTCATTTCATTCACTCTTAATTTGCATACCGCCTTTCTATACTACTCTATGCAAGGCGGTTTATGACGAAACATGCAACAAAGATCACACACCTTAGAACATGGGTAGGCAAACTAAGGCCCGGGGGCCGGATCCGGCCCAATTGCCTTCTAAATCCGGTCTGCGGACGGTCCAGGAATCAGCGTGTTTTTACATGAGCAGAATGTGTCCTTTTATTTAAAATGCATCTCTGGGTTATTTGTGGGGCATAGGAATTTGTTCATTCCCCCCCCCCCAAAAAAAATATATAGTCCGGCCCCCCACAAGGTCTGAGGGACAGTGGAACTGCTGAAAAAAATTGCTGACTCCTGCCTTAGAATAATCAAATTCAATACAGTGGTACCTCGGGTTACAAATCTAATTCATTCCGGAGGTTCGTTCTTAACCCAAAACCGTTCTTAACCTGAGGCGTGCTTTCGCAAATGGGGCCTTCTGCTACCACCGCGCCACAAGCACACAATTTCCAGTCTCATCCTGGGGCAAAATTCTCAACCCAAGGTACTACTTCCGGGTTAGCAGAGTTTGTAACCCAAAGTGTTTGTAACCCGAGGTACCACTGTACAGCAAAGTCATAATAAAAACATAACTTTAGACAACTTGCAGCAAGTAAAGTAATATTCGATAATCCATTGGAACATAATAGTACACAATAACATTACTCTCAAAATATCAGTAAATAATAATTAAACAGAAATTCACTCTTAGCAATTACAGTGGTACCTTGGTTTTCGAACGCCTCTGTAGTCATACGTTTCGGAACTTGAATGCCAAAAACCTGGAAGTAAATGCCTCGGTTTTTGAACGCGCCTCGAAAGTCGAGCAGGAAAGGCGGCTTCCGTTTTGAGGCTTCTGCTTTCAGTTTTCAGACGTTTCAGAACTCAGAACGGACTTCCAGAACAGATTATATTTGAAAACCGAGGTACCACTGTACAATAAATAATCAAACTATAATCAACAAAAATAGCAGCAAATCACAATGCATAAAATGCCGCACCACCACATTAAAAAAACCATGTGAAAGGACCACATTCTGCAAATATCCACCCTGGACTCCTAGGTACCAACTCTGCTTGAATATTAACACACACACACCCCCCCAATTATTCAGCCTGAGCCTTAACACAAGGCGCAAAAAGAGATCTTTCTGCCCACTGCAGCTGGCGGAGATGAAAGCGACAGAACGGAGCCTCCGGATTCGCGTGAAGAACCTGACCAACGAGCTGGCCTTGTACAAGAAAGGGTGAGCGCTCCTGACCCCTCGGCCGCTCTGCTTCGCTGTCAAAGGCAGCAGCTTCTATGCCGGACGCAAACCCACCCCTCTAGCCGCAGGCGTTCCTTTCTCTCCCCTCCCCAGGCGCTTCACCCCCTCCGGACCATCTCCCCAGAACCACCCCGCGCCCCCTCGCAATTTTGCGCACCCCACCCTGTCCCGAGGCAGCACCAAGAAGAGAGACGTCCGCCGCTCCACCTCGGAGGAGCGCTCGAACTCCCGGGAGCGCAGCGGCGCCTGGGGGCCCAGCCGGCAGAGGTCCACCTCCAGGGAGGGGCGCAGTGGGAGCCAGGGCCGCCTCCCTCGACAGTCCCCGTCTCCTACAGGTGAGAGGGGTGGGGCACCCTTACCATGCACCCCCTCTTCCCTGGCACCAGGCCTGCCTGGCGCAGTGGCCGGTAGGAGGGAGAAGCCTCCTTCGAAGGGGGTGTGCTGGGCACAGAAAGGATCAGGCTTCATTATCCTCTCCCTGCCTGGCTCCGAGTTACCAACAGATGCAAACTCTTCTTCTTCTCAGGATGCCAGGCAAGTAAAGCCGCCTTTTTCAGCACATGTTTTGTTTTATCTGCTAGATCTGAGGGGGAGGGCCGGAGTCAAGTACTGCAGCTCGTGAAACTACTGGCAACGCATCTCTTGCTTCTGAGATACCGTATTTCCCGCTCTATAAGACTCACTTTTCCCCTCCTAAAAAGTAAGGGGAAATGTGTGTGCGTCTTATGGAGCGAATGCAGGCTTCGCAGGCTATCCCAGAAGCCAGAACAGCGAGAGGGAGCGCAGCGCTCCCCTCCCTCTCTCTCTGGCTGTTCTAGCTTCTGGCTTAGCCGCGCGAAGCCTCCGCAGGGGAGCCCTGCAGAGGCTTCGTGCAGCTATCCCTGGCTTTTGCGGGAGGTGCGGCTCTGTCCCTTCCCCCACCTCCCAGAAAAGCCCCCAAGAGCCGCGCTCCCTCTTGTGGGAGGTCGGGGGAAACCCGGGGGGCTTGCTTTCGCTGAAGCCAGGAGAGCAAGCGGGATCGGTGCGCACCGATCCTGCTTGGTCTCCTGGATTCAGGGATAGCCCTGAAAAGCCTCCTGAGCGAAGAGGGAGGAGCGCTCCCTCTTCATTCAGGAGGCTTCTTATTTCTTGTTTTCCTCCCCTAAAAACTAGGTGCGTCTTATGGAGTGAAAAATATGGTACTCTGCATGTTAGAAGAGCCTTAGCCCTGGGATAGCTCAGTTGGTAGAGCGTGCGACTCTTGATCTCAGGGTTGTGGGTTCAAGCCCAACCTTGGGCAAAAACATCCCGCATTGCAAGGGTTGGACTAGATGACCCGTGTGGTCCCTTCCAGCTCTGTGAATTTATGATCAGGTCAAAGGCCCGTCTAATCCAGCACTCTGTCCTATATGGTGGCCAGCCCAGGCGCAGAGCAGAGCGCACTCCCATCAGGGTTCCCCAGTAGCTCATATTCAGAGGCGTTCTTGCCGCCATGCTTGACTCTCTAACAATAGGGGCTAGAAACTTGCTTGCCGGTTTTTGAAGCCAAGAACTGTGCCAGAGTTCAAATCCCACAACTGTGGAATGGAGGACCTCAGGACCTTATCTACGCGCGATGTCTCCAAAGCTAGAATCCACACCCCACCTTATGCGAAGAATGACGGGCTTCTTAACTCTCTGCAGGCAAAGCAAATCCTTGCCTTTTCAGCAAGGCTGCCTTTGCCTTGGGCACGACGTCAACCCAGAACTGGGCACTGGGAGCTTCTGCCCTGTAAACAGACCAGGTCCCTTCTGCTCTGCAGGACAGAACTGCCATAAGATGCCCTTCCTCCTTGACCACCCTCTTTCCCTCTCCTTCCCTGTAGGACCCCGGGCACCACGCTTTGACCCCACCGCCTTTGTGAAGGCCAAGGAGAGGAAGCAGAAGGAAGCGGAGCAGAAAAAGTGAGTCGCTCGCCTCCAGGATCTGCCTCTCCCTGCCGTTCCCCCAACCCCGGCAGCTGCAGGATCCAGGCAAGGGCGAACACAGCACTGTTTGGGCTAATTTGTCCTGTCTCCCTCCAGAGAGCGATGCCTGCGGCGGGGGATGGGAGACACCCCGCCCAGCGGTTGGTGCCACCGCCTACAGTCCAGGGGCCCATCGGCTTTCAGCACCGGCGGTCTCGGGAAAAGCCGGGGCAGGAGTTCTTCAGGTGCGTGTCGCTGGGACCTTGCTCCGTTTCGTGTGCCGCGCAAATGACGCACGCAGCAGCGTGGATGTGCCAGGCGTCGGGTCCCTGCCTCGAGGAGCTTCCAAAACCTCAGTTGGAGGTGGGGAGGGAAGTGGGCAGGCGTACGTGGGGGGAACAGGCAATCGATTTCGCATATTTTCATACTAGGCTGGGTTACAGGGTGGAATGGGAACTAGGGGGTTGCGGCAAAGGCTTCACTTTAAGGTGGGACATGGGTGAAGTAAGGTTCTCCGGAAGCAGACTGCAAGGGAGAAAACGCCAGGGGTTCTTTGGTTAGAGAGAGCCAGGGGTGCTGCACCAGTGAGAGTGTCAGACTAGGACCTGGGAGAGACCAGGGTTCAAGTCCCCCCCCCCCCATATTGAAGCTTGCCGGGTGACACTAGCCCAGTCACTGCCTCTCAACCTCATCTGCCTCACAGCGTTGTTGTGGGGATAAAACGGATCTAGGCGGAGAACGATGTACGCCACCTTAAGCTCTTTTGGGGGGGGGGAGCTGGGCTATAAATAATGGAGCAGGGCACCTTTGGACAACTTAGGAATAGATCTGAAGAGGGGGTAGGGACTAGGAACTTGTGCTGGATCTGGGAGCATACAGGAAGCCCGTGGAGCGTACAGGAAGCAGGGTGATCATAGGATTAGAGGAACAGGAGGTTGCCAGCTAGATTGGAGGCGATTAAAGGTGAGACAAGGGAAGGCCAGAGAAGAGGGGATTGCAGGAGTCTAGCGGAGAAAGGCAGAGGGCCCAGGCCAGAGTCTTTGAGCCTTCCTCTTCGTTGCCTGGCTGGCGCTAAATGAATACAGCCCAAGCAAAAGTGACAGTGCGCGGAAATGTTTGTTTGTTTTGGGAAATTAGCTTCTTACTTAGTTCTGAACATTCCCCGCACCCCTGTATGTGCAAACTTTCCTTATTTCCGCCAACGGCATCCATACCTGTCCTGCCCTCTTTCTGCACGTGCTCACAACAGTTTGAAATCACAGTAAATATTTTGAAATATAAAATAGCAGTTGAAAAAAGAATACATGAGTTGGAGCTGACGTGCAGAGATGTTTCCGTCCATTTTCCTCTTGCTTTGTTAGTCCTAATGGGAAATTCACTTTCCTCGCCATCGCTCCCGTCTTTCCTGCCTCCTCTCTGCTCCTTCATTGTCCGCAGTGCACAGCCTGTCCTTCATCAGGTTCTCTTTGCCTCCCATCTTGCCCTTACAAGAGCTCTGTTCTTTTGCTGTCTGCTTTGCCCTGAACCTTCGAAATGTCTGTGAACATCCCATGACATTATAGCAGGCTTCACAGTAGATCAGCAAGGAGAGATTCTCGTAGGTGCTTTAGTTAACGGTATTTATAGTTTGCTTTCTTTTTGCCCGTTACGCCTGGTTTATATGTTCCGAGAGCCACTTTACACAGACACGTCACAGCATTTGGGTGACTTGCCTTCACCTCACCTGATCTCACCCTATGCTCTCTTCCTGCAGTGGAAAGCTTCCGCAGCCGGCGCTCATCCGCAAGCTCAGGGAGCGAGTTGGACGATTACTCTGAGCCTGCTGCCCCAAGGTAAGGAAGGTGGGGCAGCCTGATGCAAAGCAGTCTACTTTGTATGCTGTGCTGGAATGCCCAGCCGCTTCCTGCCAAAACCCCACACTTAACTTTAAAAAGCAAGTTTCCAGTCCTTATGGGAGCAGAAGCGAATCTGAGAAAGCTGCGGCAAAAATTCCCATTGCCAAGCAAGTCACACAGCCCTCTTCTCACGAGGAAGGTCAGGACTAGGAATCCAGGGCAGCTGTCTACCAGCTCCATCTGGTACACAGGCTGAGACCCTACCTACTTGCAGACTGTCTCGCCAGAGTGGTGCATGCTCTAGTTATCTCCCGCTTGGACTACTGCAATGCGCTCTACGTGGGGCTACCATTGAAAGTGACCTGGAAACTACAATTAATCCAGAATGTGGTAGCTAGACTGGTGACTGGGAGTAGCCACTGGGATCATATAACTCTGGTCCTGGAAGACCTACATTGGCTCCCAGTACGTTTCCAAGCACAATTCAAAGTGTTGGTGCTGACCTTAAAAGCCCCGAACGGCCTTGGCCCAGTATACCTGAAGGAGCGTCTCCACCCCCATCGTTCAGCCAAGACACTGAGGTCCAGCTCCAAGGGCCTTCTGGCGGTTGCCTCCCTGCGAGAAGCCAAGTTACAGGAAACCACGCTGAGGGCCTTCTCGCTAGTGACACCCGTCCTGTGGAACACCCTCCCACCAGATGTCAAGGAAATAAATAACTACAGTATCTGATGTTTAGAAGACATCTGAAGGCAGCCCTGTTTAGGGAAGTTTTTAATGTTTGATGTTTTATTGTGCTTTTAAAATTCTGTTGGGAGCCGCCCAGAGTGGCTGGGGAAACCTAGCCAGATGGGTGGGGTATAAATAATAAATAATAATTATTAAGGGCTTTGCCTGGCTCGGGCACAGAGTTTGGGGTTGGGACATGATTGCAATTAGCCCATTAGCCTGATCCGGCCTGATGAGTTGTGTGTGTTGTCCCTTAGGGGGAGGAAGCGAGCAGTGAGAGGCAGGAAGCCTCTGAGTTCCTCGTCCTGGAATGGCAGTACCATGGTAAGCAGCCAGCCGCGTCGAGGTTCCTCTTTGGCAGAAAAGTGCTGGGCAAACTGAGCTCGCCATCTGCTGAGACTCCTGGGCACTGGGGGTGGGTCTTCGATTTCCTTTAGCTATCAGAGGTGAACTGACCAGTGCCACTTGTTCTCCATGTAGATTCCCCACACGGATGGTGGCCACAGGAAGCACCTGGCCAGCACGCCTACCACAGGCCTGCGAGCGGACAAAGGTAAATCCCCCGGGGTCTCCAGTGGCCTCTTGAGCTGAGGCAGCACAGAGACTGGAGTGGGCTGACCTCTCGGGGTAACAGTGAAGTGTAATCCCCTCTTGAGAGCCAGTGTGGCGTAGCAGTTGAGAGTGTCGGGTGACCAGGGTCCGCCTCTTCTCTCGGCCGTGAAGGGTGACCTTGGGCCAGTCCCTGGCTCTCGCCCTAACTTACCTCACAGAGTGGTTGTGAGAATCAAATAGAAGAACCATGTACAGTGTTACCTCAGGTTACATACGCTTCAGGTTACATACGCTTCAGGTTACAGACTCCACTAACCCAGAAATAGTGCTTCAGGTTAAGAACTTTGCTTCAGGATGAGAACAGAAATCGGGCTCCAGCGGCACGGCAGCAGCAGGAGGCCCCATTAGCTAAAGTGGTGCTTCAGGTTAAGAACAGTTTCAGGTTAAGTACGGACCTCCGGAACGAATTAAGTACTTAACCCGAGGTACCACAAGTGGTACCTCTGGATGTGAACGCGATCCGTTCCAGAGCCCCATTCACATCCTGAAGCGAACGCAAACTGTGTCCGCGCGTCTGCGCGGGTCGCAATTCGCCGCTTCCGCGCATGCGTGTGACGTCATTTTGAGTGCACATGTGCGAGCAGCAAAACCCGGAAATAACATGCTCCATTACTTCCTGGTCGCCACAGAGCGCAACCCGAAAATGCTCAGCCTGAAGCTACTTTAACCCGAGGTATAACTGTACGCTAGTGCTTGCCAACTAGCCCCCCCAGGATATTCCAAGGGGGCCACAGGTGAAAAATGCATAAATGAGAGGCCACAGCATGAGGCTAGGGGGCCACAGAGGGAAGTGAGAAGTGAAGGGGGGAAATATTTTTTTAAAATACGTCTTGATTGGCTATCTGGCCTATCACAAGCAAGTAAGGGGGTGGCCCACCAGGGCCCAGCACTCCTTTTTGCCCTGTGCATTTTCTTGGCGCAGACCTGGGTGTGTTTTTTTGGCGGGAGAGAGCGACCGCTGAGGCTCCCGTTTTGACCAGTAGGGCCCGCGATCTAGAAACCCCAGGTCAGGTAAGTGCGGTGGTGGACTGGTAATGAGTAGAGATGGTTGAGGAGGAGCTTCTTGTTGCTGCCACCAGGGCTGGGCCTGTTACTGCTTGCTTGCTTGCTTGCTTGTTTATTTATGCCAAGCCAGCCCATTGGCTCATCTGCATTGTCCACGCTGGCTGGCAGCAGTGACTGTCCAGGGTTTCAGATAAGGGGCATTCCCAGCCCTCCCTGGAGATTTGACCTCGTTATTAATTGGGCTCTGCCTCCAAGCCATAGCTAGCCCTTCCTCATTGGGCCTTGCCCAGAAAGTTACGCCCCAATTGGAAGAAGTTTAAGGAATATTTGAAAAAAATACGTTAATATTTAAGTTTTAGAATAGCTGTGGAAGTGGAGATAGGCTGTAGGGTTAGAAGTAGAAGATAATGTATTTCAAAATACTATTATTTGTAAGTGATAAAATGTGAAGTTTTTTATGGTTAAAGTAAGTGTGATTTTAAAAAACGGTTAGAAAACATGATATATGTAAACTGCTAAAGGTGAAGTAAAATGAAAATCAGATAGGTGGGACTTGTTTAGAAAACATAAGGATAAGACAATAATTTGTTTGTACTGTTTGTTTTTCTGTTTGTGTTCTTTATTTGTGTTATAAAATGAATAAAAAAAATGGGGGGGGGGAGAAAGTTGCGCCCCAGTCTCCCGGTCCTCTCGTATGGCAATAACCCCAGTTGTCTTGTCCCACAGAGAACCTATACGACGAGCCATCGGCTGACCTTTCGGAGATTGACGCTCGGCTGCAGGCGCTGCAGGAATACATGAATAAACTTGAGACCAGAACGTAACCCCTGGAGTAGAACAAATTAAGAGGGCCACTGGGCCAGAATACAGGGAGCCTCCTTCCCCCACCCACCCCGGTTTGGAGTCCTCCTTCGGGCTTCTTTAGACAGAGGCATGGGCCTGAAAGAGATGGTGGCGGGAAGCATGGGTTTGTAAACATTCATGTACAGCAAGCACACTCAAAAGTGGGTGCCTTTAGGGACTAGAAGCTTCAGAGCTTTTCCCCCCCTTGCTGCTCTGATGCTGCTTAGGACCTGGTCGATGTGTAGCTTGCTCAACATCCAGCAGCGCATTGAACCCTTAGCCTTACTTAGCCCTTTTGTACCCAATCTTGCCTTTAAAAACAGGGAGATGGAGACCCCTTCGGCCATCAGATCATCCTTCTTTAAGACTCCCCTCCTGATTCCACCTGCTCTCTCGCCCCTTTAGTTCCGAGCCTTTAAGAAACCAGGGTGTGCTGCCTGAGATCAAAATGGGCCCTCCCTCGCTGCTTGCTCTGAGGCAGGCCTCCTTCCTGGGACAAAGACAATGACTTCTCTTTTACGGAGTCCCTCCTTCTCCCTCCAGTTGCTTCCAGGCCCGTCTCTGGCCTGGAGGTGCTGGCAGCTTTGGGGGCACAAATTCAGATCTCTTCCTGGGGGTGAGAAGAAGGGTCGGAATTTCTTGGCTCAAAAGACTGGCCGAGTGAGAGATCGCAGGCTTAGCCAGAAAATCTTTGGGCTGCCTGTGAGAGATCCTAGTAGGGAATAGTTCCACTCACCAGTTTTACTTCTCAGCTAGGCACCAAAGGGAAGCTGAACTGTCACAGCCATTTTCCTTTTAAAGAACTGCTTTTGCCCAGCCTGTTTAGACCAGGTATCTCTTCTGGGTTCAGATGGTGGTGTGTTAAACAGCATCCTTGTTCCCTCGGCTGTGCAGCGGGGAGCCTGTTCCCAGTTGTGACATATCCTTTTGGCCTGTTTTGACTGCTCGCTTGAGCCAGGCTCCTTTGCAAGGGGCAAACGCAGCTGGAGTTGTGTCGGTCTACCCTCTAGCAGGCTGGTTCATAAACTTACGCGTGGTCTCTTCTAAACATTCCATGAAGTTCTCTTGACAGCTTTTAATGGATGGTGGTTGTCTGTTTTCCCTGTCTGCCTGTCTCCCAGTGTGTGGTGCTGTGTGCAGTGATCCTATTTTGTAAATAAACACTTCTTTTCTAACACACCAGTCTCTGTCCGATCCACTGGTATCTTGTCACAGCTGTGTTCCCATGCTGGTTTAAGAAGAAGCTAACAGATCGGACAAAACGTCTGCCCAGCCCAGCCAGATCACTCTAGGAAATCCAAATCCAAGCTCTCCAGTCACAGGCATGTTTGGGAAGCACAGCTCACATCTCCCAGGCATGGGAGAGCAAGCTAGTGGAGGGTGAAATTCACTTTGCACATGTTCAGAGGGAAACGCTCTGAAACTGCTTCCCCCAGGATCAAGCCCCAGCCTTCAAAATAGGTTTGTCCTCTTTCTGTTGCTGCATCAGCTGGCAAAGTGAGGGTTACAGAGCATCCGTTGTTCAAGAAGAGGAGGGAGGAATTGACAGAAAAGACCAGTCTCTTGAAATTCAGGCTGCGTGTATATCCGAGGGCTAGAAGGAAGCGAAGTGCAAGACGGGAGCAACTTCAAGTGGAAAGCGCTAGACTAGGACGTCTTCAGCTTGAATCTGGCACCCCCGGTGCCTGCAGAAGTTCTCCTAGCCCAGGTAAGCTATATAATGATGACTGGATCCATTATTTAAAAACTTTCTGCCGAGCAACTAAATCTGCACATCAATTCTTCAGCGCTGCTGATGTACCGATCCACCATCGCATTCTGCCTCTGTTTGATGCCTGCCATTCCAACACATTTTCTCTTGTGTTTCTGTGATGGTGAGAACACAAAAGGTCCTTTTCAAGCTCACAGACCTTCTTGTTTTCCTTCTTATTTTTAACAACAGCTCTACAGGGTCGGACCAAAGTGGGTCTGTCTCTAGTCTGGCACGTCTGCAGGGATTCTCAAGGCGGTCAGCTCAGATGCTTCCAGGAAGTCCTTTCCCAGCTGGCGCCCCACCATCTGACTGAGTTGCCCCAGCCACTCTGGGCAGCTTCCAACATACATAATAATATAACAGTACATTTAAAACTTCCCTATAAAGGGCTGGCTTCAGGGATGCAGGAGAGAATATATTGTCTGATAATAGCCTTTCCAACTTGTGTTAACAAGTTCACAATTTTAGCAGAGTAACATTCCCCTTTTTAAACTTGCAGCGGATGCATTTGCTCAGGCTCGCTAAAGCCTCTATAGTAACTGTTCTGGTATTTTCCCCCTATTCCCTCATCAAAGATAAGACACGACACAGTCTTCTATAAAAGTATAAAAAGGTTTACTCACACATCATTCTGTTCACAATAGGGTCCCAGAAGGCAGACTTAGCTTAGAAAAGTAACATATACTTGGAAACTATCTCATAAGAAGACAGTCCCTTTGTCCTCTTGGCTGGAGCCAAGAGAGCATCTTTGGCTAAGCAGATGTTGCTTCTTCGATGCTCTCTTCAAAAGGAGAGAGATGGCTGCCCTGCCCTGTGCTTTTGTTGTTACCTGCACAGGTGAGGTCACGCCCACCTCTAGTCACATGCAGAGGAAGTCTGTCCCAGCCCAGAAGGAAACAGGAAGTTGACCTGCTGGCTGGACAAACATTCCTCCCCATGTGTAAACATCTTCACTCTAGGAATGTTGTACTTGACTGCTCTTGTGTTTCACATCCCACACTTATCTCCTTGACATCTGATGGGAGGACGTTCCACAGGGAGGGCACTACTGCAGAGAAGGAAGACGCTCTCTTACTGAGCCACAGCTGTTGCTCCTCTGGCTGCTTTTTCATATCCTTGCCAACATTAAGGATCTCTCATTGCTCTGCCCTCTTTGGCCTCCTGCGTCCACCGATAGGCGGCCCCTGAAGGGTTCTCCAAGAGGCAACGTGGCCCTCGTCTGGAACAGTTTCCCCATCCATGCGAAGTGAGGTGCCAAAGGCTACCTAGATGCAGCCAGCAATCATCTCCCCTGTTTTTACAGCCGCATCAAGCCCACGTGACAAACAGCCATGGATTTCCTCCCTGCTGCTTCAAGGAGATAAACGGCGCTGGCAATTGAGGGCCCTGCTTCTCGCCTGATGTGAGGAAGGCAATTTCTGGCTTGGCTGACTTTGATTGTTGTCTTCCGCGGACCTCCTGAGGCCTGGCTGAGGAGTCCGGGGAGAAAAGAGAGATGCTGTGTGAGAGAAAAATACCAAAATGCCACAATTACCGTATTTTTCGCTCTATAAGACGCACCAGACCACAAGACGCACCTAGTTTTTGGAGGAGGAAAACAAGAAAAAAAATATTCTGAATCTCAGAAGCCAGAACAGCAAGAGGAATCACTGCGCAGTGAAAGCAGCAATCCCTCTTGCTGTTCTGGCTTCTGTGATAGCTGCACAGCCTGCATTCGCTCCAAAAGACGCACACACATTTCCCCTTACTTTTTAGAAGGGGAAAAAGTGAGTCTTATAGAGCAAAAAATACGGTAAGCTTATTTGCAGAACTGCCGTTGATACGGCAACGGATGTGACAATCAATGGTGCCTATGGGGTGATTTGTCCACCACCACCAAGGGACGCGGTGCTGTGGTCTAAACCACGGAGCCTCTTGGGCTTGCTGATCAGAAGGTTGGCAGTTCGAATCCCCATGACGGGGCGAGCTCTCGTTGCTCTGCCCCAGCTCCTGCCAACCTTGCAGTTCGAAAGCATGCCAGTGCAGGTAGATAAATAGGTACCACTGTGGTGGGAAGGTAAACGGCATTTCTGTGCGCTCTGGTTTCCGTCACGGTATTCTGTTGCGCCAGAAGCGGTTTAGTCATGCTGCCCACATGACTCTGAAAGCTGATGTGGCCTGAAAGAAGAGTTTGGATTTGATATCCTGCTTTATCACTACCCAAAGGAGTCTCAAAGCGGCTAACATTCTCCTTTTCCTTCCTCCCCCACAACAAACGCTCTGTGAGGTGAGTGGGGCTGAGAGACTTCAGAGAAGTGTGACTGGCCCAAGGTCACCCAGCAGCTGCATGTGGAGGAGCGGAGATGTGAACCCGGTTCACCAGATTACAAGTCTTAACCACTACACCACACTGGCTCACACTGAAAGCGAGAAGATGATGATAATGATAATGATAAATTTATTATTTATACCCCGCCCATCTGGCTGGGTTTCCCCAGCCACTCTGGGCGGCTTCCAACAAAATATTAAAATATAGTAATCCATCAAACATTAAAATCTTCCCTAAACAGGGCTGCCTTCAGATGTCTTCTAAAAGTCTGGTAGTTGTTGTTCTCTTTGACATCTGGTGGGACGGCGTTCCACAGGGCGGGTGCCACTAACAAGAAGGCCCTCTGCCTGGTTCCCTGTAACTTGGCTTCTCGCAATGAGGGAACCACAGCCCCGTAGTCGCCTTTGACTGGACTTAACCGTCCAGGGGTCCTTTACCTTTACCTTTTATCCTCCACCCTACCACCCCTCACCCTTACTTGTTGGCCTTTTTTGGTCGGGGATGGGCAACATCAAATCTGCCACATGCCCCCCAACTAGCAAGGGCAGCTCAAAGGCACCAAACTGGTGAAGGCTGCATTAAGGAATGTGGCAGGCGAATCACCTGCTGCAACCACAATGAATCCCTAAGAAGAGCTCTAGCTGGATCCGGCCAGTGGCCCTTCCAGTCCAGCATCCTGTCCTCACAAGGTCCGATCAGGTGCCTGTGGGGAACCCGCAATCAGGATTCGAATCCAAAGCAACTCTCCCCTCCTGAGGTTTCCAGCAACTGGGATTCAGAAGCATTGATGTATCTAGCTGTGGGGGCAAAGCGTAGCCATCGTGGCCCCAACCGTCGATAATCCAGCTATTACTGCGCTGTGGTTTGTGGCTGGGAAATCGTCATCAACATTTTATTCAGTTCGTTTCTATACCGCTTTGAAATGACATTTGACATTTGAAATGACATTTGACATTTCAAAGTGGCTATTTAAAAAATAAATGCTGGGAAGGCAAGGTGGGAAGAGCTATCCGAGGTGCTGAAAATGAGTATTGCAACCACATTGCCCATCCAAGGGGCTACTTGCAAACCCTGAATTTCACCCTGCTGTCAGCAGAGGAGAGTCTGTTGGGATTCAAGCCATTATCAGGAGAAACTGGCCACTCTCCAGGCACCCGGCTTGATCTCCTGTTGACCTCCCTGTCTGCATTCCCCAGCAGGATACAGGCTAGGTCGCGATAGGCGATCCTCCTCAGCGTGAGAAGAACACGCCCCCTCTTTCCTGCCCCCCCTGGGCAGGGGAAAGAGATAGACAGAAACGTATTTACATTCCTTTATTTCTGTCTTTGCTGCGTTACAGAAATCATGTCTGCTCTCTTCAAGCTTCAGCAGTCGAGAGAGAAACTCCTCCTGTACTTCCTGTACAGCTCATATTACACTCTGAGCTAATTCCGGTGCCCTCTGCACTGTGAATTGACTGTGCCTCTGTTTCCCACGGAACAGTCCCAACATTCCCATTATGTTTTGCTTTCAAGCTACCAGCTCGCAGCCGCATTGCTTCTATATCGTAACAGAGTCTGCCTTCTCATTTCGACCTTCTGTTCCTTCACCCCGTCCCCACCAACAGAGGCGTACGGGGCATTCAGACATGGAGGACATTGCATTAGCTTCCCCGATTAGAATGTGCCTTTCTAATATGAGAGCAGCTTTTGCATCTCATTTGGAAACCAAGGCCCCAGAGTCTGGAGGAAGAATGGGGAGGCACACAATGCCAGATGCTTGAAGTCCAGTGTGACGTTTCCGCAGTCTGTGTTGATTTGGGGAGCCATGTCATCAGCTGGTGTTGGTAAACTGTGCTTCATTAAGTCCAGGGTCAACGCAGCCGTCTACCAGATTTTGGAGCACTTCATGCTTCCTTCCGCAGACAAGCTTTATGGGGATGCCGACTTCATTTTCCAGCAGGACTTTGGCACCTGCCCACACTGCCAAAAGTACCAAAACCTGGTTCAATGCCCATGGGATTACTGTGCTTGATTGGCCAGCAAACTCACCCCATAGAGAAATTGCCAAGAAAAAGATGAGACCGAGCAATGCAGAAGAGCTGAAGGCTGCTATTGAAGCTTACATAACACCTCAGCAGTGTCACAGGCTGATAGCATCCATGCTATGCCGCAATGAGGCAGTAATTGATGCAAAAGGGGCCCAAACCAAGTACTGAGTAGATATGCATGCTTCTCAGAGGTCCAATATTGCTCTATTTGCAATCCTTGTTTTGCTGATTTCATTTAATAAATTTAATTTTCTGAGATTGTTAATTTGGGGTTTTCATCAGCTGTACGCCATGATCATCACAATTATAACAAATAAAGGCTTGACATATCTCACTTTGCATGTCATGAGTCTATCTCATATTAGTTTCACCTTTTAAGTTGAATTACTGAAATAAATGAACTTTTCCACGATATTCTAATTTTCTGAGTTTCACCTGTATGTAGGGTTTGGTGTCAGTGTTGCTTGTGCAGGTTCTTTGCTGTTCGCTTGTGTTCCTTTGGTGGTGAGAGAGGTTGAGATTGGCCTCGGGTGCGGCTGTTCATTTGTGGTTGGCTGTGATGGTCTATGTTTTCACTGAGTGGGGTGGGTGGGTGTTTTGGATCAGGTTAGCCATATTGATTTGTATGCTGTTGGTGGATTTTTGTCATCTTGTTGGGCTGTGTATCACAATAAAGAGGAGCCATACTGGGGTGAAGGTGTCTTCTTCTATTTGTCCCCATGTCAGTTTCAGTTTATTGGTTAATTTTTCTAGTAGGGCTGTTTCCCATACTATTTGGTTCCATTGGTCCATGCTTACTTCTGACAGGTCTCTCCAGTGTCTGGGTGAAGCTAGTCTTAAAGCAATGGCCAGGAATGGAGACAGACCCAGTTGACTTTGCAACACAACGAAATTATCCTTATGCAAAAACAGCAGCAAACACCCAAATCCCTGCAGTAAACAGCCTCCAGCATTTTCATAGAATCATAGAATTATAGAGTTGGAAGAGACCACAAGGGCCATCGAGTCCAACCCCCTGCCAAGCAGGAAACACCATCAGAGCACTCCTGACATATGGTTGTCAAGCCTCTGCTTAAAGACCTCCAAAGAAGGAGACTCCACCACACTCCTTGGCAGCAAATTCCACTGTCGAACAGCTCTTACTGTCAGGAAGTTCTTCCTAATGTTTAGGTGGAATCTTCTTTCTTGTAGTTTGGATCCATTGCTCCGTGTCCGCTTCTCTGGAGCAGCAGAAAACAACCTTTCTCCCTCCTCTATGTGACATCCTTTTATATATTTGAACATGGCTATCATATCACCCCTTAACCTCCTCTTCTCCAGGCTAAACATGCCCAGCTCCCTTAGCCCTTTTTTACCGCCTACACTATGTGCACAAATTCATGGATTGGGAGAAAGTTGCCGGGACCCATCTGTAGAAACCTGGCAGGGAACTTCAGCGAAATGTTTTCGCTTCTGGCCTTCCTGGGAAGAATTACTGGGCTGGTGCTGCACCCCAGTGGGAAAAGGACATCCTGCACATTTTAGCGTGCATTGCAACTGAGATTCTAGCCCCAGCCCTCATTTTCCTCCATTCAATCATCTTCCATAAAGTGAGTATGTGACTGTGGAGGCCAATTCTGGATCCACACGTCCTTCCACAGTGGGGACATAGGTTTCCAGGTGGGAGTTGATCACAGTGTGGATTTGCCAAGCGTGCCTTCCTCCTAGCATGTTTCTCCCTTTTGTCCTGAGTTTGAGCATCTTCAAAGCCCACAACACCTTTGGTAAAGGCTGTTCTCCAACTGGCCAGTATTTCTCAGTTGTCAGTGTTTATATTGCATTTTTTTAGATTTGCTGTGAGAGTCATTAAACCTCTTTTGTTGACCACCAGCATTATGCTTTCCATTTTTAAGTTCGGAATAGAGTAGCCGCTTTGGAAGATGAGAATCAGGCATCCAAACAACATGACCAGTCCAACGAAGTTGATGTTGAAGAATCAGGTGATCTTTGCTTCTTCCAGTACACTGACATTAGTTCTCCTGTCTTCCCAAGTGATATGTAAAATTTTTTGGAGACAGCGTTGATGGAATCTTTCGAAGAGCTGGACATGGCTTTTATAAGTGGTCCATGCTTCACAAGCATGCAGTTGGGTTGGTAGTACAATAGCTTTGTAAACAAGCATTTTGGATTCCCTGTGAATGTCCTGGTCCTCAAATACTCTGCACTTCAATTGGGAGAAAGCTGCACTTGCGGAGCTCAGGCGATGATGGATTTCGGCATCAGTGTTGACCCTTGTGGAAAGATAACTGCCCATCGTGCCTCCCATCCCCTTCTCCCTACTACTGTCAAACTTTGGGCTATAAGGTCCAAGGGGGAGAGAATTTGCTCCTCTCTAGCTCTGATCACGGACACTAGAGGGGAGGAACCCACTACCTTTGACTCAAACTCCCATTGGCCACAGGCTGCATGGCCAACAGTCCAGGGTGACCCCTGACATACGTGCTTACAATTGATCTTAAAGGAGGGATCTAGAAGGTGAGGGGGAAGCAAACTGAAGAGAACAGAGAGGGAGGCTGAGGGATGGGCAGATTGAGATGGCTGCTTCAAAGTTTGGAGTCATGAAAGGGCAGCAAACACTGAGGTCCAGCTCTAAGGGCCTTCTGGCAGTTGCCTCCCTGCAAGAAGTGAGTTTGCAGGGAACCAGGCAGAGGGCCTTCTTGGTGGTGGCGCCCGCCCTGTGGAACGCCCTCCCATCAGATGTCAAAGAGATAAACAACTATCTGGCTTTTAGAAGACATCTGAAGGCAGCCCTGTTTAGGGAAGCTTTTAATTTCTGGTGTTTCGTCGGTTTTTATTATTATCATTAATTCTTTTGGGAGCCCCCCAGAGTGGCTGGGGAACCCAGCAATATGAGTGGGGTATAAATAAATTACTATTACTATTATTATTACTTGTTTTAACCCTTTTTTAATACTGTGAGGGGGGGATCTTATGTTGAAGGATAACGATAAAGAAACATACTTTTATTATTAATAATATTGGTATCAAAAACAATAGATTATTATTATTATTATTATTATTATTATTATTATTATTATTACTTTTACTGCCAGAGAGAGGGGGTTGTAGGATTGCTTTTTTTCCTTTTTTTGCCTCAAGTGCCAAATGTAACTTGGGTGCTGAGCTACTTTTAAATCTTGCATTTTAAACTGTTGCAACCTGCCCCATGACCTTAAGGTAAATTAAAATGACAACATTCCGTGCCTTCAATGGGGGCTCCATTTTCTGCTTCCCCTCAAAATGTCTCGGGGATCCCTTTTGAGAAAACACCTTGAAACAGGTAGCAAAACCACGTGCCAAAGATCAGGAAGTCCACTGAATTTTATCACGGTGCTAAGTCTGCATTCTGGTTGTCCTAACAGAACAGGCAAAACACACACACACACACACACACACACACACACACACACATAGATGAAAGAGCAGAAAGTTGCAAGAAACTTTTATTGTAATACTTGTCAATGAACCATTTGAGGGAGGGGACGTAGTCTGAGATGGAATAATGGATTGTAACACTTCAGATTGTTCCCCAGCTTTTACTTTTTTTTAAACTAAGTCCTTGCAAGTAGAAAGCTAGAACACCAGGAAGAGGGCTGAACTGGAATCTCTCGTTGATTTGCTAGCTTTTTACTTGCAGGTATGCTTTAAAAAGGTGAGGACGCATTCAGAAGTGGCATCCCACTCTCCTAACTCAGGATTTCGTCGTGTGTCTAAACCAGGCCTCGGAGTCACTTTGGAATAAGGAAGGTGCGTAACCCAGAATTAGCTTGAATGTGACATGAGAATTTCTCCCTCCCACCCAAACTTTTTCCACACAGCAGAGCTGCCACACCCAAAGTGGCCTTAAGGCTCAACAATAAATATTAAATTAAAAACAGAGTAAAAACCTGTTTTTGCTTGGTACAGGACGGAATAGGTCGGGGGGCAGAAGTAGGCGTCTGAGCAACTTGGACATTGTTCTACACCGCCCCAGCACAGACTAAACAGCTGCCTCAGGCGAAAAGAAAATTTCATTTTAAGTACCTGGGATCAGAGTGCAAACGGTTGTCCCTGAATCGTGTCTCTATCACGTGTCAATAGCCACATTCTGTGGAACCAAAAGGAGCCTGGACACTTCGAAAAACCAGGCCTCAGTTTCCAAAATGGCTCAAGAGCAGAACTTGGATTCAAGACTATTATTAATAAGAAGAGTGCCCATTGTAGGGTTGCTGATCAGGAACGGGTTGGGGGTCCCCCCCCCCCAAGAAACTACAGCCATACTTCAGGTTACAGACGCTTCGGGTTGTGCGATTTCGGGTTGCGCACTGCGCCGAACCCGGAAGTACTGGAACGGTTACATCCGGGTTTCGGCGCTTGCGCAGAAGCGCTAAATCGCGCTTTGCACATGCTCAGAAGCGCCAAATCACGACACACGCGGGTCACGGACGTGCATCCCGCGTGGATGTTTGCAAGCCGAGCGCCCACTGTACTACAATCCCTTGGGAAGAAAGGAAGTTTTTTTTTATTATTATTATTCTCTCTACCGCCACTCCAATTTGGTTTCCCTGATCTGTGCCATCTTGGAGATCAGTCTGGGGTCCTCTTGCCTGGCCAGCCACATTCCCTGAGGGGCCTGAAGGCTTAATTCCCCAAGACACAAGGTCCGAGACCCTTCCGTTTCCCAACCTGTCTCTCCCCACATCCCTTTGGGCCATGAGCGCAGCTTCTGCAAGGGCCGCAGACGAAGTCCCTGGCAAGCGACTGTGCTGGTTCTTAAACGAAGCGCATCCTCCAGCCGTTCCACATCTCGGTTGACCAAAAACCAAAGGGCTCAGCAGGAGAGTCCTTTCCCCCTAAAGCCACAGATATTCCGCCAGGAAAGCTGCCAAGATCTTACAGAGGTTGAGCACGGTGGGCGGGTGCAAGTTCTCCTCTGTGTCCTCGAAGGTGTGCCAGACGGCGGGGAAAGGTGTGGTGATGAGGTGAAGGACTGGAACACCTTCGGCAAAGAAAAAGAGAGAGAAGGAATCAAAAGCTGTGAGCCCAGCGTTGCCCAAAAACCACAAGTACATTTTCTACCAAGCACATTGTTCAAACGCAGGTGTTTTTTCTTTCTTTCTTTAAAAGAAGGAGAAGAAGAGTTTGGATTTGATATCCCGCTTTATCACTACCCTAGGGAGTCTCAAAGTGGCTAACATTCTCCTTTCCCTTCCTCCCCCACAACAAACACTCTGTGAGGTGAGTGGGGCTGAGAGACTTCAGAGAAGTGTGACTGGCCCAAGGTCACCCAGCAGCTGCATGTGGAGGAGCGGGGAAGCGAACCCAGTTCACCAGATTACAAGTCCACCGCTCTTAACCACTACACCACACTAGCTCTCACTGGCTCTAAAAAACAAGGAGAGACAGACTCCTAGAGTTAGAAGGGCTCGTGTACAATGCAGGAATCTCAACAAAAGCACCCATGACAGATGGAAAACCCCAACTGGCCCCTGATTCAGAATCTCCCACAAGAGGTAGGAATAATGGCCATCAGCTTGGAAGGCTGTAAAAAGAGGAGACAACGAATTACTGGAGGGATAAGGCTGCCCATGTCTATTGGCCATGAGGGCTGTGTTCTCTGACAGGGACGCAGTACGCCAGTGTGGCATAATGGGTAAGAGTGCTGGACTACAACTTGAGAGACTCGGGTTTGAATCCCCACTCAGCCATTGAGCTCACTGGGCGACAGCCTCTTCTCAGCCTAATGTTGTTGTTTCGTCGTTTAGTCGTGTCCGACTCTTTGTGACCCCCTGGACCAGAGCATGCCAGGCACTCCTGTCTTCCACTGCCTCCCACAGTTTGGTCAAACTCATGCTGGTAGCTTCGAGACCACTGTCCAACCATCTCGTCCTCTGTCGTCCCCTTCTCCCTGTGCCCTCCATCTTTCCCAACATCAGGGTCTTTTCCAGGGTCTTCTCTTCTCATGAGGTGGCCAAAGTACTGGAGCCTCAGCTTCAGGATCTGTCCTTCCAGTGAGCACTCAGGGCTGATTTCCTTCAGAATGGATAGGTTTGATCTTCCTGCAGTCCATGGGACTCTCAAGAGTCTCCTCCAGCACCAGAATTCAAAAACATCCATTCTTGGGCGATCAGCCTTCTTTATGGTCCAGCTCTCACTTCCATACATCACTATTGGGAAAACCATAGCTTTAACTATACGGACCTTTGTTGGCAAGGTGATGTCTCTGCTTCTTAAGATGTTGTCTAGGTTTGTCTCTCAGCCTAATAATAATTTATTATTTATACCCCACCCATTGGGTCGGGCCTCCCCAACCACTCTGGGCGGCTTCCAACAGAATATTAAAATACATTAACCTATTAAGCATTAAAAGCTTCCCTAAACAGGGCTGCCTTCAGATGTCTTCTGAAAGTCTGGTAGTTGTTTATAATAGCCATAGTTGTTGAATTCCCACACATATTGGCCAGAATGTGACTAAATTGACCTCATTAAAAGCTACCATCACTAATGGTGAACAGGATCATGCAGATTAAGTGGGGGTTTGACAACCCAACAGCTGAGCCTAACCTACTTAGCGGGGTTCTTGTGAGGGTAAAATGGGGAGGAGAACCATGTGTACCACATTGAATTCCTTGGGAGAAAAGGCAGTATATAAATGCAATAGATAATAATCATAATAATCCTCTGAAAGCCAGCTGCCAATAATCACGGGTGGGGAGAGAAAGCTCTCTTTGGCATCTGGTTGCGAACTTTTGAGAACAGGATGTTGTTCTGATGCTTTCCTCTTTTCCAGCACCAGGCAAAAACTTCTGTTATTTCCCCAGGTGGGTGGGGTACAAATAAGAACATTTATTATTATTATTATTATTATTATTATTGCAAAACCAAGGAGACATTGAAACTTATCATTCATTGAAATAGCCATTCTAATTACCACCCAAGACTCACAGAAATCTACTGTTCCAATAGCAATCTGGCACTCTCACAGGTTGCCGTCTCCCACCCAAGAATAGGTGAAGCTGCACACATTTGCTACCTGGTTCTCCTTCTTCCCACCAAGGAGTGCACTCAGACAGTTCAACCCACACAAGAGGAACCCCACCCCCTCAAAAAACCCTCAACCCAATCCGTCAGCAGTGTTGCTCTTGTAGTTCTCTGGATGGCCATTTACAGACACTAGCTAACAGGACCAGTGGTCAGGGATGATGGGAGTTGTAGTCCCAAAACAGCTGGAGGGCCGAGTTTAGCCATGCCTGGGCCATTAGTACCAACAGATGGTTCCCCTCACTTCCTCCTTAGATCGGCCCAAACTTGCGGCCGCTTTAGAAATCTGCTCTGCGAGCTTTTGGTCTCTGTTTTCAAGCTTGCAGCTCACTGCATTGAGAGACTTTCCCCTGCCATTTTGAAAGCTCTTGCTTTCTTCCTCGAGAGGACCATTTTATAGAATTGTAGAGCTGAAGGGACCCCACCCCCCAGGGTCATCTATCCCAACCCCTGTTTGGTAAGAGAGCAGGCTGCAAAGAGCAAACACCGGATCGAACCAGCAACGAAAAGACGTCAGGGCAACTGGGGGAAAGCGGGAGAGAAGTACCTCTCCGGAGGAAGGGAGCGTGGTCGTCTTCGACGGGGTCATAGTAGGAGCGTTGCTGGAAATAGAGCTGCTCCTTTGCGTGAGACTCCAGAAGGCCGAGTCGGTGCAGCCGCTTCTCTAGAGAACAAAAGAGTGGGATTAGGCGCAGTGTAAGAGCCATGGTCCAACTGAGAATTATCTCCAGGCTCCCTAAGCACTTCCAGCAAATACAGTGATACCTCGGGTTACATACGCTTCAGGTTACATATGCTTCAGATTACAGACTCCGCTAACCCAGAAATATTAACTCGGGTTAAGAACTTTGCTTCAGGATGAGAACAGAAATTGCGCGGAGGCAGCGCGGCGGCAGCAGGAGGCCCCATTAGCTAAAGTGGTGCTTCAGGTTAAGAACAGTTTCAGGTTAAGAACGGACCTCCGGAACGAATTACCGTATTTTTTGCTCTATAAGACTCACTTTTTCCCTCTTAAAAAGTAAGGGGAAATGTGTGTGCGTCTTATGGAGCGAATGCAGGCTGCGCAGCTATCCCAGAAGCCAGAACAGCAAGAGGGATTGCTGCTTTCACTGCGCAGCGATCGCTCTTGCTGTTCTGGCTTCTGAGATTCAGAATATTTTCTTTCTTGTTTTCTTGTTTTCCTCCTCCAAAAACTAGGTGCGTCTTGTGGTCTGGTGCATCTTATAGAGCGAAAAATATGGTAAGTGCGTAACCAGAGGTACCACTGTACTGGAGGAAAACACTAGCCCCGATGTAGGAATGCAAATATCCAGAGTGTGAGGATCAGATAGGGTTACTATGAGGAATTCTAAAATATGCATCAAGCCATTGTGTCCGCTATGAAAGCATGGCGCTGACCGGGTTCAATTCATTGACAATAATTTCTGATCAAATCCCACAAGCCTCTACTGCCCATTTCTCTCTGTCTGACAAGCACATATAAGAACCATAGGACACAGTTGCCAGTTGCTTCGCCAGGCATGCAACCTGGGTCATAAAAGATAGGTAGTTTCGTTGTTGTACCCTTCCTTGGTTTTGTTCATTTTAGGACCTGGAAATAGTTTCACAGGAAGGTGATAAAGATCCCTATCTCCTTGCCATCCTTCCTCTCCTGTTTACCGCTTGTTTACGACCTCCGGGTTTTCCTAAAAGCATTGCTTTCCTATTTTATTTACTTTGAACTGCATATGCATGGTCAAGTAGGAAATTAGCTCTTTGTAGTTTTAATCTTTAATGGGACGCGGGTGGCGCTGTGGGTTAAACCACAGAGCCTAGGGCTTGCCGATCAGAAGGTCAGCGGTTCGAATCCCCGTGACGGGGTGAGCTCCCGTTGCTCGGTCCCTGCTCCTGCCAACCTAGCAGTTCGAAAGCACGTCAAAGTGCAAGTAGATAAATAGGTACCGCTCTGGCGGGAAGGTAAACAGCCTTTCCATGCGCTGCTCTGGTTCGCCAGAAGCGGCTTAGTCATGCTGGCCACATGACCCGGAAGCTGTACGCCGGCTCCCTCGGCCAATAAAGCAAGATGAGCACCGCAACCCCAGAGTCGGCCACGACTGGACCTAATGGCCAGGGGTCCCTTTACCTTTACCTTAGTTTTAATCTTTAACTTTGTCCTACGTGGGGTTTTTCAAAATGCGCAGAGGAAATCTGATTGGTTCTTACGGACGCTGCGTAAAAAGTTCTTTTGTGAATAAAACGACCTGGGCCGAGGGGTGGACAGGAACTATTATTATACGCACCCCTCCCAGAGTCTTGCTGGTCAAGCCTCTGTGTGTATCAGAGTCCAACCCTTCCTTTGCTTTGGGAACGCCTCACCCCACATCTGTGGCACAGGTAGAAGAAAGGTCTAAAGCAGGGATGGAAGGGGCACCCGTGGACCCCCCAAAAGTGATGGACTTAAAGGGACGCAGGGACCTTTCAGATCATGGGTCTATCCACCTCAGTACTGCCAACACTGTGCGGCAGCCGTTCTGTGGGGTTTTGGGCAGGGGAGTTGCAGTCCACTTGGAGGGCGCCGGGTTGGCGAAGGTGGATCTATCGGACAGAACTTTACATCCCAAGCCCCCCACTGGCTGCTCATCCCTGGGAGGCGGGGTCTGAAATGGAGGCGGGGTCTGAAATGCCGATCAACCCTGGAGCCCCGCCCCCTCCTTTCCCGATTGGCTCCCCGGCGCAAAGAGTGACGCTCACCAAGGCCAACGAGCCTTTCGAACCAGAGGGCCGTGTTGCGGAAATGGTTCTGGATGGTCGGTTGGCGGGCACCCAAAAGGTCCAGCAGAACAAAGAGAGACTGAAACAGGAAAATGCAGAGTCAAAAACACAGGTGCTCCCGCAAGGACGGAAGAATGAGGAAATCCCAACGAAAGAACAACGGCAAGAAAAATTGATGAACTATGCAGAGTTGGCTAGATTGACATACAAACTGCGGGACAAGGACAACTGTGACTTTAAGGAAGAATGGGAGCTTTTTGCAAATTATCAAAAAAGACAACAAAATGAACGGGACTCCTTGGCAGGTTTTGAATAAACACTCACAAATTTATTAGGTGAATATATGTACAATTTTGGGGGACACGGGTGGCTCTGTGGGTTAAACGACAGAGCCTAGGACTTGCCGATCAGAAGGTCGGTTGTTCGAATCCCCGCAACAGGGTGAGCTCCCGTTGCTCGGTCCCTGCTCCTGCCAACCTAGCAGTTTGAAAGCATGTCAAAGTGCAAGTAGATAAATAGGTACCACCCCGGGGGGTAGGTAAACGGCGTTTCCGTGCGCTGCTCTGGTTCGCCAGAAGCGGCTTAGTCCTGCTGGCCACATGACCCAGAAGCTGTACGCTGGCTCCCTCGGCCAATAAAGCGAGATGAGCGCCGCAACCCCAGAGTCGGCCACGACTGGACCTAATGATCAGGGGTCCCTTTACCTTTTTATGTACAATTTTATAATATGCAGAGAATGATATGTGTAAAGAAATCATAGAGGGGAGCTGAGAGAAGTCTTTGGTGGGAGGGAGAGGGAGGGGTGGGGGGAAGGGGGGAAAATATTGTAATTGATTAAATGGACTGATAATTTGTTATGTTGAAATTGCTTAATAAAAACCACACGCACAGGTACTCCCAGGTCCTCTGCTGTCGTTTGAGGCTCAGGTGGTCTCAGGAGTCCCTTGTTTCACAGGGACTTAGAAAGATGCCTTCTCTAGATTATTGTTCTATCTAGCCCAGTACTATCTACAGTAACGTTGGAAAACGTCAATCACTTCTCCTACCTGGGCAGTTATCTTTCCACAAGGGCCAACATTGATGCCGAAATCCAGCATCGCCTGAGCTCTGTGAGTGCGGCTTTCTCCCCATTGAAATGCAGAGTGTTTGAGGACTGGGACATTCGCAGGAAAACCAAAATGCTTGTTTGCAAAGCTATTGTACTACCAACCCTACTGAATCTTGTGAAACACAGACCACTTATAAACGCCACCTCCAACACCTCAAAAGATTCCATCAACGGTGTCTCCGGAAATTTTTACACATCACTTGGGAAGACAGGCAAACCAATGCCAGTGTACTGGAAGAAGCAAAGATCACCAGTGTTGAAGCAATGATTCTTCAACATCAACTTTGTTGGACTGGTCATGTTGTTCGGATGCCTGATTATCGTCTTTCAAAGCAACTCTATTCTGAACTTAAAAATGGAAAGCGTAATGCTGGTGGTCAACAAAGGAGGTTTAAAGACTCGATCTCAAGGCAAATCTAAAAAATTGTAGTATCAACACCGACAACTGGGAAACACTGGCCTGCGAGCGCTCTAATTGGAGAATAGTCTTCACCAAAGCTGTCGTGGGCTTTGAAGACACTCAAACTCAGGACGAAAGGGAGAAACACGCTAAGAGGAAGGCACACTTAGCAAACCCTCACCGTGATCAACTCCTACCCGGAAATCCATGTCCCCACTGTGGAAGGACGTGTGGATCCAGAATCGGCCTCCACAGTCACTTATGGACTCACTGTTAAAACCGTGTTTATGGAAGACAATCTTACTCGGCTACGAGTCCATATATAGAAGCACCCTAGAGGTCCCGGGCCCTAAGGAAGTTAGATTAGCCTCAACCAGGGGCAGGGCCTTTTTAACACTGGCTCCAGCCTGGTGGAACGCTCTGTCTCACGAAACCAGGGCCCTGCGGGATCTGATTTCTTTCCGCAGGGCCTGTAAGACAGAGCTGTTCTGCCTGGCCTTTGGCTTGGAGTCAGTTTGATTCCCTCCCTTTCTTTTTTCCTTTCTCCTCCTGTGATGAGGCTGCATTTTAATGTTTTAATGTTGTATTTTAATCTTGTTGTTAAGTTGTATTCATTCAACTTGCTTTTATTATTGCTTGTTAGCCGCCCTGAGCCTGGCCTTGGCTGGGGAGGGCGGGATATAAATAAATATTATTATTATTATTATTATTATTATTATTATTACTACGTGTGATCGCCAAGGAAGAAGAAGACATTGACTGGCAGTGGCTCTCCAGGGCATTCCCAGATCCCACCTGAAGACTGAACCAGGAACCTTCTTGCGCACGGGGCAGCATGCTTTTCCACTGAGCTCCAGCTGCTCCCGTGGCGCTTAACGTGGTTTCAAACCGAACAGGGAGAGATCAGAAAGGAAGCCCCCGCCCTTCCAATGTGGCAAAGGCCTGCACTTCCCTTTCTGCAAGGAAAAGCCAGCCGTTTCTCAGGCAGCTGGCTCAGAGAAGCACTCACGATAGCCTGGAGCTGGCTGAGGCCCGCGCGATGTGGCGCCTTTGCCATGCGATCAGCCAAATGTCGTGCGCCGTACAAGGAGTCCTGATCCGTCCACTCCCGGAAGGCCTCCTCCCCGTCGAAGAACAGCAGCTGCAACGTCACCTTGGAGCCCTAAAACACAGAGACGTGCTGTTTTAGACCTCCTTCGGTTGTTCAACTTCAAAACAGGTTGCAATGTTGCCGTTGATGCATTAGAAGACGACGGCACTATTGGTAACAGACTTGGATAACTTCACACACACACACACACACGCACGCACGCACGCTACGCTTCTGTTATAAATTCATAGAAAATCAACCATACATCGGATTTGCACCGTTCCACTTTTATTTTACTCCATGAAGGAAGGACTACAAAATGGGGAAGGTTTGATACAGGGCAGCCATAATCTCTTCACCATCCCAGCACATACACAGGAGCCCTGCCCAGTTGCTATGCCGACCCTGATGGTCCTAGACAGAAGACCATCAAGATCACAAAGGACTTGCATATGGGAGTGGGTTCAACACGGACTGGAACAAAGGACAATGATCAGCTCTTCCCTCTGGGGGCAGGAAACTACCAACTCCCCTTTGTCACCTAAAGTACTCATGGGGAGGGGGAAAGGAGGAACCAGCCAGGTGACAGGACACTCAGGTTACCTCCACAACTCCTCCCTCAACCCCTCCTTTTTGTGATGTAGTCTTAGGGGTATAGTTTGGGGGATTAGTAACTAACAAAAGTTGGGGGCTTCTTTGGTTCGGGGCTTCCATCTTGTTCCACCTGGTGGCAGGTGGGAGTCCTGTCGCGCCGGTATTCAATAAAGGCCAAGCCTACAGGCTGCTGTTTTGCTCCAAGTTATCCTGGTTGGTGTCTTTGTTTTTGTCCAAGGGAGCCCTCGGATTTTTCCGTTAACAGAAGCCACGCCGGTAAAAAGGCAGTTGGAAAAATATATACATACAAATAAAGCTGTATTCGACAGATGAAAGGATAGATGAAGTTTGACATCATAGAATCATAGAGTTGGAAGAGACCACAAGGGCCATCGAGTCCAACCCCCTGCCAAGCAGGAAACACCACCAGAGCACTCCTGACATATGGTTGTCAAGCCTCTGCTTAAAGACCTCCAAAGAAGGAGACTCCACCACACTCCTTGGCAGCAAATTCCACTGTCGAACAGCTCTTATCTCATGATTGAGAATCGTGGAACCAGGGACGGAGAATTTTAAAGCGATAAAATCGAGATGTGGAAATATGGAAACAAGGAGGAGAGGCAGGACTGAGATGTGGAGATATGCTTCAGAGGTCCAGACCGTGGGGAGCTCCGAAAAATCAATAATTATAATTTGGATTATAATTTGGTCTTTTTTAGTTTTTTATTTTAATTGGAATATTATGATTGGATATATTAATTGGATGTTTTTATTGGAAAATTAAAAAGGAAGATAACAACACTATTACAGCTGTCGCATTCCTAAAATGGGTAATGAAGACAACAAGTTGATCATGCCCCACGTTGACAACCTCAAGGCAATTACAGCCATGCGTTTGATCGGCGGTTCCTCTTTTTGTCATAGATTAATATTTATTTTTGGATGATAGTGATGTTGTCGAAAGAACTGGTCTTCTGCATGATCTTCACAGCTCAAACAGCAACTGCCACCAGGATTTTGGCCGGCTAACATCCTATATCCTTTAAAATGTGTTTGTAGATGGGAGAGGGGGTTATTATTTTGTTCTCTTCTTGTTTTCATTGTGTATTTTGTGTTTTTTTATCTTACATTTTTACACTGTGAACTGCCCTGAGATCTATGGATGAAGGGAAGTATACACATTTAAATAATAATAATAATCTCACTAGTGGGAAAACCAGTAGTGATGTATGGAATTGAGAGCTGGACCATCAAGAAGGCCGATCGCAGAAGAATTGATGCTTTTGAATTATGGTGCTGGAGGAGACTCTTGAGAGTCCCATGGACTGCAAGAAGATCAAACCTATCCATTCTGAAGGAAATCGGCCCTGAGTGCTCACTGGAAGGACAGATCCTGAAGCTGAGGCTCCAAGACTTTGGCCACCTCATGAGAAGAGAAGATTCCCTGGAAAACACCCTGATGTTGGGAAAGATGGAGGGCACAAGGAGAAGGATGACAGAGGACGAGATGGTTGGATAGTGTTCTCGAAGTTACAAGCATGAGTTTGACCAAACTCTGGGAGGCAGTGGAGGACAGGAGTGCCTGGCGTGCTCTGGTCTGGGGGGTCGCAAAGAGTCGGACACAACTAAACGACAAAACAACAATACTTTTAGACAAATGAAACATTAAAAAGTTCCCCACCGGCCGCTCTAACCACTAGCCCTTACTCCCCCTTTCTGCAAGAGGCACAAAAGGAAATCGGAGCATTTCTGCCCAGGAAAGGCCACCCGCTCACCCTCTCCTTCGATTTCTTCAGCTCCTCGTCCAGCGCCGTCACCAGCTCCATCAGGATGGCACATGGCACAGCCGAGTCCGTTGCCCCCAGGAAGGCCCGGCCACGCTTGTCGCGGGGGAAGTATTTGGAGTCGTAGTGGCAGGCAAAAACCAGGCGCCAGGTGGCTGCGGGGTCCAACGTAGCCACCACATTGGCGAAGCCGACGACGCCGTGCGGCGCCCGGTCTTTGAAGGCGTCCACCTCTATGTGCCAGGAAGCGCCCAGTTCCCTCAGCTTCTCCACAATGAACTAGGAAGAAGAGAAGGCGAAGGACTTGAGTCACTCACACAAGGTTCCTAGTCCTCAGTTTTTTACCCTCTCTCATAAAACTCAAGGACTTCCAAGGAGACAGAGCGCTGGAAGACTCAGGACAGATATCAAATGAATTTATTTTTCGACACAACTACTGCAGCAGCGAGAGCATTCCATGTCCCCCAACCATAGCTGTCAAGCGTCCCTTATTTGGCGGGACAGACCCTTATCCTAGCGCCATGTCCCGCTGCTGTCCCTTATTGATGATGTCCCGTAAATTTCCCGGGTTTCAAAGGAAGCAGCTCCTCTCCCTCCCTGCTGGCCAGGGAGGAGGGAGGCTCCTACTGTGTTGCTTGGCTGCGTTGCTCACCCAATAAGGAGTCTAAGAACGACTGGGGGGTGGAGCTTGCATGCCTTGTGCTGATCAAATCGGCCGCTTTGCCTGGGAACTCGCCTTTGCTCAGTGCTTCCCAGCGGAGAGGTGATGGCGGTTTTCCTTGCTGCATCCCCGCTTGAGGATTCCTTTGGCTGCTGGCTGGGCTTTCTGCCTTTGGCTCGGAGGGGCTCAGAAGTCGAACATACCTGTGCTCCGAAAATCCCTTATTTTGGCTGCTGATCCCTTATTTTCAAGGCTGCTGGTCCCTTATTTTCAAATCTGTAAGTTGACATCTATGCCCCCAATGGTGAGACGATGCAGCGATTACAAAGGAGGACCGTAACCTGAAGTTTACGGCTCGCCATGACGTGTTCGGTCGCCCGCTGCAAGATTAGCGCTTGGACTCACCTGCCGGACTTTTTCGTTGCCAGGGCTTCCAGAGTACCTCTCGATCAGGATGGGCTGCAGGTAGCTACGCCAAAGGCGCTGCAGTTGAACCTGCGAGGCCAGGTCTTTCAGCTGACCGCTAGTCAGGTTTTGGGGCTTGTGCTTCAGCTGCCAAGAAGGTGAGAGAAAAGCTTCGTCAGAAAACAATCCCAGCAGCGCCAGATTTAGGGCAGCGCAGGCAGTTGCCCCGCACAGGGTGCAGATTTGAGGAGGTGCAAAATAACAACATTTATATGGGTATCTACTGAGAAGATACATAAAAAAGCAATTGTACAAAAATTAATTAGTTATACCTCATGTTACGTTTGCTTCATGTTACGTTCTTTCAGGTTACATCCAGCGGAAACCCGGAAGTACCGGAAAGGGTTACTTCCGGGTGTTGCCGCTCACGCATGTGCAGAAGCAGCAACCCGCGCATGCGCAGATGCGCCACTGCGGGTTGCACTCTTTTCATGTTGCGAATGGGCCTCCAGAACGGATCCCGTTCGCAACCAGAGGTACCACTGTATTGTGAAAATAAGAATTATTGGGGGGTGGGGCAATTTTTGTCCTCGCTCTGGGCACCATAGTATCTAAGTCCAGCCTCACTGAAAGAAATCCTGCCAAGCTCAGACCATCTCTCCTGCTCCTGCTTTGATTTCTAAGGGGAAATCAAAATTCCCCATAGCTGAGGCTTTGTGGTGAGGCTCCCTGCAGGTGAATATTTCTCCCACATATCCAGCAGCTTTGGACTACAATTCCCATCAGCCCCAGCCAGCACGGCCATCTTGGACTACAACTCCCATCAGCCCCAGCCAGCACGGCCATCTTGGACTACAACTCCCATCAGCCCCAGCCAGCACGGCCATCTTGGACTACAACTCCCACCGGCCCCAGCCAGCACAGTCCTGCTTGCATATGGTCTGGACTAATAGGTCATCTCCAGCCTAAATTATATGGCTGAAAAAGGAAGGAAGCTTTGGGTAACCAGGAGAGGATTTTTGTGTGTTGAAGGGGAATGACTAGGTCATAGCTGTCAACGTTTCCCTTTTTGAAAGGGAAATTCCCTTATTCTGAATAGGATTCCTTGCAAGAAAAGGGAAAAGTTGACAGCTATGGTAGGTGCCCCTTTGAATTCTGCCGGTCATAAGGCTCTGAGGCGGATTCTGTGAACTGCCCTGAGACCACCGGGGAACAGGGCGGTATAAAAATTCAATACATAAAAATAAAAGTCTTTCATTGCAAAGCCTTTGCAGGAAGATCCCGTGGTGGGGACCCAGTCTGGCCTGTATCCAACAAACCACAAACCTGAAAACCCCAAAGGGAGATCCCACCCCCCACGACCTGGAATCTGTCCTGTCCCGATCCGCATTGCACAGTAGCACGGATGCACTTACTTCGTAAAATTTATATGTACCGCACTGCTTGATTGTACGGTGGAGGGGAACCTCAGAGCGGTTTGCAAAATAAAATGATAAAGCAGCCCAACCAACTTGCAGCCGTAATGAAAAACGGTGGTACGACTCATGCAACACGTTGGCGACTAATATACACACAATAATTACCAAAATGATTATACATTCTTTATCAATCTTCTGAGAAAAATGCAAAACCTTGTACAAAGCCACAGAGACTTGCGAACTACCCAAAATGAGATGAACTTAAAATGTCTGATTTCAATGGATTTTTCAAGTGCTTAAGTCAGTCTTCTGTTTTCTTTATTTTTCTACTGTGTGGATATTAGTCGCCAACGTGTTGCATGAGTCGTACTACTTCTATGAGCAGCACAAGTTGCATTTTTCTAGCATAATTAAAAACGTGCAGGTAGTTGACACCGCGGCAGCGCAGAGAAACCCCTTGCAAGCTCTCTAAACCCTTTGCCTAAACAAGAACTAGCAGGCGCCAGAAAGGATACATGGTGTGAAGCCTGGGAGTCATTTTGGACTCACAGCTGTCCATGGAGGCGCAGGTTAATTCTGTGTCCAGGGCAGCTGTCTACCAGCTCCATCTGGTACGCAGGCTGAGACCCTCCCTGCCCACAGACTGTCTCGCCAGAGTGGTGCATGCTCTGGTTATCTCCCACTTGGACTACTGCAATGCGCTCCATGTGGGGCTACCTTTGAAGGTGACCCGGAAACTACAACTAATCCAGAATGCTGCAGCTGGACTGGTGACTGGGACTGGCCGCTGGGACCACATAACACCGGTCCTGAGAGATCTGCATTGGCTCCCAGTACGTTTCCAAGCACAATTCAAAGTGTTGGTGCTGACCTTTAAAGCCCCAAACAGCCTTGGCCCAGTATATCTGAAGGAGCGCCTCCACCCCCATCGTTCAGCCCGGACACTGAGGTCCAGCACTGAGGGCCTTCTGGCAGTTCCCTCATTGCGAGAAGCGAGGTTACAGGGAACCAGACAGAGGGCCTTCTCGGTGGTGGCGCCCGCCCTGTGGAACGCCCTCCCTTCAGATGTGAAGGAAATAAGCAGCTATCCTATCTTTAAAAGACATCTGAAGGCAGCCCTGTTCAGGGAAGTTTTTGATATTTAATGCTGTACTGTTTTTAACATTTGATTGGGAGTGGCTGGGCCTGAAACTGTTCTTGACCTGAAGCACCGCTTTAGCTAATGGGGCCTCCTGCTGCCTCTGCGGCGTCGGAGCACGATTTCTGTTCTCATCCTGAAGCAAAGTTCTTAACCTGAAGCACTATTTCTGGGTTAGCGGAGTGTGTAACCTGAAACGTCTGTAACCCGAGGTACCACTGTATTATTATTATTATTACTGGAAGCGGGGGATGCGCACATCAAGAGGCAGGGAGTTCCACAGCGCCTTGGAGGGCGGCGATCTGGAAGCGACCCCCTCTCCCCCCCCCCCGCTAACTCACGCGCGTGCACCAGACCCCCAACCCCCCCCCCTACCTGTAGGTACCTGGGCGCCCGGGATCAGCTCCTCCTGCGCCGCCTCCCGGGGCTGGACGGCCGGGTCCTCGCCCACCTGCCAGAGCAGGTAAAGCCCCGCCAGGGAGCCGGCGGCCAGGGCCAGCAGCCCGGCCAGCCAGAGGCGGCGGCTGCTCCCCAGGCTCCGCTTCCGCGCGGCGGGGAAGCCTCCGGGCTCCAGGCCGCCCTGCGGGACCCCCATCCCCGCGCGGCCCCGCCGAGGCCCTTTCCGCATGGCGCCTCCGCTCCTACTGGGGACCCGGGGCTCCGGCCGGCCACGCCCCCTCTCTTGGAGGGCCAATGGGGTGAGGCCGCGCCGGGCATGAATGGAAGGAGGCGGAGTCACGAGCTCCACCTTCCGCGTTCGAGCCACGCCTCCGAGCCCCCAGCCTATCAGACGCGCCCGCGCCAAGGGGGCGGGGCGAGGCGGGGCCACGCCCGCTCGCTGGTTAAGGACACGCGGCGCTTTCGGAAAGGAAAAGAGGAGGAAGAGGGAAGAGGAAGGCGAAGGACACGCGGGAAGGAAAGGGGAAGGTGGAGGGCGGTTGGTTTCTTACGGAAGGAGGTTTGATGCAATAATTATGGGTTGTTAGCCGCCCTGAGCCCGGCCTTGGCTGGGGAGGGCGGGGTATAAATAATTTTTTTAATTATTATTATTTAAAAATATATATCACACAACCGAAATCTGCAGCTGAGCAATGAATGCCTCTATTAGGAACAACGAAAGGTCCACAATCTATGGGCAAGCTTTAGTATTAATCATCATCATCATCATCAGGGCTTTTTTTTGTAAAAAAAAATAAATGTTTAGGGGTACTTTCATTTTCCTACTCATTGAAATACTGCCTCTCAATGAGGCCAAACAGATTCAAAAAATGGTTAGTGGTATGCGAACCTCCACACCCCTCAGAAACAAGCAATAATAATAATAATAATTTATTCATACCCCAGCCCCTCTGGGTAGCTTCCAATTTTGCATTACAAACATGATAAAACATCGAACATTAAAAACTTCCCTGGGCTGCCTTCAGATGTCTTCTAAAAGTCAGATAGTTGTTTATTTCCTTGACATCTGGTGGGAAGGTTGACGCTACTACTGAGAAGGCTCTCTGCCTGGTTCCCTGTAACCTCACTTCTTGCAGTGAGGAAACTGCCAGAAGGTCCTTGGAGCTGGACCTCAGTGTTTGGGCTGAATGATGGGGATGAAGATGCTCCTTCAGGTATACTGGAATTCTGCAGAACTCTTCACAAGCCTAGAAGATGCGCAAACGGTGGGGGAGGGGACTACAGTAATTCGGCTACATGTTGAAGCCATGAATACCTTTGTTTTATAATATTCCTTACTCACCCTTCATCATAAGGTCCCAGGTGGGTTATGGCCCGGGCATCTGGTTGGCTGCAATGAGAATAACATTGCTGGATATGGAGAGTCACTGGCCTGAGCCAACGAGGCTGTATTTATGTTTTCAGTTCTAGTGTTTTTAATACATAAAACGCTTCCAAAATGTTCTGTTCCAAATGCAGCAGAATTCAGCAAGAGTGGTGGCTCCCAGAAAACAATACCATTAAGTGCCAAAGACCTTAAAAAACAAATGTGAGCACCTTGAATTTAGGCCTGGAAACAAACGGGCAAGCAGTTTGGCTGCTTCAGAACAGGTTGTGCGAGTTCTAAATGGGACTCCGGCCAGCAATCTGGCGGCAGCATTTTGGACCAACTGAAGTTCAGACAGTTCCAAGTTGGAGACTGCAGGCTGAATTAGTCTCTGCTAGGTGCTGAGACGCGGGTGGCGCTGTGGGTTAAACCACAGAGCCTAGAACTTGCCGATCAGAAGGTCGGCGGTTCGAATCGCTGCGATGGGGTGAGCTCCCGTTGCTTGGTCCCTGCTCCTGCCAACCTAGCAGTTCGAAAGCACATCAAAGTGCAAGTACATAAATAGGTACCGCTCCGGCGGGAAGGTAAACGGCGTTTCCGTGCACTGCTCTGGTTCGCCAGAAGCAGCTTAGTCATGCTGGCCACATGACCCGGAAGCTGTACGCCGGCTCCCTCGGCCACTAATGCGAGATGAGCACCACGACCCCAGAATCGGCCACAACTGGACCTAATGGTCAGGGGTCCCTTTACCTTTTTAGGTGCTGCAACTATCAGGTTGTAGCTTGGCATTTGGGACAGAGAAGGAATCAATGGCTGGCCTCCATTTAAAAAAAATATGAAGTCCAGCTGTTACCCAGATCTGTCCTGTTCGACTTAATTGATTTGCAAGAGACTGTTCATTTTGAATTTCATTGCCAGCCAACCCAAGCTTTTTACATTTCCCCCCTTCTACATATGGCTGGATAAGACTCTAGTTCACCAATGCTTATATTATAATGAATTTGTTAAATCTGTAAGGTGCCACAACCACTTATGGAAGTTAAGGGCATCAAACTTCTGTTCTAGTTGTTATGAATTCAATTAGCCTCTTCCCACCTGCAGATCTGCTTGCCATCTGGTTGGCTGAACTAGTTCACATGTGCAGCTGGAACATGCACATGTGAACCCAGCCCCTGTTAACACTCATATGGAGGGACAAAGCCATTTGACTGGAACTGAGGGAGATCCAATGTCATGGACTGGTTGGGTGCAGAGGGATGGTGGAAGGAACTAGCTGAGGAACCACCAAGTGAAGAAGGCTTAGAGCCAGGGGGTGAAATGACCATGAATGGTCAGAGGGAGAAGAGGGAGTAGACTGGGGGGAGGAGGTGTTGGAAGCTGAAGAGTTAATAGGCTTTAGTGAGCTAGGAGAGTCTGTGGCAGAGAGCAGTCCAGAATCAGAGACAGAAGCTGGCAAATGGGAGGTTGGTCAAGAGGCAGAGATGAGTAAAGCCCTATATGGCCTAGGACCCTCGTACCTACAGGACCGCCTCTCCTGGTATGTCCCATGGAGGACCTTACGGTCTTCAAACAAAAACATCTTGGAGGTCCCAGGCCACAAGGAGGTTAGGCTGGCCTCAACCAGAGCCAGGGCTTTTTCGGCTGTGGCCCTGATCTGGTGGAACGCTCTGTCACAAGAGACTAGGGCCCTGCGGGACTTGACATCTTTCCGCAGGGCCAGCAAGACGGAGCTGTTCCACCAGGCCTTTGGCCAAGGCACAGCCTGACCCCGTCCTTTGGTAATCCTCATAGAGCCCTAGCCCAATGGTTGCCATGAATTTGATTTTGAATTGATTTTAAAATGAATTGATTTTAGAATGCTGTCTTACTTTTATTGTTGTTAGCCGCTCTGAGCCCGGTTTTGGCCGGGGAGGGCAGGATATAAATAAAAAAAATAGTAGTAGTAGTAGTAGTAGTAAGGCTGTTGAAGAGATACAGGTCTCTCTCTCTCCTGCTGCAACAAGCTCCCCAGAACCACAAGAGTCATGAAGAAGAAGAAGAAGAGGAGTTTGGATTTGATATCCCGCTTTATCACTACCCAAAGGAGTCTCAAAGCAGCTAACATTCTCCTTTCCCTTCCTCCCCCACAACAAACACTCTGTGAGGCGAGTGGGGCTGAGAGACTTCAGAGAAGCGTGACTGGCCCAAGGTCACCCAGCAGCTGCATGTGGAGGAGTGGAGACTCGAACCCGGTTCCCCAGATTACGAGTCTATCGCTCTTAACCACTACACCACACTGGCTCTGAAAAGGGTGGAGGAGAGATTGGTGACTTGTAGACGCAGTCTCTGCTTGCTTGGGGGGGGGGGGAATCCTGGAGAGGAGGGGACTTAGTCAGCTGTGGGTGTAGCAGGAACCCCCCCCCACCCCAATCATTCAGTTTGTACAAACTTCACACACTCACACTCTACATATGCCACACTTCTGTTATAAATTCATAGAAAAATCAACCATACATCGGACTGTTCCATTTTTGTTTTACTCCATATGACAAGGACTATCAAAGGGGGGTGGCTTGGTTCTGGTCAGCCATAATCCCTTCACCATCCCAGCACATCCACAGGAGCCCTGCCCAGTTGCTATGCCAACCCTGATGGTCCTAGACAGAAGACCATCAAGATCACAAAGAACTTGCATATGGGAGTGGATTCAGCATGGACTGAAACAAAGGACAATGATCAGATCTTCCCTCTGGGGGCAGGAAACTGCCAACTCCCCTTTGTCTCCTGGAAGTGACTCATGGGGAGGGGGAAAGGAGGAACCAGCCAGGTGACAGGACACTCAGGTTACCACCACAACTCCTCCCTCAACCCCTCGTTTCTGTAATGTATGCATGATGTTTCTGGGGGTGGGCTTGACCTAGAGGATGGGAATTTCAAAAGTTTTTATAAGGTCTTGCACACCATCTTTCTGGGTCTTTCCTCTCTCCTGCAAGTGAGGGGAACACCCTGTTGCAACAGTTCAATAAAGGCCAAGCCTACAGGCTGCTGTTTTGCTCCACGTTATCCTGGTTGGTGTCTTTGTTTTTGTCCAAGGGAGCCCTCGGATTTTTCCGGTAACATGGGGAAGTGAAGACCTTCAGTCTCAGCAACTGCTTCATGAGGGCAAGACCCACCAGAGATGAGTTTCTGTGCTCATTAGGCCTGACACCCCCGTGCTACTAAAGAGTTAACTCCAACTTGCACAGTGCGATTCACTGCTGGCTTGCTCCTGTCACTCATTTTCCAGCCGCCTCTGGGCCATTAATGTAAGCCAGTCACTCTCAGTCTAACCTTCCTGTTTGTTTTGAGGACAAGAGAGAGAACACCTTGGGCTTTTTGGAGGAGAGGTAGGAGAGAAACGTGACAAATAGCCAGAGCCCGATAAAACCCTTGCAGGCATGAACAAATGCTTCTTGAGGGGGAAAAAAGTATTGGGTTGCATCCAATGTAGGGCTAAGTACCTTGTTCTTTCCATGCCAGGATTTTTGCTTGTGCAACAGAACTTTCTCCTTCCCTCCTCCCTGTATGGACCCTCTTTTCTGGGGTTCCCCAACCCTCTGGAGCAGATTTGGGGAGGTTGTGGAGTGTACCTTGAAGCGAATCGGGGGAGAGAAGTTATAATTGCACGCGCAGCAATCCTTGGACTGGCAGATTTGTTCGATGCTGCCAAGTTAATGGACTATGCAGAACTAGATGAACTAACAGGAAGGATTCGAAACCGGCGGGACCAGAAATTCACGGAAGACTGGAGTAAATTTACGGACTATTTGAAAAGTATTTGTGAAGATCAGACGACGTTTGTAGGTTTGCAAGAGGTTTTGTGAGGAGTATGATTGGAAGTATTGCAAAAATGGAGAAGGGGAAGGATGATTTGTTAAGAGATGTAAAGGCAGTATCAAGTTAAGAAATGCATAAGAAGTGGTTAAAACGGTGGATCATCAGAGGTGCTGACGGAAGTCTAAAAAGATTGTATAAGTGATAAGTTTTGTGGTACATTTTATATGTTAAAATCACTAAAAATTATATATATATATATATATAAAAGATTTGTTCGATGCTGCCAAAATGGTGCGGGATTGCAAACTTGATTGCCTTACTCATCTTTTGGAACAGACTCGCATGTGCTTGTTTTTGTAAAGCACAGAGCGTGATGATGCTCAGCTCCGACCATCCATCGGGTTCTGCTGCAGAAAGAATCTCTTCTCTCTCTGGCTCCTGTCCCAAAAGAACTTAACATTGGGCCGGAACACCCGAGACCTCAGGGAGATGTGTTTTTAGCTGGGAGATGGGATACTCAAGGTAAGCTGTGTTCCAAATGAGCTGAAAGGGGGAGACTCTCAGATGCACCAGCTGGGCGCCTGCCACGGCTAAAGAGATAATCACAAAGCATAAATGTGGTTATGTAAAAGGCCAGCATTCTGCAGCAGGGGAGGCTCTGCTGAGGGCGGCCAGGATGGGATTGGCGTTGTCTCTTGAACGGTGGGCTTGCTGGCAGGAGGACCAATGGGATCGTCCGAGCCAGAGACTGCCCAGTGCTTACAAAAACAAATAAATCCGATCTCGTTCCAAAGATGAGTAATGCAACGAAGTTTGTGCACGGTTGCACGTTCTGCACCATCCCTACCCCCTCTGTCGCCAGGAGTGCTGCCAGAGCTTGGCAGGAGTAATTAAACCTCCCCTCCCATCAAAAAAGTATGAGGTTCATCTTGCAAGAGGATGGGGAAATGAGGCCCAGACTGGACTCAAATGTTAAATGTGCATAATGCATTTAACTAAGTTGAGTTTTGTTTTGTTTTTAAGAAATGCTAATATCATCAGCTAGGGAGGGGTATTATTGGGTTTTCAGCAACAGTGGAGGGGGGGGTTACTTATTCTTCTTCTTTGGTTATCACTCGTAGCCAAGTAAGATTGTCTTCCCTAAACACGGTTTTAACAATGAGTCCGTAAGTGACTGTGGAGGCCAATTCTGGACCCACACTTCCTTCCACAGTGGGGACATTGGTTCCCGGGCGGGAGTCGGTCACGGTGTGGATTTGCGAAGCGTGCCTTCCTCTTAGCGCGTTTCTCCCTTGCGTCCTGAGTTCGAGCGTCTTCAAAGCCCATGACACCTTTGGTAAAAGCTGGACTATGACTGGAGCGCCTGCAGGCCAGTGTTTCCCAGTTGTCAGTGTTTATACTACATTTTTTTAGATGATACCTAGATAATTTTACCTATTATCTCCTCTGCTGCAGTCCTGAGGAAGACCCAAGGGTTTGCTTGTGCAGAGGGTGGGGGGAATTCCCCCCACACAACTGGCACAAATGTGGGAATTTACTCCCAATGCAAAGACTGGCTTCAGAAGTGGGGTTTTCCTCCGACTGTGGGCAGGAGAGGAAAGAGTTAATTTTTCAAAAAAAACAACCCAATATTTTATTGGTTTTTAAACAAATACATAATTATACAGAAAGAGTTGGTTAAATTTCTCCATCACACTTGCTGTGATCCAGAAAACCTTCAGAAAAACCACAACTGAACCACACAGATATTTGATATTTTCTTTTGTAAACAATTCAGAGCTCCATCTCACGTCAAGCCTAGTTAGGCCCAAATTCAGCCACCCTCTCTGCTTTATGGACTTATTAAGAGCAGATTGCAGATGGACTTATTAAGAGCAGGTTTATATTTGAAACCGTAAGGTCTAGAAAGTTGTGTGCTGTTTGTTTTTATCATGAAAATGGATTCTCAGACCAGGGCATTTAAAAGTCTCCCCTTTCTCACATGACCCTGCCATCTGTTCATGGAGAGGGAGTCCTTTGTGATGAGGCCCTCATCTGTGGGGAACCCTCCGCTGGCATCGCCCCCAACATCTTTTAACCCCCGTTTAACACACCTGAGCTGTTCAGAACAATTCCATCTGGCTGTGGCTGCTTTGCAAAAAACGCTGTTTGTGTTAGGATCGCTGTGTTTTTACCCGAGAGTTGAAAAGGTGGCCATGTTTGCCCAAAAGAAAAATACCAAAGTAGTCCGTAATTGGACGATGCCTTTATTAAGCTGACCAAAAAGTCCAGAAAACAAGGGTGCAAGGTTTCGGATCACCCAGACCTCTCCAGCAGGCTACAGGTTCGAAACATGGGCGTAGGCAGGGAGAGACAAGGCGGTTGGTGTTTGACAAGGCATCCATGGCTGCTACACCTGTTAAGTTTTAAGATGAAGGCCAGAAGTTGCTAGCAGGCATTCAAATCAGGTACTTTCAGGTGCTCACAGGTTTCGTGTTGCACCGCAGCCGCCTCTGGAGGGGAGCCACATAGCGGCTGGACCTCTGTGAAGACAGCTGCCAGCTGTTCCTTCTTCACACAGAAAGGATGTCTTTTTGCAGCGCTTCGTTAAACGGTGGAACTTGCTGCTGCAGGAGGCGTTTACGGCGATCAGCCTGGATGGCTGTAAAGGAGGACTGGGCAAATCGATGGAAGGGGATAAGGCTATCGATGTCTACCAGACCTGAGGCTCTGTCTTCACAATTGGAGGCTATCAGCAATGTCTAGGCAACACAACGACCATGTACATACGCAACAGACCATCTTTTATAGAATTCCTTCAAACCATAACAAGTCCAAAAGTCAAGAGGTCTAAAAATGCTGGAAGAATGGCAGATGAAGGTGATTGACTACATGGAATTGGCGGAAATGACTGGCAGAATCCGAGATCAAGGAGAAGAGTCGGTGAAAGAAGACTGGAAGAAATTTAAAGAATATTTACAGAAATATTGTAAAATTAAGGAATTTTAGAAGGATGTTGGATAGAAACTAAGTTTCCAGCTGTAATGCTTTAAGAGATACAAAAAAAGGTTTTATAAATGGGTAAAAGCTTAATGGTAAGGACTTGATGAACTAACAAATTGAACTGGAATACAAAAAAGGGAGGTATGAGGAGGTCCGGGGAAATAAGTGAAAGGAGGATATGTTATGGAAAACTAACGACGTGTTTTTAATTGTTTTTATTGTGTATGTTCCCTTTTATTTTTCTCTTTTTTGCTATATCTTAAAAACTTTATCCTTTTTCTGTATTTTGTATTTTCTTCTATTTTTATTTTCTGTTTTTGTATTTTTTGAAATTTTAATAAATATCATTAAAAAAAAAACCAAGTCCAAAATGAAATCTTTAGTCTCAAAGTCTCTGAAAATCTTTAAATGAAGCAAGGTACCAGACTTTGAACGATGAAAGACAAACAAATAGGATGTCCAATGAATGTAAATATGATATCGAATGAATGGATGTGACTACATTATTACCTGAGCACTGTTCCGCAGCATTTGATATTTTCATTTACATACATTCACTCGATTTAAGATTGGTTTATGAAGCAATTTTATATCATCCCACCACGCTGGCAAAGAATTCTAGAAAACAGTAGTCAATATCTGGAATCACTGTTCAGTGTTGGACAAATTTGCTGAATACACAAAGCTTCACAGCTTGTCTTTCATCGTACAAAGTCTGGTACCTTCCTTCATTTAAAGATTTTCAGAGGCTTTGAGACTAAAGATTTCATTTTGGACTTGTTATGGTTTGAAGGAATTTTATAAAAGATTTGTCTATTGCGTATGTACATGGTCATCGTGTTGCCTAGACATTGCTGACGTTCTCTTTGCAACGGAGGAGTTTGTTTGGTTACTTATTGCTGTATCATGGCCAAATGGGCTCATACCTTAGCCTTCACAGTTGGAGGCAGCAGTACCTCCGAGTTTCAATTCTCGTCTCTGCCTCCCTCTTTAGATTGTGGAATCATAGAATTGCAGAGTTGGAAGGGACCCTGAGGATCATCTATTCTAGACCAACCCCCTGCAATGCAGGAATACGCATTGTCTCCCACGGGGATCGAACCTGCAACCTTGGTGCTATTAGCACCATGCTCTAACCAACTGGGGATGCGGGTGGCGCTGTGGGTTAAACCACAGAGCGTAGGACTTGCCAATCAGAAGGTTGGCGGTTCAAATCCCCACCACGGGGTGAGCTCCCGTTGCTCAGTCCCTGCTCCTGCCAACCTAGCAGTTCGAAAGCACACCAGTGCAAGTAGATAAATAGGCACCGCTCTGGCGGGAAGGTAAACGGCGTTTCCGTGCGCTGCTCTGGTTCGCCAGAAGCGGCTTAGTCATGCTGGCCACATGACCACATGAGCTGTACGCCGGCTCCCTCGGCCAGTAAAGTGAGATGAGTGCCGCAACCCCAGAGACGTCCACGACTGGACCTAATGGTCAGGGGTCCCTTTACCTTTACCTAACCAACTGAGCTATGTGACCATGAAACAAGAGGTGAGAGGTGGAGAAGAGGAAGAAAACGAAAGCTAGGAAGATATTGATTCTAGCTGCTGTGCTAGGTAAAAGGACTACCTAGTTTTCCTTTCATTCTTTGTTCTAGGGACACCAGGTGAAACCAGTTTCAGAGACAATAACAATCTTTGGGGCTTTTAAGAGCTGTTCTAGTATGCTGGCAAGAGAGGCTGAACTATGAATCAGGTCCCAGTTTTATTCTCTTCTCTGCTGCAAACTCACTATGTAGTCTTAGGCGAGCCATGACCCCCTCCGCCTCTATTATCCCATCTGTACAATGGGTGTAATGAAAGCAGCCCACTTCATTCTGCCCCTCGTTCTCCATTTTTCTTTTTCAACCAACGCTCAACATTCCGCCGCTCCTGAGCATGCTCAGTCCTGATCGGGCTTTGCAATTTAACTCTGGTTTGTGCAAAGAAAGCCCTCGGTCAGCAAATAAAAACGAGCGCAGAACCACTGTCAGAAATCAAGCCTTATTTCTTTTCTCTTTTCTTTTTCCTGCTGTTTAATTTTTTTTCTGTCTCTCCCCCCCCCCCCTCAAAAGTCATTTTTGAAAATGTCACACATGTACAGAGACAAACAAGCATATAAATATCAGTGTGAACAGGACCGGAGGAGATGAGGAAGGCACTCCACTTCGCCAGCGGAGCAGTGCGGGTGGCAAGACTTTTCGACCGAAGTGTGAGGTTGGGGAAGACTGCAGACAGAGCCCTGATAGAGTTCTGGTAGGGAGGAGAGAAATGAGCAAGGTTTTTTCGGTGGGCGGCGGGTAGGATGAGATAGATGGCTAAAAACCACCCAAAATTTAGGGCAGGTGTATATTTGGGTTGGGTTGTAGTGTGTGTGCACATATTTGGAGTGTGTGTGTGTGGGGAATGACACTCTTAAAAGGAGGCATGCGGAAGGACGACTCTTTAGGGGGCCCCGCCTTAAGGATGGCTGTGTCTAGGGAGGGCAGCGAAGCGCTTGCGTGGATTCCAGGTTGACACAGAATCCATAAAGCGGCAGAGCTGTACAGGAGAATTTTCATAGCTGCACCTTCTGCTGGGCCAGCCTTGGGGACAAGCAACGGCTCTTGCGACTGCCTCCCCTGTGGAAATATTAAAAGCGGCAAGAACTGCCCTGTATGGAATCTGGGAAGAGGACAGTCTGGGGAAAATTTACGGGAGCCAACAGCCCAGCTGAGACTTTCAAAAGAGGGCTAGGGAGGCGCATGGAAATCTTTTGTTTTCTGTGGACTGGACATCTTAGAGGAAACTTTTCTCCAGATAATCCAAGCTGATCTATTGAACAATGGGATCAGGGGGAGTGGGGAGAAGAGAAGGTTGGGGTCTCAGGACCCACCCAATTCTTGGTCTCTAGCTGGACAGAGCTGTGGGGTGCAGGACAGAGAGGGCTGCTCCCCAGCAGAGATCAAATTTCCTTGCACAAAGGAGTATAAACTACTCAATGGGGGTTTGCTGTATTCAGGGAGGGTGGGAAAACTCCTTTGCTGCAGAATGGCTTCTCTCTGCCCCACTACGGTGGCTGGGGACGGGGTGAAGGGGCCACGTAAAAAGTCAGGTGGTAGCCCTCTCTTTGGTACGGAAGGGGTTTGACCTATCTGCCCAGGGCCCTGGCAGAGAACAAGGTCCCCCTAACCCGGTGGAGCCCCAGACATCACGAACAGAGCCCTTAAGACAACATGAGAGTTTGTAGCCCTAAGAAGATGCGCAGGGCATCAAAGGCAGACGGAGGTGATATGTCTGGGCGATGAAACCCTCTCCTGATTTTTATTTGGGGGGGGGCAGAAGCACCCTGCCGTGGGGCCGTCAGACATGCAGCGAATTGCGGGCAAACATAAACCACAGTTGCAAGGTGTGGGGCCCTTTCTCTTCCGTCGTCCTTCCCCACTGCTGGGCTTGACCATTAGGCAAAGCAACATGCCGCCCCCTTGCTTGCTAGTGCAATTCAGCGGGCAGACAGCGATATGTTTTTCTCCTAGCGCTAGCAGACCTCAGATTGGAAATTCCAGTTAAAACAAACCCCTATTCTCAGAGCCAAATGTTTTGTTTTTTTGCAGCTCACAAGCAGGTGTCTGGGACTGGGAACCCCCCCTCTATGCCACAAAGGTAACTCTGCTTTTTAAAGTGGTTCCATTGCTTTTTTTGGGGGGGGTGAAGAGAACTCTCAGATCGGTTCGAACACGGCTGCAGAGGGTTTTCTGGCAGAGACTCTCTTTGCCCTCTTCCTAGAACGATGCGATTTCAGCGCCGTTCCTCTCCAACTCGTAAAAAGGACTCGGGATTATTTTGTGGCTGTTCTATCCACCTGCCCCGAGGTCCCAAGCAGCCAGGTAGCAGAACGGAGATCTGATCTGTGGGACCCGGAAGGGTTGCATGCGATCCCAGAGCACAGAGTGTCCGGAAGGGTTTCAAAATGGCAGGGATTTGGGGATAAAGGAGGGTCTCTCTCTAACGGAGCAGGGGCGCGAGGTTCCCCTTGCGAGGCGACAGGTTTGCAGAGGGCACAGGAAGACCCAGGAGAGGTGGTTCGGATGTAGGAGGTTCGGCAGGAAAGAGGGAGAGAACCGCGGCCAAAGTCAAGAGGTCTAAATCAATGTTTCCCAATACAGCTTGGGTCTCCAACCTGTTTTGGAACTACAATTCCCATCACCCTTGACCACTGGGTCCTGCTGGCTAGGGATGATGGGCGTTGTAGTCCAAAAACCCAAGATTGTCGGGAAACACTGACCTAAATGACCCTCAAAACAGGGAAGCAGGGTCCTGTTTGCTCTTAACATGGACTTGGCAAACTTTGGCCCTCCAGATGCTTTGGCCTACAACTCCCATGATCCCTACCTAACAGGACCAGTGGTCAGGGATGATGGGAATTGTAGTCCAAAACATCTGGAGGGTATGAAGTTTGCCTATGCCTGGACTTGAGGAGCAAAGGGCCCAGATTCGGGGTGTGGAGGAAGAAGGAAGCAAAGCCAAGATTTGCAACTTGGGAAATCAAGGTTTATTCATTGTAAGGAAACAGCTGTGTCTTAAAAGCAGTCTTCCTCCAATAGGGGTCCCCTCCAGCTGTTTTTGGACTACAGTAGCGGCTGATGGGAGGTGTAGTCCAAAATGTCTGGCGGGTACTACGTTGGGGAAGCATGCTTTAAAGAAACAAGCACAGTTTTCCCGTGGCAATGGGGAAACCAGACCGATTTTGCTCTCTGGGCTGGCTCGGAATACCCTCCCTAGGAATGAGTTCTTGCAAGGGCACAGAGGAAATCCCTCTGCTGCCCTAAAGGATTTGAGAAGCTGGTTTTTTAAAAAGGACAGTGCAGGGATGCCACCAGGAAACCACAGCACACTTTGCCTCTGGTTTCTACAGTCAGCCGTGAGGCTGCATCCTCGATTGACACAAGGATGGACACAAATGGTTCTGCGAGCCTTGCATGGGTACCACCAGCGACGTGACGTCAGGAGAGCAAATTTCCCCAAATGGAAGTCTGGAAGCTTAGGAAACATCCTATTTTTCAAAAACGGGGGTGGGACAAAGGCAACTCGAAGATTTTTCACATCATCTCCCTACACCAGTGACCAGAAACTTGCTGCCCTCCAGAGATAGCCAAAGGCATGATGGGAGTTGGGAGTTGGACAATGCCTGGAGGTCTGCAGGTTAACCCTTCCCCTCCCTTAAACCTGGAGATGAGCTGCAATGGCTGGAAGAGAAAACAGGTGTCATTTTAATCCCCGCCACCCACGATTTCCCTTTTCATTTCTAAGGGCCCTGTGCCTCCTTAGATGTAGATTTTATTTTCTACTTTTCCATACGTTGCCTTTTTGGCCGCCCCGCCCCCCTTCTGTAACTGGGGGCAGGCAAGAAATCAAACCCAAACGGGGAAACGCAACCAAATGCATTATTTTTTTTTTTGAAAAAAACAACCCTCAACACAACAAAAATCCTGTAAAACACAATCACACCACACCCTCTTGCACACCCGAGGAGAGCGGAGAAGAGGGGGAGGCGCTCCTTCTTCTTCGCCTCGTCCCCCGTCCCCGCCGGGCTCTGCCCCTCACCTCCCGTCCTCCCTCCGGGCCGCCCTCTCCCTCAGCATGTCACAAGGCTGCACCCAGTTGTTGTCGTGCAGTCCCACCCGGCAGCCCGGCGTGTCCTTGTCCGTCCGCCGGCAGCACATCCAGTAGGAGCGTCCGTAAGGCAGGTCGTGATGGTAGGGCTTGGGGTGCCAGCGGCAGAGGGAGACGTCCCCTTTCTCGTAGTGCTTCTTGCACTGCTTGCAGGGGTCGTCGCGGTACAGGGGGTCCCGGGTCCAGCGCGAGTCCGTGGCCTGCACGCCAAACGTCTCGATGATGTACTTGAAGTAGTGGCAGGAGCACTTTAAGGCGGCCAGCGACTGCGTCGGCAGGTAGCTGAAGATCTTCACCATGATATGGTCCGGGAGGAGCAGCATGTACTGCCGGGGCTCCAGCAGACGCTGGATCTTGAAACGGATCTCGAGGAAGTCGTGCGAGACGTGGCGGTAGAGGCGGCAGAGCGAGGTGTCCGCGGACGTCGGCTCCAGGCCGGGCCCGTCGGCTCTCTCTAGGCCGCCCTCGCCGCTGCCGGCAGGGTCCAGAAAAGCGCCGTCCACGTCCCTGCCGTCCTCCTGCCGAGGCACCTGGGCGTGCAGGAAGAAGAGCTGGCCCGGCGGCGGGTCGTCGCACGCCGAGCACAGCCCCTCTTGCGTGGGCGAGCCCACCGTCAGGCAGACCGTCTCCTCCTTCATATTCTTGGTGCTGTCCTTGCCGAAGAAGACACACTGGTCCACCACGCCGGTGACCACCACGTCGACGTGGAAGCCGGAGACGCAGTCGCGAGCCACCGCGGCGGCGGGGCCTCCTGTCTTCTCCCCGCCGCCCCGGCCGCCCTCCGTGATGGCGTCCAGCTTGCCGGAGCCGCCGGGGCTCTCCCGGCAAGTCATCTCCACGTCCGGGGGCTCGCTGGCGACCCCGTCGGCACCTTTCGGGGAGGCGTTGGCCAGCAGGAAGTCCACATTGTTGGGGAGCGTGTCCCGCGAGGGGCTGATGAGCTGGTAGAGGTCGCAGGTGATTTTGTCCTTGGCGCGGGCGGCGCTGCCCGTGGGCGACCCGCCGCAGCTCATGAACATGCAGTTGGGGCGGGCGCCCTGGCCGCCCTCGGTGGGCGAGCGCGGGTCGCGGCTGCTGGAGATGCGGAAGGCGATGCGCACCTCGCCGGGGCTGTGCTGGGAGTTGGCCACGCATTCGGGAGACTCCCGGCACAGGCCGTTGGGGCGCAGGACGCTCCGCTCCCGCTGCTGAGACTCAAAGTGGGCCACCGCCTCCGCCACCCTGCTGCAGTCCGAGCTGCCGCCCGGAGAAGGCGCCCTCTTCTCCTCGCCCTCCTGCTCCGCCGACACGAAGACCATGGGGGACGGCGGCGCGGCCGGCACGCTTGGCCGGGGGTAGTTCTGCAACGCCAGGGCGGTGCGCTGCTCCACCAAGGCCACCATCTCAGCCACCGAGAGCAGGTCGGTGGAGTCTCCGCCCGCCGGCTCGGCGTGGGACTCCGGGCAAAGGCACACATCCTCCGCTTCCTTGCTGCTGCTGCCGGCGTCCTTCGCCTTGACCGGGCAGGCCTTGCTCTTGCCGGGGTCGTGGGACCTCCGCCGCCGCTTGGCCTTGGAGCTGTCACTCCCCCAGTTGCCCTTGACCTTCATGGCGCTGGCTCGGCTGCCGCTGCTGCACTGATGGGCCACAAAGAAGGCGATCTTCTCCTTGGTGTTTCCCGGTTTGATCACGTACCACGTGTCCAAGAGCACCCGGCCCTCCTCCACCTGGCTGGGGCTGGGGGAGACCGTGGGGGGCGGTGGGGGTGGAGGCGGCGGGGCCGGGGGAGTGTTTTCGGAGCAGGCCTCGCCACCGCCTTCTTCGTCTTCCTTGGCTTTGCAGGCAAAGTCCCCAAAGGTCTTCTTCACCTGGCCTCCAGGGCACTGCTTGTTCTGGGAGTAGGTGCCGAAAGGCCGCGGGCACCATAGCTGGATGTGGGAAAAGGTGTTCTGATCCATCACTGTCTCATGGCAAGGGGGCAGGGGGGAAGGCGGCCCTTCCTTTTCCCTAGCTCATGGATGCGCAGCTCGTGGGGCCTCGGAGGTGCCTGGGGGAAGAGGAAAAGAAGAGACATCAGCCGGCTTGCAATCACAACAGGGCAGGACTGGGCGCGGGCTTTCTTTCCGCGCAAAGTTGTCACGAGGGGCGCAGAATTCAGCTTTCCAGCAGGCAGGAGAGGAAATAAGCTTTCCGGTTTTGAAAAGGCACCGTCAGGTTTCTAGCCCTCATTGTGTGAAAGCAAGAGGGTAACCTTTAGCAGGATGTCAGGAGCCACACAATAGACTGCTGCATTCCTTACCCAGTACCAAATTGTGGGACAGCGTAATAAGAATACATCACGCCTGGATAGCTCAATTGGTTAGAGCGTGGTGCTGATAATGCCAAGGTTGCAGGTTCGATCCCTGTGTGGGATAGCTGCATATGCCTGCCTTTCAGAGGGTTGGACTAGATAATCCTCAGGTCCCTTCCAACTCTGCAATTCTATTATTATTATTCTACTGTTATTTTAATCACACATCGTAATTCAGGCCCATAGTATATCTACCTACCTAGCTAGCTACCTACCTAGCTACCCAGATCCATCACAGAATGGGGTGTGGCACTAGAAATGGTGATTTCTCAAAGGTTATTATTATTAATATTATTATTTTGTTATTTATCATACAGTGGTACCTCAGGTTACATACGCTTCAGGTTACAGACTCCGCTAACCCAGAAATAGTGCTTCAGGTTAAGAACTTTGTTTCAGGATGAGAACAGAAATTGGGCTCCAGCGGCACAGCAGCAGCAGGAGGCCCCATTAGCTAAAGTGGTGCTTCAGGTTAAGAACAGTTTCAGGTTAAGAACAGACCTCCGGAACAAATTAAGTACTTAACCTGAGGTACCACTGTATTTGCATACCGCCCCATACGCGTAGATCTTGGGGCGCTTCATGACACAAAACTACAATATAAGAAACAGTGTACGAAATACAAATACCAGCCCCCTTCCACGACACATTTTAAAAGGGCATCGGATCTCAACCAGCCAAAGGCCTGGTTGAAGAGGGCCCTTTTCGACTGGTGCCTAATGAAGGTACCAGGTGAGCATCCCACAAGTGAGGAGCCACTGCGGAAAAGGCCCCGTTCTGCGGGGCCCAAACATAAGGGGGCCATTCCCTCAACCCCAGCAAATTGAAAATCAACGCTTTGGTTTCAGGTCTCTGGATCTCATGATTGAAGCAAAGAAAGGCAACGAACTGGCAATGGTTGCAGAAGCGCGGGGGGGGGCGCGGCATCGGAGGCCTGAATCTCTCTCTCGGAGCCCCTCCACCCACTGCGTTCATCCACCAGCGACTACCTGCTCTAGTTATCTCCCGCTTGGACTACTGCAATGCGCTCTACGTGGGGCTCCCTTTGAAGGTGACCCGGAAACTGCAATTAATCCAGAATGCAGCAGCTAGACTGGTGACTGGGAGTGGCTGCTGAGACCATATAACACCAGTCCTGAAAGACCTACACTGGCTCCCAGTATGTTTCTGAGCACAATTCAAAGTGTTGGTGCTGACCTTTAAAGCCCTAAACGGCCTCAAAGGCCCAGTATACCTGAAGGAGCGTCTCCACCCTCATCATTCTGCCCGGACAATGAGGTCCAGCACTGAGCGCCTTCTGGTGGTTCCCTCACTGCGAGAAGTGAGGTTACAGGGAACCAGACAGAGGGCCTTCTCGGTAGTGGCGCCCGCCCTGTGGAACGCCCTCCCTTCAGATGTGAAGGAAATAAGCAGCTATCCTATCTTTAAAAGATATCTGAAGTTTTTAATATTTAATGCTGTACAGTGTTACCTCAGGTTACATACGCTTCAGGTTACAGACTCCACTAACGCAGAAATAGTGCTTCAGATTAAAAACAGTTTCAGGTTAAGAACAGACCTCCAGAACGAATTAAGTTCTTAACCTGAGGTATCACTGTACTGTTTTTAACATTTGATTGGGAGCCGCCCATAGTGGCTGGGGAAACTCAGCCAGATGGGCGGGGTATAAATAATAAATTATTATTATTATTATTATTATTATACCTGAGTCCCTCACCCCATGCACACCTTTGTCCCTGGCTTCCTCACCTGCTTCCCCACCCCACAGTCTGACCAGCTGTGGGCAACGCAGACTGTTCCCCACCCACCCGAGAGCCTGCTCTCTGGCTGGCCAGCTCAGGTTCTGCGTGGCCTCCTGCTGCATAATTTACTCCAGGCTTACAAGGGAAGAAGGGAGGCTTGACGAGATTACGGATCCTATTACAGTGTCGTAAAGAGGCAGCCGCTGCGGCACAGATGGGGCTGGCTGGCTGGGGAGGCAGCTGAAGGGGCAGCTGTCTGGGCAGGAGCTATGGGGCAGAGAGAAGAAGAAGAAGAGTTTGGATTTGATATCCCGCCTTTCACTCCCCTTCAGGAGTCTCAAAGCGGCTAACATTCTCCTTTCCCTTCCTCCCCCACAACAAACACTCTGTGAGGTGAGTGGGGCTGAGAGACTTCAGAGAAGTGTGACTGGCCCAAGGTCACCCAGCAGCTGCATGTGGAGGAGCGGAGACGCGAACCCGGTTCCCCAGATTACGAGACTACCGCTCTTAACCACTACACCACACTGGCTCGACAGCAGGGGCAAGGACAGAAGTACAGTGTTTCAGGGAAGTTGCCCCCTGTTACCGCCTGCCTTCTTTGGCGGGGGATTTTTAATTTTCCCTTTGCATTTGTACCCCACTTTTCCAACAACGAAAGCTGAGCTCAGAGCTCACAGTCGCGTCGGAAAACAAGCGTTGCAATTCCCACTATAAGCCTCCGGGGTTCCTCGCACAAATGCTTTGAGAAAGCAGTGGGCTGGACCCAAAAACTGGGTCCAAAAAATGATCGTTTATGCTGAATTAAGATAGCCTATCCAAAAAATTAGGGACGCAGGTGGCGCTGTGGGTTAAACCACAGAGCCTAGGAATTGCCGATCAGAGGGTCGGCGGTTCGAATCCCCGCGACGGGGTGAGCTCCCGTTGCTCGGTCCCTGCTCCTGCCAAGTGCAAGTAGATAAATAGGTACCGCTCCGGCGGGAAGGTAAACAGCGTTTCCGTGCGCTGCTCTAGTTTGCCAGAAGCGGCTTAGTCATGCTGGCCACATGACCTGGAAGCTGTACGCCAGCTCCCTCGGCCAATGGAGCGAGATGAGTGCCGCAACCCCAGAGTCGGCCACGACTGGACCTAATGGTCAGGGGTCCCTTTACCTTTACTATCCAAAAAATTAAAGAACAAACCAAGGAAAGAATTCATTTCAAAATGGGAAGTATTTAAAATATACTTGAAAATGAATGATACTGACCTAAAATCCGTAGCAGCATTTGAATAACTCCAGCAATATCGTTTACTAGTTATACGATTTAACATATTTTGAACATGTTTTGAGATGACAGTAATAAAATGTACTGGCAGTAAAGAATGGTAATTTGATTTATGGAGTAGATGGGAAGTCGGGTTTCAAAAGAAGAGACCATGACAGTGTAAGGATTATGAAATTTATATTAATTCTCTATGTATGGTGCGACTGATGGTACTTTCACTTTGGTTAATTTTGTCCTTTTTTGTTGTGTGTTGAGCAAATAAATTAAAAAAGGGAGAGAGAAAGCTGTGGGCTAGGACAGGATGTTTGGCACTTCCGGAAATCTGGGTCAAAGGAGGAGGGAGGGAGAACCACGCACGGCACCTTGAGCTCACCAGAGGAGAAGATGGGATAGAAATTCAATAAGCAAACAAATCAAAATAAAAATATGTTATCAGTGCCCACCTAGGAAATTTGCATGTGATGGGGGGAGCCTTCCAGCCCCAGAGATGCAAGGCTGCAGACACGGGCTCATATTAGTGATTTCCTTCTTTCTTTGAAACCTTGCCAGAGCTTTAAAGGGAGGCCCGCAAAGCAAGCTCACCCTGGCCACCCACCTCGTGTGGGTTGGGGCCGCCTCCCAACACCGGAACGATCAGAGGCATGAAACAGGATTAAAGGCCTCTGGGTTCCCGTATTAAAGCTCACAATCATCCCCTTGCCCAGAGAGTCAGGAACGACAGATTCATTTGCACAGAGGAAAGTACAAAGGTTTGTGCAGAGTGCAGTAGTGTCTTCCGTTCCCCCCCATCTTAATTAAAGCGGGTGGCGCTGTGGTCTAAACTACAGAGCTTGCCGATCAGAAGGTCGGCGGTTCGAATCCCCGCGACGGGGTGAGCTCCCGTTGCTCGGTCCCTGCTCCTGCCAACCTAGCAGTTCGAAAGCACGTCAAAGTGCAAGTAGATAAATAGGTACCACTCTGGCGGGAAGCTATGTTCTGGGTTCTGCGTGGTATTCTTTTTAACATGAAAGGGGGGGGGCACAGAGATTCCCATTCCTTAATCCTCCAGCTCGAGGCCACACACAGTGTTTTCCTCACTTTGATTAATCATGATCAGGACTTTGTGCATTCTGCTGTGTGGGGTGGTGGGAAAACATCTACATCCAGGGGGGAAATGCATCTACCCCCCACCCCACAGGGTTAAACCACAGAGCCTAGGACTTGCCGATCAGAAGATCGGCGGTTCGAATCCCCGCAACGGGGTGAGCTCCCATTGCTTGGTCCCTGCTCCTGCCAACCTAGCAGTTCAAAAGCACGTCAAAGGGCAAGTAGATAAATAGGTACCGCTCTGGCGGGAAGGTAAACGGCGTTTCCGTGCGCTGCTCTGGTTCGCAAGAAGTGGCTTAGTCGTGCTGGCCACATGACCTGGAAGCTGTACGCCGGCTCCCTCGGCCAATAAAGCGAGATGGTCAGGGGTCCCTTTACCTTTACACTCTCTCTCTCTCTCTCTCTCTCTCTCTCTGTGTGTGTGTGTGTGTGTAATCGCTCCTCTTCACCCAGTTCACTGAAGGAGAGCAAAAGATGAGAGGAGGGAGAAATTCAAAAAGTAGATCCACTCCTCTTTGCCAATTTGCAAGTGCTTTTTTCAAGAAGAGAAGTGTGGTGCCAGACTAGCATAGGGGCAGATAACTCCAGATGTGTCCCAGTCAGCAGGGCCAATGGTCTGGGGTGATGGGAACTCTAGTCCAAAACATCTGGAGGATGGTAACCACAGGACTATCAAACCAACCTGCAAATATCAGGAATGCTTCTGGAGCGGCTGAAATGGCTGTTGCCCTTCTCTGTTATGTTCACATTTAGGGCTGGGCAATATCTGGTTTTCAACATCACGATATATCACTAGCTAAACATCATGATATATATCACGATGTCTGTACAGTAGTACCTCCGTTTACGTAACCCTCTGGTTACGTAAACTTCGGGATGCGCGCGTGGCAAACCCGGAAGTATTTTACTGGGTTTTGATGTGCGCACATGTGCAGAAGCAATCCCCTGGTTGCAAAAACCTCAGGATCCGGCCAAACGTCCGGAACGGATCCCGCCCACAACCGGAGGTACCACTGTAATAAGCTACGGAGAGGCCTTGGCTGGCTTCACGGCTTTTCCCACATTGTGATTTTTGCATAGCACACACAAACACATCACAATTTGCAATACAATGCCAGGTCAAAAGTTATGAAACCAGTGTCATTTGGTCATATTTGAAGTGTCATATTTGAAACCGGTTTGGGGCAATCTATCGCCTAGTCCTAACACACATCCTGATTCGTGATATATTGACAGGTCGAAAGCTATGAAACCGTTATTGCAATACAATCGTACCTCGGGATGAGAACGGGATCCGTTCCGGAGCCCCGTTCACATCCTGAACAGAACGTAAGACGCGTCTGCGAGTCGCGTTTCGCCGCTTCCGCGTGTGACGTCATTTTGATCGTCTGCACATGCGTGAGCGCCGAAACCCGGAAATAACGCGCTCCGTTACTTCCTGGTCGCCACGGAGCGCAACCTGAAAATACTTATCCTGAAGCGTATTTATCCTGAGATATGACTGTATGGACTTCAAACTGGTTTTGGACAATATATCAATACACTGACCAGCCCTATGCACTTTAACTCTCAATCTTTTTTGGTTCTGAGCTTTTGGGAGAGTTCAGAGAGGTGTGGAGGGCCACATCTGGCCCCTGATAGGTTCCTTATCCCTACCTTAGAAAGTGGTATCATTTTAGCATGCATATTTTACTGGCCGAAGCTGAAAAAATTGCAACTCTCAAGTTGTTCTAACATTGCTTTTGCACTAGGCATCCACTTGTCGCTTCATTATTATTTGCTTAAAGGTAAAGGGACCCCTGACCATTCGGTCCAATCGTGGCCGACTCTGGGGTTGCGGCACTCCTCTCGCTTTATTGGCCAAGGGAGCCGGCGTACAGCTTCCGGGTCATGTGGCCAGCAGGACTAAGCCACTTCTGGCGAACCAGAGCAGCACACGGAAACGCCGTTTACCTTCCCACCAGAGCGGTACCTATTTATCTACTTGCACTTTGACGTGCTTTCGAACTGCTAGGTTGGCAGGAGCAGGGACCGAACAACGGGAGCTCACCCCGTCGCGGGGATTCGAACCGCTGACCTTCTGATCGGCAAGTCCTAGGCTCTGTGGTTTAACCCACAGCGCCACCTGCGTCCCTATATTATTTGCTTACTCGTTGCATTTATCACCCACCTGTTTCGCTCCACGGAGCTCAAGGCAGAGTATGCAGTTCTCCGTCTCCACATTTAATCCTCACTACAACCCTGCGAGGTAGGTGAAGCGGAGAGGTGCAGTGACTGGCCCAAGGTCAGCCGATGAGCTGCATGGCCAAGCAGGGATTTGAACCCTGGTCTTGCAGGACATCACCCAACCCCTTAAACCACTTGGCTAATGTTGTGTTTGGTGGTGGAGGAGACTCTTGAGAGTCCCATGGACTGCAAGAAGATCAAACCTCTCCATTCTGAAGGAAATCAGCCCTGAGTGCTCACTGGAAGGACAGATCCGAAAGCTGAGGCTCCAAGACTTTGGCTACCTCATGAGAAGAGAAGACTCCCTGGAAAAGACCCTGATGCTGGGAAAGATGGAGGGCACAAGGAGAAGGGGATGACAGAGGACGAGATGGTTGGACAGTGTTCTTGAAGTGACCAGCATGAGTTTGACCAAACTGCGGGAGGCAGTGGAAGACAGGAGTGCCTGGCATGCTCTGGTCCATGGGGTCACGAAGAGTCGAACACGACTAAATGACTAAACAACAACAACATTGTGTTACTAATATAGGGCACATCATTGGCACACTGTTAATAACAAACTTCTTAAATGGATTTTGTTTCCCCCACATGGGGAAAAAGAGCACCGGCCAGTTATGCGGGAAACTTTTCTGTTTGGGGATATTTCCCGTAGCTACAGTTTGACCCCTTGCAAAACAGGCTTCAGAGGGGAGGGTGAATTATGCGCAAAGCCCAAACAACATCAGTGTTAGAAATTAGCCGGGCGCGTTTTGCAACTGACACGGGTCCAACTGCACCCACATGGAGATCTCCGGATGCTAGGTTGGCAACAGACATCTCCACCTGGCTGGCCCCTCCGGCTATCTTGAGCAGGTAAGCAGAAGAGCCTATTTATTGCATTTACATCCCAGCCTTTTCCCCAAGGGGTACATGGTTCCACACACACCCCTCAGTTAATCCCCACGACGACCCTGTAAGGTAGGCTAAGAGGCTGTGACTGACTCCAAGGTCACCCAGTGAGCTTCCTGAGTGGGGATTTGAACCCTGATCTCCCAGGTCTTAGCCTGACACTCTAACCCAGTGTTTCTCAACTTTGGGTCCCCTGATGTTGTTGGACTGCAACTCCCATCATCCCTGAGCTCTGGCCTTGCTAGCTAGAGATGATGGGAGTTGTAGTTCAACAACATCTGGGGACCCACAGGTTGAGAAAGGCTGCTCCAACCAATACACCAGACTGGCTTCCCACAACTCTTCTGCTATGGGGCAGCTATATAAATTCAGTAGGTAAATAAATATGGGGGAAGCAAAATGTCACTTAGAGAAGGGTCTGAAATATTTTCCTTGAAGCTTGAATTTGTTTTGTTCTAGGTTGTTTTATGGGACATGGGTGGCGCTGTGGGTTAAACCACAGAGCCTAGGACTTGCAGATCAGAAGGTTGGCGGTTCGAATCCCTGTGACAGGGTGAGCTCCCGTTGCTCGGTCCCTGCTCCTGCCAACCTAGCAGTTCCAAAGCACGTCAAAGTGCAAGTAGATAAAGAGGTACTGCTCCGGCGGGAAGGTAAACGGCGTTTCCGTGCGCTGCTCTGGGTCGCCAGAAGCGGCTTAGTCATGCTGGCCACATGACCCGGAAGCTGTACGCCGGCTCCCTCGGCCAGTAAAGCGAGATGAGCGCCGCAACCCCAGAGTCGGCCACGACTGGACCTAATGGTCAGGGGTCCCTTTACCTTTAGGTTGTTTTATATGATGTTTTAATGTTTGGAAACCGCTTTGAGATAGAGAGATAGAGAGACAGATGAATGAAATCATCATCAACAACAACAACAACAAACCCCATTGGTAGGGGAGGGCATGGCACCCAGACATTCTGTTGTGACTCCTGTAACCCAGGTTTAAGGTGCCATTTGGCGATTAGCTTATGCACCTGAATTTCTAACACCTCTTGGAACCATTGCATCCAGCGTTCAGCACTGAATGAATGGAGTCTTGTGAAATAACTACGGACAGGTAGACACAGACACACACTTCCAAGGTGGCCCCCAACCACCAATCAACTTGCCGTCCCACCTGCCCAGAGTCCCCAAACTGGCAATCTGCCCAAGGCTGGCTTCTACCTCTGAAGTGCAAGGGTGCTGCCTCGCTTATAGCCGAAACAGCAGACTGAACCCCCTTTTCTGAAGGCAAATGGAGGTTCTGTTCTATGTCTGCCTCTCCCCACTGCCCTCTTGTGAAGTCATCCAAATCCTAGGGAAGTCCACGTGGGGAAAAGGTGGGGGGCAGCAGCGTTGGACAACCTGGGGCTCTCCAGGACCCCAGGGTGGTGAGCGCCGCCTTTGAGGGGTTCGAAAGAGGAAGCCCACCGGAGTCAACAAGTGCAAGGGGTGCCACCCGCTTTCCTGGCCCCCCACCCATGCAGAAACCCCTCCACACCCACCCTCCACATCCTGCGCTGACTCGGGCCATGCAGACAAACTTGGGTGCCGTCCCCCTTCCCCCCTTCTCCCCTCCCGTGGCTTCTGAGATCTAGCTCTGCTAGGGCCCGATCCTTTTACTAAAACAAGGGAGGGGAGCAGGCGCTTGCGGAGCCTACAAAGGGAACAATGTCCTTCCAGGGAAAGGACCTTTGGGATGGGTGGGAGCCCAGCATTGACAACACCACCCACGCAAGGTGTCAACTCGCCCTGGGCAAGCACCCAGCGGATAGTTCTGCACCCCTTGCACCCCAGCGCCAAGGCTGCAACCCGCAACACAGCTCTCTGCAAAGAAGAGAGGGGGGAAAGTCATGCATTTGGGGGGGAAGGGGGGCGGGGAGGCCTCGCCAGGCCAAGAGTCCCTTTCCAGGATCTCAGATCAAGAATCCATCTGAGGGGGGAAAGGCAACAACCGCACACTATATCCCAGGGTTCTTACCTGTTACTCCCAAGCCTGGGGTGGGAGGAGTGGGTGTGATCTGGAGGAGGCCTCAGCTGAAACCTACATCCCTGCTTTGGGGCCTGGAAAAACCAGCATGAAATAAAACAAAACAGATCCACAGGTTGCAAAGGATGTTTTTCCTTCCGTTTTTTCTTACCCCCCCTTTTTTTTTTGCAAACACTGCTTAGAAAAGGGGGGAGGATCAGTTTGTAAAAAAGAAAAGCAGGGAGAGATATTGGGATTTTGCAAGCAATCAAAGCTTCCCCCCCCCCTTTTGCTCTGTGTGTGTGTGTTACTGCTCCCTTAAAGGGCCAGCAGGCCCATTCCACCGGCCCCTACATGCCCCCCCTTGCAATACAATAGGGACCTTTAATCCATCAGATTGCAAGTCTCCCTCCTGCCCCCCCCTCCGCGCACCATCCGCCAGGCTCAGCCATTTGTTGACAGGCATATGCATGGCGCCCGGCAGCCAATCGGAGGGCCGCGTTTGGGGCATGCCCATATATGGATGACAGCAGAGTCTCAGCCTACCCAGGCTTGTTGTTTTGCGTGTGTGTGTTTTTTAAATCCCCACTCCCTGCAAGGGACCGTCTAGAAAGTGCAGAATGCAAAGCAGGAGGAAGAATAAGGAGGGAACTCCAAGGAAGCAGCGATCATTCCCAAGCCTGACCTGACCGAACCATCGGAAAGAATGCAAATCCAGGATAAATAAATAAGTTCTGGGGCCCAAAGCTCTCAGGATGTCAGGGAGGGGAATTGTCGCTGGTGGGAAACTTTGCATACACTCAGTGGCACTCACGGCCCATTGCTAAACCCCACATTTAAAAGAAAATATAATAATAAATAATGATAATGATAATGATAATAATAATATAATTTTATTTATATCCCGCCCTCCCCAGCTGAAGCCGGGCTCAGAGCGGCTAACAGCAATAAAAGTAACACAGATTACATAAAATCATAATCACTTAATTGAAACACATTCTAAAATCAATTCATTCTAAAATCAAGAGTCAAATTAATGGCAACCATTGGGCTAGAGTACTGTGAGGATTACCAAAGGAGGGGGTCAGGCCGTGCCTTGGCCAAAGGCCTGGTGGAACAGCTCTGTCTTGCAGGCCCTGCGGAAAGATGTCAAGTCCCGCAGGGCCCTAGTCTCTTGTGACAGAGCGTTCCACCAGATCGGGGCCACCGCCGAAAAAGCCCTGGCTCTGGTTGAGGCCAGCCCAACCTCCCTGTGGTGCTGGGGGTGTTCTGCTCCTTGCCATTGTAACTGAAAAAATGTTCTCATGTTTTCTTTTAAATGCCAGGTTTGGCAAGGGGCTGTGAAACAACAGCAGGAAGAGTGCCCTGAGCACATACAGAGTTTCTCAGCGGTGACAAAACAAAGCCTCCCTGGCGTCCTGAGAGCTTTCACAGCAAGCCTGAGCCCCTCAACTTGTTTATTTATTGTAAGCAATGACAAACCAAGACGGCATCTTAAAAAGCAGAGACATCACCTTGCCAACAAAGGTCCGTATACTTAAAGCTATGGTTTTCCCAGTAGAGATATATGGAAATGAGAGCTGGACCATAAAGAAGGCTGATCGCCGAAGAATTGATACGTTTGAATTATGGTGCTGGAGGAGACTCTGGAGAGTCCCATGGACTGCAAGAAGATCAAACCTCTTCATTCTGAAGGAAATCAGCCCTGAGTGCTCACTGGAAGGACAGATCCTGAAGCTGAGGCTCCAGTACTTTGGCCACCTCATGAGAAGAGAAGACTCCCTGGAAAAGACCCTGATATTTGGAAAGATGGAGGGCACAAGGAGAAGGGGACGATGGAGGACGAGATGGTGGGACAGTGTTCTCGAAGCTACCAGCATGAGTTTGACCAAACTGCGGGAGGCAGTGGAAGACAGGAGTGCCTGGCGTGCTCTGGTCCAGGGGGTCACGAAGAGGCGGACATGACTAAACGACTAAACAACAACAATATTTGGTTGGAAGCCGCCCGGAGTGGCTGGGGAAGCCCAGCCAAATGGGTGGGGTATAAATAATAAATTATTATTATTATTAGGCGAGAGGAGGCACTGAACTTTGGTGTCACGGAAATTTAGGACCCTGAGGTCTGCCACTGACTTTGGACACAGTGGACAGGCAGCTATGTGACCATGATTCCAGCTCTAATAAAGAGGGGGTTGTCTCTCTCACACACACCCATCGCTGGGTTATTTACTTATTGCATTTAAATCCCAAATTCTACCCAAGGAGCTCCATGGTTCCCCCCCTCCGCGTTTAATTCCCACAACCCTGTGAGATAGGCTAGGCTGAAAGATGCGCTGACCAGCCCAAAGTCTCTCTCAGTGAGCTTCACAGCCAAGCGGGGGATTTGAACCCTGGCTAACCAGGCCACAGTCCGATACTCTAACCACTGTGCCACACTGTCGCTCAGAGGTACTTCAACACCAGGTCCATGCACGGCGTGGACAGAGCAAGCCCCTATTGCATCTCCCAGCTCCCCAAACCGACGCAATAAATACGGTCCTGTTTTGGATACTGGATATTAAACTGAAAAGAACAGATTCTGCCAGCTTCTTGGAGGAAGAAGGGCACAAGTTTCTAGCTCTCATGCCCATTTGAAAACACACAACCCTCCACAAGGTTAAGGCAACCATTAAAGAAATATCCCAGTGCCTGAACTTTTTGTGTGTTTTAGCTTTCAAGATTCTAGTGGCTGTATTACGTACGAGATCCAAGGCTTGGTGGCTGTTTTGGACTCAGAAAAACAATACCTTGTAGTGTTTCAGATTGCAAGCGATTACGACTCCACACAAAAACCCTTTATTTCTGGACACTTCCTTTGGTTCCATCTGCTGAATTTTTAACAATTAAATGGACCCCCTGCCCTAGGTAATCACCCCAAAAGCACAAATCCTTTTTTGCATATAAGTGGGGGGTGGGATTTTATTTTTCTTATTACATTTACCGTATTTTTCGCACTATAGGGCGGAATGTGTGTTCCCGCAGGGCTCCCTAGGCTGTGGATAGCAGCCTGCTTGCCAGAGCGCGGGGCGCCCTGAAGCAGAGCACCCCGCGCTTCCGGAAGCTATCCGCAGCCTAGGGAGCCCTGCGGGAGTTCCCGCGGCTGGGGGGGGGAAAATTTTTTTTAATTATTTCCCCCCCCCCAAAAAAAAAACCTAGGTGCGTCCTATGGGCCGGTGCGTCCTATAGGGCGAAAAATATATATTGCTCCTTTTCTCCATGGACACAAAAGATGGCATACAGGATTCTCCGCTTATTCCTGCGAATGTAATTTGCTTTAACTGTTTTTAATACTCATTTCCGGCCCTGGGACCTGCTGGTGAAGGGCAGGTGATAAATTTTGCTATTACTGTTGCTCATATTATTTAACCTCACAACAATGCTGTGAGGTAGGCTTAGGCTGAGAGGCAGTGACTGGTCCAAGTCACCCAGTGGCTGAGTGAGGATTTGAATTCTGGTCCCCAAGATCCTAGTCAGATGATGACTGACCTGTTTGTAGCTGAGATACAAAGCTAACTACAACAGATGCTCTTAAAATGCCCTCAACTATTTCTTGGTGAGGGGTATTCAGTTCAACAATAACAGTACTGAACTGGGGCCACCTACCTCCCTGAACTGGGACGCAGGTGGCACTGTGGTCTAAACCACAGAGCCTAGGGCTTGCCGATCAGAAGGTCGGCGGTTCGAATCCCCGCGACGGGGTGAGCTCCCGTTGCTCAGTCCCTGCTCCTGCCAACCTAGCAGTTCGAAAGCACGTCAAAGTGCAAGGAGATAAATAGGTACCGCTCCGGCGGGAAGGTAAATGGTGTTTCCGTGCTCTGCTCTGGTTTTGCCAGAAGCGGCTTAGTCATGCTAGCCACAAGGCCCAGAAAAATTGACTGCGGACAAACGTCGGCTCCTTCGGCCAATAAAGCAAGATGAGCATCACAACCCTAGAGTCGTTTGCAACTGGACTTAACTATCAGGGGTCCCTTTACCTTTACCTTCCTGAAAGCTTTGCTACCGCCTCCTATTGAACCCTTCTCATTTTGCTCACTGAAATGTGATTTGGCACCTCTGCTCCAATTCACAATATGGTTGCCAAAGTATAACATCTCACTAACTTGGTATTTTTCTGTCTACATGAAGATTTTGCAAGAGCTACTTCAATATGGTTTCCCGATGTGTCTCATCTTTTTAGCCAACATGCTTTTGCCCCCACCAAATCCCTGTGGCAGTGAGTTCCAAATATCAATGACGTATTGGGAGAGCATTTTTTGGTTGTTGTTCCTTTCTTAGAACTGTGTCAGTTTCGGTTCCTTTCTTAGAACTGTTTCGGTTTCAGTTGGAGAAGGAAACAGGGATGTGGAGCACACAAAAACGCTGCCGTGAATATTTTTAACGTGTTGATTGAAAAGGTATATATCACTGGAATAATCTTTGGAACAGCCATGTAAGATAGGCTGCTCTTATCACATTATGGCAAAAACAGCAGCCTACCTTGAGGAAGCTTTTGCCAACTTAGTCCAGATGTAGTTCGGATGTTTTGAATTACAATTCCCATCGTCCCCATCTAACAGGGAAAGTTGTTTTAAAATTACCTGGGATATTCGGAGCCAAGGTAAGAGTGAAACTGGAGGCATCCCAGTTCACATGCTTCCAATTCAGTTTATACATTTCTACCTGGAACAAAGTGAGTATAGGATTGCAACCACAGCTCTCAACAGCAGCAAGGCCATCTGCTGGTCTGCGGCCAACATTTTGCAAAAGGAGGGACTGCAGGAGGCTCAGATCCAAGAAAGCCTCACAAACGCCAAAGGTTAAGCATTTCCTGTCCGTACACAAGGCAGTGCTCTGCTTCTGGCTCCTCGCCAAGCGCAATGCTTGAAATTAAATCTAGCTGTCAAGCGCTTCATCCGCAACCATGTAATTAACCTGTGTAGCTCACCAACGCAGAAAGGGAGAGGGAGGGAGCAGGGAAAACTTTAGAGGCTGCAAAACTGCTGCAGTTGCGCAAGAGAAGGTGATAACTGCACGGGCCGCAGAATTGAACGCTCCCGGGCATTGTCAGACAACCTGACTCACAAGTGTGTCTTTTTAAGTATTTTCAAGGCGCTCTGTTCCGAGGTGCCAATCATCTTTCGCAATGAAGCAGCAGAGAGTCTGACAACTCTTTCTGAGCACGCCAGGGTGGTTCAGATCCCCAAATAGCCATGTGATGCTCACTTGGGGAGACCTTGTCCCTGCTTCTCTCTGCCAGTCACTGCCCCCCCACCGCCTAAACCTGCCTCACAGGGTTGTTGTTGTGGGGATTAAACAGGAGGGGTGGGAACCATGCAAGCCATCTTGAATTCCCTGGAAAAGGAAGTGATACAGAAATGCAACAAATAAACAAATACAGGGGAGGGAAACAAATAAAGCCCAGCGCTCACAACACATCACAGGCAGAAGTGAAGCCCAAAGGCACTAACGAAGGTTCAAAAGACAAAATTCCTGATATTGTCCTAAACTCCGGAAGGGGAGAAGACGGATTAAGTAGAGGGGATGAGGGGCTGGGATTTTGTTTCCATCTTAGGCAAGGGCAACTAGTTTTTGGCTTAGGGTGGTATTCCACCACCACCGCCACATATTTCTCTTGTCTCTGTGTGTGGATTAGCTATGGCAACCATTTCTTCCACACACCTTTCTTGTTATTGGATTGGCAACATGATGGCTCAGTCACTAGAGCACACGGCTCTCAACCTCAGGGCTGTGGGTTCAAGCCCCACGTTGGGCAAAAAGATTCCTTGCATTGCAGGGGGTTGGATTAGATGACCCGCAGGACCCCTCCCAACTCTGCAATTCCATGGTACCTTTTTTCCCAAGTGTGGCAGATTGGACCCGCCGCCACCTGCTCACTCCTGACATATAATCTACTCAAGATCAGAACTGATCTCCTCCAGAAGCTGGGTTCTGAGACTTCAGTTGCGTCTGTTCCCAACTGGGCCCGTCCGTTTCCTTAGCATCGAAGCGTAAGATTGTACCCAAGAGAAACGATCGTGCCAACACCTGCGCAGTGTGCCGTTGTGTTTGATTTACAACCAGTGAGAAAACTGATACGCGTTCCCTCTGTCTCCTTTCTACTTCCTTGTCCAGAGCTCGCAGCTCTCTCTCCCCCTTTCCCTATTCCTCCCATCAAAAGTCAACCCCCCACTGCAGAAGCCCCACCCCGACCCACACAGAGAAAAGCCCCCTGCTTAAACAACGACCACAACATTGCAACAGCTTAGGCATGCCCCGCATGCACTGGGGGCTGGCTCCCTCTCCTCCCCTCAGGAGGGTTGCCACCTTTCCTCTCCTTTCAGCTCCACCTGCTCCTGTGCCTTAAGACACCAGCAACCTGCCACACACCACGTGGGAGCAGGGCAACATTTCCTCCGTGTCACCCTGCCAGGAAAAGCTGCTCAACTCTTGCGTGTCTGGCAGCTTTCTTTAAAAAAATAAAATAAATAAAAAGCAGAGGCGCAGCACTGGTAAGAAAAATGTGGCAACCCTATTTCTACTCCCCACCCCAAATATATTTCCCTTGATAACCTCTTTCCCCACCGCCCCATTCCTGGCCCTCCACGCTTCCTGCCCCTCCCACCCCTTCCCCGCAACACACCTGGCCAGGTAGACAACCTCAGGTGCCTTCCTTACACCAGCAGGTCCTCTGACTTCCGGGTTGGTCGCCGCGCATGCGTCGAGCGCCAAGCCTATCGCTCCGCCCCTCTCCCCTCCCGCTAATCGCTGCCGCAAAGGATCGTGGGAAGTGTAGTCTTCTCTAATTGGCCGCCGCACTTTCCTCGCAGGGCCTGGCGTTCTGCGGAGAGGGGGTGTCTGGGAATTGTAGTCCCTGACCATTATGAAAGACTTTTTTTTCCCTACCGGGGCTTCAGTTCTGAGCTCCTCTGAGCACGTGGCGCTCTCTTTCCCTCCCAAAATGGGACAAAAATTTGGGTTGGTTATTTGATGGTGTTATAAGAATTCTAAAGTCTCAAACATAGAATCAATATTCATAAATACAGTGGACACTCGGGTTGCGAACGTGATCTGTGCGGGAAGCACGGTTGCAACTCGCAGCGCTGTGTGTGCGCACACACAGGTTGTGATTTGGCACTTCTGTGCATGCGCAAAGCGCAATTTAGCCCTTCTGCGCATGCATATTAGCCAAAACCCGGTAGTAACCCATTCCAGTACTTCTAGGTTTTGGCGCGTCCGTAACCCGAAAAAACGCAACCTGAAGCGTCTGTAACCGGAGGTACAGTGGTACCTCGGGTTAAGAACGTAACTCGTTCTGGAGGTCTGTTCTTAACCTGAAACTGTTCTTAACCTGAAGCACCACTTTAACTAATGGGGCCTCCTACTGCCGCCGAAGCACAATTTCTGTTCTCATCCTGAAGCAAAGTTCTTAACCCGAGGTAATATTTCTGGGTTAGCAGAGTCTGTAACCTGAAGCATATGTAACCTGAAGTGTATGTAACCCGAGGTACCACTGTATAACTGTACACACACATCTAAATATATAAACCGTGCGTTTGAAATAGTACAGGGGAAAGCCTTCCCATTGCCTTTTCTCTTACAAATCCTGTTTTAAGGGCATATTTGTGTAAGAATAGGGTGGGCCTGTGACCTGGATTCAGGAGCTAAAGTATTAACCATCACAAAAGAATGGCCAGGCTGCCCAGGTAATGCAATCAGTGACCATTATCAGGTATCCTGGTAGGCAGGATTTCTGCTGTAGACCGTCTCCTATAATGTATGTATGATGATTTTGGCGTGGTCTCAGGCTAAGGGGGGTTGGGCAATGTCAAAAGTCTTTAACGGTTCCTGCACACTTTTGTTCAGAGTCTCTCCCTCCTTTGAAGGAGGTGAGGGAACTCTGTTGCAACAGAAAAACAAGTATCTGCCTTGCTTTCCACTGGATCCTGCCTCCCTCCATTCTTCTCTGACCGATCATGGACTCAAGAGTCCCATGGGGAGTTGGGCAAGCAAAACCCAAACCAAACCAATCCCCCCCCCCCATCAATGGTTCTTGAACTTAATCTGTTCCTGGAGTCCGTTCGACTCCTGAAACCATTCAAAAACCAAGGCACAGCTTCTGATTGGCTACAGGAGCTTCCTCCACTCAAGCGGAAGCCGCGTCGGACGTTCAGCTTCCGAAAAACGTTCAAAAACCGGGACACTTCCAGGTTTTGGGGGAGCCAAAATGTCCAAGTACCAAGAGATTTGAGAACCAAGTTACAACTGTACCTCTTAATATGTTAAATCTATCCCTAAGTGGTGTATGGGAAACTGAAGCAACGACACGCAACTTAGGACAAAATAATTGCATAAAGACACAGTTGCATATAAAAATTGTTACATGAATACAAAGTTGCGAATATATAAAAATCGCTATCAGTTCTTTTTCTTTCTGACACACTCTTCCTCTCCAGGGTCCAAACAAACTCTCAGCTCACCCACAAAGTCTCACAACGAGAAGAGGTCCTGGAAATAGTGACGGTTACCCTAATCTCTCACTGTAGACTTGCTTTTTATTGGGAGGTTGTAGCTGCGGGGTTTTTAGGAGCCTAAGGACAAAGCGTTCCTAAGCATGTACAGAGTGCAGTTTTCCCTTCTGAGAGGAGCAGCTTGGTTTTTTTAAACTCAGCCCAAGGACAGGGTGCCTTGGAGCATGTGCAAAGTACCCCTCTGTCAGAAGAGTATACCATTTATAGACAGTAAGAAACAGAGAGGAGATAAATAATGAAAACACAGTGAAACTTAATTTTTACACATTTCTTCAGTGAGGGGGATCTTATGCTTTTGGGTGTGAGGAATTCAAATCTGCTATTATTTTTGTGATTGGACAACATTTAGCTTGACATTCGATGAAGAAGCACATAAACTGCTTTTGAAAAAAACCAAATAATTTTAATTCTAACTTCTGAAGTTGTCAGGAAATGCTAAATAATAAATAATGAATAATGATAAAATATAACTGCAAGAACTTGGCAATCATTTGGGTTAAACCACAGCGCCTAGGACTTGCTGATCAGAAGGTCAGCAGTTCGAATCCCCACGACGGGGTGAGCTCCCGTTGCTCGGTCCCTGCTCCTGCCCACCTAGCAGTTCGAAAGCACGTCAAAGTGCAAGTAGATAAATAGGTACCACTCTGGCAGGAAGCTAAATGGCGTTTCCGTGCGCTGCTCTGGTTCGCCAGAAGCGGCTTAGTCCTGCTGGCCACATGACCCGGAAGCTGTACGCCGGCTCCCTCGGCCAATAAAGCAAGATGAACGCCGCAACCCCAAAGTCAGCCACAACTGGACCTAATGGTCAGGGGTCCCTTTACCTTTACCTCTTATGCAATTTCCACTCATTTTACTTTCCAAGCAAAATTAAAGTATATTTAACCAAATATAAATTTAACCATATTTAATTATATTTACACTATATTTAACCAAAATATCTTTTGAATTCTCTAGTTACGTTATAACTTTTTAGCACCCCTCTCAACGTGCCCCACCTCCCCATATTGGAAAGGGAAATGGCAGTGGAAAATGCGAGCCAACAATTTATCTAACTTCATTAAACAGTTGACACTGTCTAAACTCCCTGCGAATGAATCAGGACAAATGCTTAATGGTGCACAAATTTGCTTGGAATGCCAGGAGGGGAAAAGGAAGAAGGAACTGTGATAGGAATTTTATGGTCTTAGATATATGGTAATGTTCATAACTGCACGTACATAGATCTGCACAGGAAGACCAACCTGGAACCATTTTGATTCCTAAACTGAGCAAATCTTTTCTCTGCAAGGTCAAAGTGGGAAACCTCCCCATTGTCTCTTTCCTCACAAATCCTGTCTTAAGGACACATTTAAGATATGAATAGGGTATGAGCCTGTGACATGGCCCAGGAACTAAGTATTTATCATTACAAAAGACTGGCCAGGCTACCCAGGAAATCCAATCAAGTAACCTGCCAGACAGGAGATAAACAACACAGGAGAAAAACAACATTCAAAATTTCTGTTTCAGACTACCTTTTTTGTGATGTAGGTGTGATGTATCTGAGGGGTGGTCTTAGGTCACACCCCTTCTGTGATGTATGTATGATGTTTCTGGGGGTGGTCGTGATCTACAGGGTGGCAATTTCAAAAGTCTTTATAAGGCCTTGCGCGCCATTTTTCTGGGTTCCTCCTTTCTCCTTCGTGTGAGGGGAGCACCCTGTTGCAACAGATCAATAAAGATCAGGCTTGCTAGCTGCTTTGCTTCTCAATATTCTCTGGTTGGCCTCTGTTATTTTCTCCTACCAATAGGGAACCTATGTAAGGACTCTATATGGGCTCTTGGATACCCCATAAGGGAAAAGGGCAGAACGAAACTCCAATTCTTACCTTTTTCTAGAGAAAAGCAACTGTCGTGTTAATGAGGTTGCAAGGCAGCATGCAACATGGATTCCAGGGAATACTTCCCAAGTAGTTTTCGAAAAAGGCCTCCTAACAGAGCGGCTGGGTTTGTGGCCCGTCTCAGCTAGCTAAGGCTGAAGAGGTCTAGATCCAGCAAGTATCTGTAACAAGGAGCCGCTTCGAAGAGGAAAAGCATGGAGCACACAGCAGCCAACTTCTCTCCGAAGGATTGCACTAACCTGCAGGACTGGGAGCTGCCCTTTATAGGGCCAGGACTTCCAGAGGGAGGTGGTCTTAGAGACAAAGGATCATGAGATTAAGGACCATGCGGGGCAGAAAAATGATTAAGTAGTGAGGGACATTCCTCAACAGAAGGAATTGGGCGGGGAATTCCTGGGACACCCCAGCTGAGTGAATCAAAGACCATGCTCCCGATGAAAATGGGATTAGGAAGAGGTTATCTCACTTCAATAAGGCTCCTTGTACCTAAACACAAAAGGAGCTGGATTTGGGATTAACGCAATCTATGAGTAATGGACCTCCGCCCTACAGAAGGACGACGTGCTAAGAAATAAAGAAACCTTGATTAATTTAAGGAGGGTGTTGTTTTGCGTCAGCTTCGGTATTGATTTCTGGGATTTGTTGTTGTTTAGTCATGTCTGACACTTCGTGATCCCATGAACCAGAGCATGCCAGGCACTCCTGTCTTCCACTGCCTCCCGCAGTTTGGTCAAACTCATGCTGGTAGCTTCGAGAACACTATCCAACCATCTAGTCCTCTGTCGTCCCCTTCTCCTTGTGCCCTCCATCTTTCCCGACGAGTCTTCTTTCTCATGAGGTGGCCAAAGTATTGGAGCCTCAGCTTCAGGATCTGTCCTTCCAGTGAGCATTCAGGGCTGATTTCTTTCAGAATGGATAGGTTTGATCTTCTTGTAGTCCATGGGACTCTCAAGAGTGTCCTCCAGCACCAGAATTCAAAAGCATCAATTCTTTGGCGATCAGCCTTCTTTATGGTCCAGCTCTCACTTCCATACATCACTACTGGGAAAACCATAGCTTTAACCATACGGACCTTTGTTGGCAAGGTGATGCCTCTGCTTTTTAAGATGCTGTCTAGGTTTGTCATTGCTTTTCTCCCAAGCTTCCAACTCTACAATTCTATGATTATATGATCTGCCACTAGCCATCTTGCCCAATGTCCACACACAGTGACACAAATCATTTGTGGCGCATTGGAAGCTTGACCAGAAGCAAAACACCATTAGCTCTTTTCCAGTTCATATTTCATTTCAGGTCATTTCACTTTTAATTCGTATTCCGCCTTTCTATATTGCTACACGCAAGGCGGTTGACAGCAACAAAATATACAGCAAAGAACACATGCCTTATAATAATCTGATCCAATACAAAAAGTCATAATAAAAACGTAACTTTAAAATGGAATGATTTAGAACAAATCAAGTAGCATTCAATAATCTGTTCGAATATAATACAGTGGTACCTCGGGTTAAGAACTTAATTCGTTATGGAGGTCCCTTCTTAACCTGAAACTGTTCTTAACCTGAAGCACCACTTTAGTTAATGGGGCCTCCTGCCGCCGCCGCACAATTTCTGTTCTCATCCTGAAGCAAAGTTCTAAACCCGAGGTACTATTTCTGGGTTAGTGGAGTCTGTAACCTGAAGCGTCTGTAACCCGAGGTACCAAAAAAAATTAAACTATTGAAAAATATGGTTCTTATACTGGGTCGCCTTGAGGCGATTCTTACACACACTACAGGTGAGTGGCATTTGACACGCCCGCAGGGGCACAAACAGTTTTGGAAGCCTCTCCAAAGATGGGCTGCTAACCTTTTAACCAGCTGGTCCTTCCAGACAGTCAATAAAAACAGCCACACGCAATGTGCCGTTCACATATCTTGTCATACGAGAGTTTTTGCATCTTCCAGGAATCCACAGCTGCACTGGGAAGTCTTTTCTTACCACCGGCCGGGCAGCCCCATATCATGTTTCGGAAAAGCTGACAATCTTCTTCCATATCCTCTTGGATGTCAGAAGACACCGGCCGGGGGGGGCGGGTGCTCAGCAGCTGACTGGGGGGCAACCAGGGCTCGGAAAAGTCTGCCCAGCGACAGCGGACCCCGCAACCTTGTCCTGGGACTTCATCCTGACGGGGACGTACTGAAAAGATTTGGTGCTGATGTGCACCTGTGGAGCACCTGCTGTGGTGCCAAGGCCGCTGGGGAGGCCCTTTTCTCCCAGGTGTCTGTGGGGCGCAGGATAAGCGACCTTTTTGCGGCGGCTGCTTCGGCTGTGCCAGGAAGCCCAGTGGCTGAGGCTCTGGCCTTTCTTCTCCAGCAGGCTGCTGCCCAGCGTCCATCTTTGCCACGTCCTTTGGATCTGGGTTTGCACCTGGAGGAAGAAGAGAGAAAATTGGGGGTGTCAGATGGCTGTTGTAGTTGGGGAAATTTTACAGCTTATCTTAAAAACCATTGTCAACAGTTAAAACCGTTAGTAGGATTGGAATAGCACTTGTAGATTAATGGTGAATTTTGGATATAAAGGAGAAGGTTTGGATTATTATAAAAGACGCAGGAGGATATGACTAACAATAGGACCCAAGAAGTGGAGGAGGGAAGTCTGGGAGATTTTTTGGAATCTTGTTTCTATGTTGTATGTTGCAAATGTGGTTGTAAAATTTTAATTTATTTATTTTGGCTTTTCAAATTATTTTTTTTAAAACAAATTAAAGCCATCCAAATTGGTTTGACATTGCTGTAACCACGACATGACGCTGCCTTAGAATTCAGGGGAGAGGGTGCCTCTGAGCACATGCTCAGCCCAGGAGTTTGTGACCAGCACCGGGAACAAGCTTAGTAGTCCAAGTTTGCACAAAAACCCACTCCTGGAATTTGAGCCAGCCAGCTCCACTCTTGCGCAAGGAGGAGCAGAATGCCTTTTCGGTGACCTACCTCTTTATTGACAAAGCAGTAGAGGACGCTCACCAGCAGGCCCTGAAAGATTAATAATATTTTTTATTATTTAAAAAAATGTGACAGGACAGAGGACTGATAACATGCTGCAAACTTATAATTGCAGCAGGCTGAAAAGTCGGGTAAGTTAAAGGTAAAGGGACTCCTGACCATTAGGTCTAGTTGTGGCCGACTCTGGGGTTGCGGCGCTCATCTCGCTTTATTGGCCGAGGGAACCGGTGTACAGTTCCGGGTCATGTGGCCAGCATGACTAAGCCGCTTCTGGTGCACCAGAGCAGCGCACGGAAACGCCGTTTACCTTCCCACCAGAGTGGTACCTATTTATCTACTTGCACTTTGATGTGCTTTCGAACTGCTAGGTTGGCAGGAGCAGGGACTGAGCAACGGGAGCTCACCCCGTCACGGAGATTTGAACAGCCGACCTCTGATCGGCAAGTCCTAGGCTCTGTGGTCTAACCCACAGTGCCACCTGCGTCCCATTGAAAAGTCGGGTACACATGCTCTAAATGATAAGAACAAGGATATCAAAGATCTACCCAGTACCTGTAAGGAGTTGAGCAGCAACTCAAAGAAGAATTTGACGTAGCGCAAGGTGCCCTGGGCGTGTTCCTCAGTGACCAGCACAAATACCACCTCATGAATCCCCAGCAGCGGGATGAGGGTCAGCGTTGACTTGGCCAACCTAAAAAGAAGCAAAGAAATGGAGCGAGTTTCCGGGCATGTGTGAAGCGGGGAACTAAGAGGCTTTGCCACGTTGGTCACGCACGCTGTAAATATCCCCTCAAAAATCCACAGTGGATTGTGTTGTGCCACACACACCTGTGAAAGCCATTTTGTGACATGCCTCACCCTCGCGGCAGCCATTTTGTGGCTGGCACCCATGACACTTTCTCATATCCTGAATGAGTACTCACTAGCCAAAGCAAGGGTTGGGGAAAGAGGCAGGGACGTTTTGCTCCAGAGGTTGCAAAGTATTTATTTTGATGTGGTTCTATTGCTTTTGTTCTCTTTTGAAGGAAGTTCTACAAGTAAAGCTTGAATTCAACTTATGGGCCTGGGAAATGTTTTATTCCAAAAGGAGTCATTTTTTAATGCATCCAGTTGCTTCCTGCTGTGCATTGTTAATATCTGCAATAAGCCATGGATGGAATGGGTGCATGCTCTGGTTATCTCTCGCCTGGACTACTGCAATGCGCTCTACGTGGGGCTACCTTTGAAGGTGACCTGGAAACTACAACTAATCCAGAATGCGGCAGCTAGACTGGTGACTGGGAGAGGCCGCCGAGACCACATAACACCGGTCTTGAAAGACCTACATTGGCTCCCAGTATGTTTCTGAGCACAATTCGAAGTGTTGGTACTGACCTTTAAAGCCCTAAATGGCCTCAAATGCTCAGTATACCTGAAGGAGCGTCTCCACCTCCATCGTTCTGCCCGGACACTGAGGTCCAGCACCGAGGGCCTTCTGGCAGTTCCCTCGCTACGAGAAGCCAAGTTACAGGGAACCAGGCAGAGGGCCTTCTCGGTGGTGGCGCCCGCCCTGTGGAACGCCCTCCCACCAGATGTCAAAGAGAAAAACAACTACCAGACTTTTAGAAGACATCTGAAGGCAGCCCTGTTTAGGGAAGCTTTCAATTTTTAATAGGTTATTGTATTTTAGTGTTCTGTTGGAAGCCGCCCAGAGTGGCTGGGGAAACCCAGCCAGATGGGCGGGGTATAAATATTATTATTATTATTATTATTAATTTATTATCAGATAGTTGCTGTTTTTCAAGAAGTCAAGTCTTTCTACAAAATGCCTGATTGGGTGACGGGCAATCTCTTGCCTTTCGACTGCCCCGGCGATTTCTCACCTACCTGAATTTGTAATCTGTGTAACGCATCTGTTGCGCCCGGAGTTTGGAGATCAGGATCTTGATGATGCGTATGAAGATCACAAAGTTGACCTGGAAAATGGGAAAGAAGGAAAGGGGTCTGATTGGCAGTAACCCCTTCAATCCAGCTGTGTCACCCCTCTGATGTCTGCCGCCGATATCAGCGATGCCACAGGCATATCAACATTAGACAATGGTCACATCCTCAAAAAATGTTTTTTTAGTCTGCCTGTTCCTGCATGGGGGTGTGTGTGTTAAGAACCACATGACATTCCCTCTGTTCTGTTCACATACCTGATGTCCCAGGGAAAAAACCCCAATATTTCTCCTATGCTAGTACAGTGGTACCTCGGGTTAAGAACTTACTTCGTTCTGGAGGTCCGTTCTTAACCTGAAACTGTTCTTAACCTGAGGTGCCACTTTAGCTAATGGGGCCTCCCGCTGCCACCGCGCTACTGCCATGCAATTTCTGTTCTCATCCTGAAGCAAAGTTCTTAACCTGAGGTACTATTTCTGGGTTAGTGGAGTCTGTAACCTGAAGCATCTGTAACCTGAATTATCTGTAACCCGAGGTACCACTGTAGTGCAAAAAGGATATTTGATACACTCACATGACACTTTCTCCTTAAGATGTGTTTGGTTTGCTTGCCTCGTGTCGGATTTCCCCTGGTTTCCCCCCTTGAACAGTGCACAAAATGGGGTGTTTTCAACGGATGTGTGGAAATGCCCAATGGTACCTCAGGTTAAGATCTTAATTCATTCTGGAGGTCTGTTCTTAACCTGAAACTGTTCTTAACCTGAAACACCACTTTAGCTAATGGGGCCTCCTGCTGCCACCGCGCCGCCAGAGCACGATTTCTGTTCTTATCCTGAAGCAAAGTTCTTAACCTGAGGTACTATTTCTGGGTTGGTGGAGTCTGTAACCTGAAGCGTCTGTAACCTGAAGCGTCTGTAACCCGAGGTACCACTGTAAATCTTTCTAACCTACTGAGAGGCACCAATGCTCTGAAAGTGTATAAAGCATATTCTCTGTTCCTCGGCAACTTACAAAGATTGCTAGCAGAATCGGGCAACGGATGATCCACCAATAGCCCATGTTGTCGTTTCTCTCCCAGCATCTGTGGAAGGAGGTGGGGAGCAATGAAAGTGTCAGCAGGTCAAAGGAGGGATGGCAACCCCCGCCTACCATTTACAGTGCTACAATTCCCAGTACCCTTAACAAACTACGTCTCCCAGGATTCTTTGGATGAAGCCACGTGCCTTAAATCATAGCCTTGTGGAGTTGGAAAGGGGCCATTGAGTTTCCCTGGTCCTGGTCTGGCATGATAAATAGCCACTACTCTAGAAGTGCAACCTAAGTTCTTTTAGAACCCTAAGAAAAATATACGTACATCAAATGTGAAGTGGAAGATTTTTTTGGCCCAGGTACTTACTCGTTGTTTTCATAGAGGTATCTCACTATCACCCAAGGGATGACAAAAAGGATTGGTGCCCCTGCAAGAGACATAATTAAGAGGACTCAACTAACGTATCTGGATAATGGGTACAATTGCCTTCTACCTCTCATGCTTCCCTTTCGTTTTACAGGTAGCTCTGAGCACTGTTGCCTACATTACTGAGCATCCCAGCCCCTGAATTAAGCTCTCCCGCAATGTTCGCAACCACCACCGTTCTCCCGCTGTCTCTTTTCTCATCAGGACTTGGCGCTGGGCAGCTAACTCACCCCATCCGATGAGCAAGTAGCCTGAGAAATAGCTTTCTTCCGAAAAGGCCATTGGTCCTAGCAGGTTGTGTAAGTAGAGGCCTTCTACCAGGAGCCAGTAGTAGTTTGCACAGACACAGTACTGGGTTAAGATCTGTGCCAGCCGGCAGCCGGCCACAGCCTGAAAAGGAAGAGTTTGGATTTGATATCCCGCTTTATCACTACCCGAAGGAGTCTCAAAGCGGCTAACATTCTCCTTTCCCTTCCTCCCCCACAACAAACACTCTGTGAGGTGAGTGGGGCTAAGAGACTTCAGAGAAGTGTGACTAGCCCAAGGTCACCCAGCAGCTGCATGTGGAGGAGCGGAGACGCGAACCCGGTTCACCAGATTGCAAGACTACCGCTCTTAACCACTACACCACACTGGCTCTGAAAAGGGTGGAGGAGAGATTGGTGACTTGTAGACACAGTCTCTGCTTGCTTGGGGAGGGGGGATCCTGGAGAGGAGGGGACTTAGTCAGCTGTGGGGAAGTGCCACTCAAAAGTCCACTCAAAAGTTAAGCCCCACTGGCTCTCAGGTAAATGGGTATTAGACTGCACCCGCAATGTTGCTTTCAGCTTTCTCTGCCCGTGCAATGAAATCTGGATTCATTTGCGGAGGAAGAAGAAGGTGTTTGGATTTGATATCCCGCTTTATCACTACCCTAAGGAGTCTCAAAGCAGCTAACATTCTCCTTTCCTTTCCTCCCCCACAACAAACGCTCTGTGAGGTGAGTGGGGCTGAGAGACTTCAGAGAAGTGTGACTAGCCCAAAGTCACCCAGCAGCTGCATGTGGAGGAGCGGAGACGCGAACCCGGTTCCCCAGATTGCAAGACTACCGCTCTTAACCACTACACCACACTGGCTACACCACACTGGAAGAGGAGGAGAATCTGCAGTTACGGCAGCAAGAATTCTATTGGCTCAGAAATGGAAACAAGAGGAAATACCGACGATTCAAGAATGGAGAATGAAATTGACTGACTATGCGGAACTGGACAAACTGACTGGGAAAATAAGATATGCCCGAAACCAAACGTTCATCGAGGATTGGGGAAAATTTGCAGATTATCTGAAAAAGATATGTGAGGTGCAAGCAACGCTAGTGGGGTTTCAAGAAGCACTGTAAAATTTTAAGAGGTATTGCTGAAAGAAAATAGAAAAGGGAGGGAAGACAAATGGCAATGCAATTAAAGGAATGTGTACTAAAGGGTAAAAATGGATGATTACCAGAGAAGTTGAAGGAAGTCCAAAATTTGTATTTTGTTAAAATCAGGTAAAATTTGGATAAAATTGTATGATTATATTGAAAACTAATAAAAATTTATTATTAAAAAAAAAAAAGGAAGAGGAGGAGAATCTGAACGCTCGTTTTTTTGGTTCCTGAGCTCTCGTGGAAGCCAGCTGATTCGCACCAGAGCACCAGCCCCCAAAGCTGGACATTTCGGGATGCAATCCAAAGCCCGGAATAGCTTCTGTAATTATCAGGGACTGAGTAGAGGAGGAGAAAAGCAATGACAAACCTAGACAGCATCTTAAAAACCAGAGACAGCACCTTGCCAACAAAGGTACATATAGTTAAAGCCGTGGTTTTCCCAGTAGTGATGTATGGAAGTGAGAGCTGGACCATAAAGAAGGCTGATCGTCGAAGAATGGATGCTTTTGAATTCTGGTGCTGGAGGAGACTCTTGAGAGTCCCATGGACTGCAGGAAGATCAAACCTATCCATTCTGAAGGAAATCAGCCCTGAGTGCTCACTGGAAGGACAGATCCTGAAGCTGAGGCTCCAATACTTTGGCCACCTCATGAGAAGAGAAGACTCCCTGGAAAAGACCCTGATGTTGGGAAAGATGGAGGGCACAAGGAGAAGGGGACGACAGAGGATGAGATGGTTGGACAGTGTTCTCAAAGCTACCAGCATGTGTTTGACCAAACTGCGGGAGGCAGTGAAAGACAGGAGTGCCTGGCATGCTCTGGTCCATGGGGTCAAGAAGAGTCGGACATGACTAAAGGACTAAACAACAACAAGAGCAGAAGAGGAATGGTGGAGACCCCATCCTGACCCTTCCAGGGAGGAGGAAGAGGAAGACAGTTTAGATTTACAACAGGGGTTTGAGGAAGGTCACAGCTCAGAGGCAGATGAGGCGGAAAGTTGGGAGATACTGAGAGAGGAGGAAGAGGAACTGTCTTTAGAAAGCATTCCAGATCTCTCCCCTCTCCCAGAACCCAGCGAGCCTTGAAAGTAGGAAAGCAAAGAGCTCAAAGGCAGAGGGGCACTTATCAGCACCCATAGGAGAGACAATGAGACTCACGAATGAGGAAGTGGGAGAGACGGGGGGGGGGGGTCGAGAGTCACCTGGGACAACACCATTCTCCAAGGGTCTGGGTTCTATAGCCTCTACGATATGATAATCTTTATTGTCACTGTCCCAAATAGAACAACAAAATTGAAAATCTACATCAGACATTCAGAAACCAACAAGCCTGCTATCCCAGCTATCCCAGCCTGGTTAGCCCCCTAAAAACTCTGATACCCCATAATTAAATACAATATACTCCCATAGAGACTACCTTACACTGCATTTAACAAGCATTTAAAACCAAAATCGCATTTGAATAGAAACTGTTTTTCAGACGACTAGTCCTAGTCTTTATAACCCTGTACCTTCTTCCAGAAGGCAGAAGCTGAAAGAGATCATTTCCGGGGTGCGCACTATCCTGCACTATCTCTGCAGCTTTTTTCTGGCACCTGGAAGCATAGGTGGGAAGAGTGCACCCAATTATTCTCTCCGCAGTCTTTACAACCCTGTAAATACTGTAATAAATTCCGTAAATTGTAAATTCTGTAATTCTGTAAATTCTGAATAAAAAGCGGACGACAAGGAACATTTCCTTGTCTTTCTTCGTTCCTGGGCAACTGGCCGTGGGAGTCGCTGGTAGCAGCCTGACAGTAATTCTGGGATGCCCCACAGGAACGGCTAAGGGAGCTGGGCATGTTTAGCCTGGAGAGGAGGAGGTTAAGGGGTGATATGATAGCCATGTTCAAATATATAAAAGGATGTCATATAGAGGAGGGAGAAAGGTTGTTTTCTGCTGCTCCAGAGAAGCAGACACGTAGCAATGGATCCAAACTACAAGAAAGAAGATTCCACCTAAACATTAGGAAGAACTTCCTGACAGTAAGAGCTGTTCGACGGTGGAATTTGCTGCCAAGGAGTGTGGTGGAGTCTCCTTCTTTGGAGGTCTTTAAGCAGAGGCTTGACAACCGTATGTCAGGAGTGCTCTGATGGTGTTTCCTGCTTGGCAGGGGGTTGGACTCGATGGCCCTTGTGGTCTCTTCCAACTCTATGATTCTATTCTATGATTCTATTCTATTCTATGAAATTGCGACGGTTGAGCAACATGCAATGGCCCATTCAGTCCAGCATCCAATTCTCACAAACAGATGCCTGGGAGAAACCTACCAAGCACAAGAGCACTCTCCCTTCCCTCGATTTCTAGCAACCGCCTTCTACGTGAGTGAGTTCCATAGTTTATGCCTTGCTTGAAAAATTAATTTCTTTTGTCTGTCCAGGATCTCCCAACACGACGCCCATGCTGCCCCTCTGGTCCCGGCTGGACCCCTCCTACCTACCCTCCCTCAAATTGCAGTTGCAATGATACCTGTCCCCAAGGAAGGTGCGAGAGGTCCCCTTCGTCCTGGAAGTCCTTGGGGAAGTGCAGCCGCAGGAAGGTGTCCCGGGTGAGGATGGAGACGGCCCGCAGCATGAAGGACGCGAAGAGATTCATGTGGATGTAATTGCGGATGCAACGGAGTTTCCTGGAAGTGGGCAGAGAACAGTGGGCAGGGGTCAGGGAGAAGTCAGTTGTGCCCCAAATCTGCACCTCCAGCCAGGATCCAAGACTGCTAGACAGGGTTTTAACAGAAACCAAATCTCATTCTTGCACTTGTGGCAGCTAGACTGGTGACTGGGAGCGGCCACCGAGACCATATAACACGGGTCTGGCTCCCAGTACGTTTGCAAGCACAATTCAAAGTGTTGGTGCTGACCTTGAAAGCCCTAAACGGCCTCAAAGGCCCGGTATACCTGAAGGAGTGTCTCCACCACCACCGTTCTGGCCGGACACTGAGGTCCAGCGCCGAGGGCCTTCTGCCGGTTCCCTCGCTGCGAGAAGCCAAGTTACAGCGAACCAGGCAGAGGGCCTTCTTGGTGGTGGCACCTGCCCTGTGGAATGCCCTCCCACCAGATGTCAAAGAGAACAACAACTACCAGACTTTTAGAAGACATCTGAAGGCAGCCCTGTTTAGGGAAGCGTTTAATGTTTAACAGGTTATTGTATTTTAGTGTTCTGTTGGAAGCCACCCAGAGTGGCTGGGGAAACCCAACCAGATGGGTGGGGTATAAATAATATATTATTATTATTATTATTATTATTATTATTATTAGTTGTTTTTTTGTTTTATTATTTATTAAACTTCATCGAGAGAGCTCAGGGTGGTTCAAAGGATAAAAATACAGGATAAAAGCGTTGTTGTTGATGTTGTTGGCACCTGTCTGTCTCAAGAGACAATGGAGTATGCCTCCGGGGGTGAAGTAAAAACACTGCACTAGCAGCATCCATGTGAACCCTCTGGGGCACAAGTCTGGGCAGTGTGCATGGAGGTCCTGGGCTGCCCAGACGACAAGAAACCCCCCTCTCAGCCTGGCCGATGTGGTCCAAAGGAAAACAGAGCAAAATGTTTGGCACCAGCTTGGCTGCAGAAGTTACCAGACAAACTCCCGTGTTGCAAAGAGAACGTCAGCAATGTCTAGGCAACATGATGACCATGTACAGACGCAATAGACAATCTTTATAGAATTCCTTCAAGCCATAACAAGTCCAAAATGAAATCTTTAGTCTCAAAGTCTCTGAAAAGCTTTAAATTCCCGATATTGACTACTGTTTTGAATGAATGAATGTAAATGAAAATATCAAACGCTGTGGAACAGGGCTCATGTAAGAATGTAGTCACATAAATTCATTCGATACAAGATGGGTTTATGAAGCAATTCTATCTCATCCCACCACGCTGACGAAGAATTCTACGAAACAGTAGTCAATATCCGGAATCACTGTTCAGTGTTGGACATCATATTTGCTGAATACACAAAGCTTCACAGCTTGTCTTTCATCATTCAAAGTACCGCGCTTCATTTAAAGATTTTCAGAGACTATGAGACTAAAGATTTCATTTTGGACTTGTTATGGTTTGAAAAATTCTATAAAGATTGTCTATTGCGTATGTACATGGTTATCGTGTTGCCTAGATATTGCTGGCTGCAGGAGTTGCCGGAAGGAGGCGTACAAGGCGCCATCTTGGTTATCTTAGGATTTGCGCAGGGTTTCCTCCTTTTTCTTCACCCAAAGATATCCCACATGGCAGCGGAGGTTGAGGACCAGACTTTTCCTTCTCCTAGACTGCGCTACCTTCCCAGGTGGACGAGCCCCACCTGCCCCTCACATCCCTCGCCAGCTTGTGCAGAAACCGCCTTCTTCACCGTTGGCCCCACAGTGTGGCGTAGTGGTTAAGAGCAGCAGACTCGTAATCTGGTGAACCGGGTTCGCTTCCCCGCTCCTCCACATGCAGCTGCTGGGTGACCTTGGGCCAGTCACACTTCTCTGAAGTCTCTCAGCCCCACTCACCTCACAGAGTGTTTGTTGTGGGGGAGGAAGGGAAAGGAGAATGTTAGCCGCTTTGAGACTCCTTAGGGTAGTGATAAAGCGGGATATCAAATCCAAACTCTTCTGTTCATCCACTCAATCCACCTGAGGAAGTCCCTAATTAACCCAGTCGAAGCTGTTTCCAAGTTGTGGCAGCTGTCACATGCTGACAGCTTCTAGGAGCCAGAGGCGAGAGCTGAGTGCAGGGTGAGGATCAAAGGTGGGCAAACTACCCCAGAAGGAGCATGACGTGTCTGCACCAGAGGCACTACGCTTCCTCTAACACCCCACATATCCCATCCTTGCACTAGTGTTTACTGAACCGCACCAAAGTGCATTGATGTGCACTGTGTGGTTAACTCTTTAATAGTCAGCAGGGGGAGCTGTTGCTCTGCTCTGCTCTAAGAGACATGCCTTAGTGCATGGGTATGCAAACTAAGGCCCAGGGGCCGGATCCAGCCCAATCGTCTTCTAAATCCAGCCCGCAGACGGTCCGGGAATCAGCGTGTTTTTACATGAGTAGAATGTGTCCTTTTCTTTCAAATGCATCTCTGGGTTATTTGTGGGGCCTGCCTGGTGTTTTTACATGAGTAGAATGTGCGCTTTTATTTAAAATGTATCTGGGCCTAGGAATTCATTCATATTTCCCCCCCAAAATATAGTCTGGCCCCCCCCACAAGGTTTGAGGGAAAATGGACCGGCCCCCTGCTGAAAAAGTTTGCTGACCCCAAGCCACTCTTGGCAGGTGTGATTAATCAAACCACACACCCACATCTTTCAATACCTCTCATTTTTCCTGCGTGGTACCCAGGGGAGGGCAGTGCCCCTTGTCGCCTTTCTCAATACCTGAAAGCTGCCAACAGGACGAAGGCCGCAAGCAGAGCCGCGAACGAAAGGGAGTAGCCCACTGTGTACATCAGTCGAAACTGCTCCAGAATCCACAAATGTTTCTGGGGAGAAACAGAAGCACAGCTGGAATACACTTCAGCGGAAAAGGGCACCTCCATCGCAGGTTGCAAGTGACGCAGGAAAAACATCACTATTAATAGGCTTATCAGCAAAAGGTCTGGAAGGAAAGAGTGTTTAAAGTGTTGGTGCTGACCTTGAAAGCCCTAAACGGCCTCAAAGGCCCAGTATACCTGAAGGAGCATCTCCACCCCCATCGTTCTGACTGGACACTGAGGTTCAGCTCTGAGGGCCTTCTAGCAGTTCACTCACTGTGAGAAATGAGGTTACAGGGAACCAGGCATAGGGCCTTCTCGGCAGTGGCACCCGCCCTGTGGAACGCCCTCCCATCAGATTTCAAGGAAATAAACAACTACAGTCATACCTCGGGTTACAGACACTTCAGGTTGCAGTTTTTTTGGGTTACGGACCGCCGAAACCTGGAAGTACTAGAATGAGTTACTTCTGGGTTTCGGCGGTCGCGCATGCGCAGAAGCGCCGATTCGCAACCCACGCATGCACAGATGCGCAGCTGTGGGTTGCAGACGTGCATCCCGCATGGATCACGTTCGCAACCCGAGTGTCCACTGTATCTGGCTTTTAGAAGACATCTGAAGGCCGCCCTGTTTAGGGAAGTTTCCATGTTTGATGTGTTATTGTGTTTTTAATATCCTGTTGGAAGCTGCCCAGAGTGGCTGGGGAAACCCAGCCAGGTGGCCGGGGTATAAACAAACAAACAAACAAACAAATTATTATTATTATTATGGCAGACAAGGTTTCATCCACTGAGATTGCAGCACTTGCAGAGCCTCCCAGGGTCCCAATTTTCCAGGGACAGTCCCAGATTTTCAGAAGCAGCCCCAATTTCTGATTTGATCCTGGAATGCCCTGCTTTCCCTTAAAGGTAAAGGTAAAGGGGCCCCTGACTATTAGGTCCAGTCGTGGCCAACTCTGGGGTTGCGGTGCGGTGGACTGGATGATCCTTGAGGGTCCCTCCCCACACTACGGTTCTCTGATTCTGTCTGCCCTGAATCTTCACAGGGCGTCCACACGTTCTACGAGTGCTAAGAGGGAGAAAAACTTATTTCTATCCATTTTTCTCCATGCCATGCATCGTTTTATAAGCGCCTGTCGTATCACCTCTTGCTTTTTGTCTAAACTAAAGGTAAAGGTACCCCTGACCATTAGGTCCAGTTGCAAACGACTCTGGGGTTGCGGCGCTCATCTTGCTTTATTGGCCGAGGGAGCCGGCGTACAGCTTCCGGGTCATGTGGCCTGCATGACTAAGCCGCTTCTGGCCAACCAGAGCAGCACATGGAAACGCCATTTACCTTCCTGCCGGAGCGGTACCTATTTATCTACTTGCACTGGTGTGCTTTCGAACTGCTAGGTTGGCAGGAGCAGGGACCGAGCAACGGGAGCTCACCCTGTCGCGGGGATTCGAACCGCCGACCTTCTGATCGGCAAGTCCTAGGCTCTGTGGTTTAACCCACAGCGCCACCCGCGTCCTTTCCCTTAGGACATCCCTATTTTCATCGGAGGAATGTTGGAGGGTATGGAGTTATGCGACCCTCAAGCCAAGGAGATAAGTAACTATACAATCTTTAGAAGACATCTGAAGGCAGCCCTGTATAGGGAAGGATTTAATGTTTAACGTTTTATTATGATGGAAGCTACCCAGAGTGGCTGGGGCAACCCAGTCAAATGGGCAGGCCATTATTATTATTATTATTATTATTATTATTATTATTATTGACATCCCTATTTTCATCGGAGAAATATCAGAGGGTAGGCTTCTGCGTCCAAAAGGCCTCCTTAGGCTTCCTTGCCCAGAGTTACCTCCAATTTTGATGGCGAAATGTTTGGTTCTCAAAATCCTGATATGTGCCATTATTCATTTGCAAAAGGGAAAAAGATCCGTCCAGCGATTCAAGGCTTTTTAGCTAATTGAATATCTGCCTTTTCTCGGTGCAGCAGGTACATGGAAATAAGTTATTGTGTAAATCAAAACCTCAGTGCAGCTGCCTTTTTTTGAGGTGGGGATGAAAGTGGAAGATCACTGAGAGTTTAATGGATGAAAACTGATGCCTGTTAGAAGGAAAGGCATATTTAATTCCTTCTTTCCTCTTCTCCCAATTATCTACTATGGTGAATCACCAGACTCCCAAAAGAATTATATTTTCTACTGCAATCTGGAAAAAAACCAGTGGATTAAATCTTGCCCGCATCACGCATAATTTGATAACTTTAGTCGATTAATGTTTTTAAAGGCTTTAAAAAAATTAACACAGTTTTAAGGGTATAAAACAATCCCTTCCTCACCTCGTACAGGAGACAAGTGAACTCTCAAGTAATATATTATTATATTATATTATATTATATTATATTATATTATATTATATTATATTAATAATTTATTTGTACCCCGCCCATCTGGCTGGGTCTCCCCAGCCACCCTGGGCGGCTTCCAACAAAGTATTAAAATACAGTGGTCTGTTAAACATTAAAAGCTTCCCTAAACATTTATATTATATTATATTATATTATATTATATTATATTATATTATATTATATTATATTATATTATATTATATTTTATATTACACACACACACCAAAAGCATTAATCTGTCCGTATAACTCATCATCATCAAAATTCAAGTCCACAATATTCACAGCATCCAGAAAGTTTTGTACACTGGTAGGAGATATCTTTAGTTGAGTTTTTGTCGATTAATCTACTCGTGAGACGGATTACGGCTTGCAGCAGCCCTCAGCAGCAATGCTTTCCAAAGACTGAACATTTAAAGCACAAACGCATTAAATATGGATTAAGAATCCAGAGCGACTCTTATTAAGTAAGGTCTCTTCTCTCCCTCCTCCCTGCTTTTGTGGAGTTTGTGGTGCAATGAGTTTACCTGGAAGGGGAGCTCTTTGTTGACGGCTTCGCACTGAGAGTGATCTCGCCATGGGTGCCCCGACTCATCCACCACCCACTGTCCATCTGGGCCGCATTTCTGGAACACAAAGCCACCTCGAACTGCAGAGGACGTTTTGGGGAAGGAGGGGGAAGCAGAAAGGATAAGGATGGGTTGATAATAATAATAAAAACACGAATAACATATATCCATGACAATACGATTCGATTTAATAGTTGTATTCCATTCTGCTGTGCTCAGAAGAATCATTGGTGCTGACCTTTAAAGCCCTAAGCGGCCTCAAAGGCCCAGTATACCTGAAGGAGCATCTCCACCCGGACACTGAGGTCCAGCGCCGAGGGCCTTCTGGCTGTTCCCTCCCTGCGAGAAGTGAAGCTACAGGGAACCAGGCAGAGAGGGCCTTCTCGGTGGTGGCGCCCGCCCCGTGGAACACCCTCCCACCAGATGCCAAGGAAATAAACATTAACAGTTGTACCTTGGTTCTCGAACGCCTTGGTACTTGTACGCTTTGGCTCTCGAAAGCTGAAAACTTGGAAGTGTTCTGGTTTTCGAACGTTCTTTGGAAGCCAAATGTCTGACACGGCTTCCGATGGAGTGCAGGAAGCTCCTGCAGGCAATCAGAAGTCGCGCCTTGGTTTTTGAACAGTTCCGGGAGTCGAACAGACTCCCAGAACGCATTAAGTTCGACAACCAAGGTACCACTGTATCTGACTTTTAGAAGACATCTGAAGGCAACCCTGTTTTTAATGTTCAATGTTTCATCGTGTTTTTAATATTCCGTTGGGAGCCGCCCAGAGCTGGCCAGGGTATGTATGTACAGTCATACCTCGTGTTGCATTTGCTTCAGGTTGAGTGTTTTCAGGTTGCGTTCTGCGGCGACCCGGAAGTACCGGAAAGGGTTACTTCTGGGTTTTGCCGCTTGTGCATGCGCAGACACTCAAAATGACGTCACGGACATGCGCAGAAGCGGCGAATTGCGACCCGTGCACGCGCAGACGCGGGTTGCGTTCTGCTCAGGTTGCGAACGGGGCTCCGGAACAGATCACGTTTGCAATCAGAGGTACCAATGTATGTATGTATGTATGTATGTATGTATGTATGTAAAAGGTAAAGGGACCCCTGACCATTAGGTCCAGTCGTGACCGACTCTGAGGTTGCGGCGCTCATCTTGCTTTATTGGCCGAGGGAGCCAGTGTACAGCTTCCGGGTCAGGTGGCCAGCATGACTAAACCGCTTCTGGTGAATCAGAGCAGCACATGGAAACGCCGTTTACCTTCCTGCTGGAGTGGTACCTATTTATCTACTTGCACTTTGACATGCTTTCGAACTGCTAGGTTGGCAGGAGCAGGGATCGAGCAATGGGAGCTCACCCCATCGCAGGGATTTGAACCGCCAACCTTCTCATCGGCAAGTCCTAGGCTCTGTGGTTTAACCCACAGCGCCACCCGTGTATGTATGTATAAATAAATAAATGTCATTATTATTATTATTACTATTATTATTATATAGAATCACAGAATTGTAGAGTTGGAAGGGAACCCGAGAGTCATCTAGTCCAACCCCCTGCAATGCAGGACCAACAGTTCTGAAATTTAGCAAACATTGCAACCAGTCTGGGGGCCCAGACTTAAGAGATGGACGAACTATACTGGGTGCCTTTGCATCTATACTTACCTTGCTGGTGCCAAGGCAGGTACCAGGGGCAAGGGACCTTGGCAGAGGTGTTCGGAAGAGCATCGCCCCAGCAGGCGTACATGTCAAATGTACGGTTGCACACCAGACCTGGAAGAAGGGCAGAGCAAAGGGGGAAGAGGTCGTTCAATGCTTTTGAAATGGGGATTAAGCCAAGGGACAGAGCAACAGCAGGAAGAAGGGGATCTCTCACTGACTGCTGGCCATGGTGGCGTAATAGAGCTTCTGCCTTCAGGAGAAGTCTACCTTCCGAATGGCAGTTGTTGGGGGTGCCATGTTTGTGAACATTAACAAGTAAATCAGGTATCGGAAAACACCCGACCTATATACTTTAAAATGTGTTTGTGAAAGGGGGTGGGGGGAAAGGGGTTTTTGTTTGTTTGTTTCTTGTTGTTTTTGGTTTATATTATGTATTTCATGTTTTTTTTATCTTGTGTTTTCGTGTCGCAAACCGCCCCGGAATCGACGGATGAAGGGCATTAACACAAATTTAGTAAGCAAACGAAACAGAAATAAATAAAGCGAAATGCCATTCTCGGGAAAAATTGGACAAATTTCGGCGTACCGGCCAAACAGCCTTGCACAAGAAATTTCATTTGCAAGATACCGCTTATTGGTGACATTTGAAAATTATGGATTCCTGGAGAAGGCAGGATGAAAGAGAGGGAGGGAGGGTGGGGTGGGCAAGTTGGGACATTTCAAACCTGTGCCTCCTTTTGGAGATTCAATCACATGCTCTCAAATTCAGGTTGCATGATCAGATTGTATCTCATCAGCTTTGATCACGCAACACCTTTCATCAGCAACCTTGGGCAACAGATCCTTTTCTTCCCACCTACATCAGACTTTTTGCAATACGGAAAGTGAATGAACTGGAAAGCGTGGGTATGATAGGAATTTTGAGGTCTTAGATATATGTTAAATGTTCACAAGTGTACCAACCAAGCACATACATAGATCAGCACAGGAAGGCCGACCTGGAACCATTTTGATTCCCAAACTGACCAAATGTTTTCTATGCAAGGTCAAAATGGGAAACCTCCCCATTGTCTCTTTCCTCACAAATCCTGTTTTAAGGGCACATTTAAGAAATGAATAAGGTGTAAGCCTGTGACCTGGCCCAGGAAATAAGTATTTTACCACTACAAAAGACTGGCCAGGCTACCCAGGAAATCCAATCAAGTAACCTGCCAGACAGGAGATAAACAACGACAGGAGAAAAACAACATTCAAATTTCTGTTTAGACCACCTTTTTTGTGATGTAGGTGTGATGTATCTGAGGGGTGGTCTTAGGTTACACCCCTTCTGTGATGTATGTATGATGTTTCTGGGGGTGGCCTTGATCTACAGGGTGGCAATTTCAAAAGTCTTTATAAGGCCTTGCGCGCCATTTTTCTGGGTTCCTCCTCCTCTCCTGTGTGTGAAGGAGGCACCCTGTTGCAACAGATCAATAAAGATCAGGCTTACTAGCTGCTTTGCTTCTCAATATTCTCTGGTTGGTCTCTGTTATTCTCTCCTACCAATAGGGAACCTATGTAAGGACTCTATATGGGCTCTTGGATACCCCATAAGGGAAAAGGGCAATTTTTGTTTACAACATGGGACGGCAATTACTTGACACAACGCTGTTTAACCTCTCTGCAGACACTGTGCAAACAAACCAGGATGGATGCTCAATAAAGCAGTGGTTTGGAAGAGACCTCATTATACTGCTAAGAGCATAAGAAAAACTCCGTTGCATCAGGCCAAAGGGGAAGAAGATCCCTTGCTCTCTCTCACTTGTGGGACGTGGGTCCTCCAGGATCTTGCGATAGCAGGCGGCCTGGTACTGCTGCCACGCCTCAAACATCTCTTTGGCCGAGTTTTCGGTGGAGCTTGCCTGCGACAGGGGAGAGAAATGAAACAAAAATAACAGGTACATATAAGCTAGTCACCTAAAAGTTTTGTCCAGAGTACATAAAGGTAAAGGGACCCCTGGCCATTAGGTCCAGTCGTGGCCGACTCTGGGGTTGCGGCGCTCATCTCGCTTTATTGGCCGAGGGAGCCGGCGTACAGCTTCCGGGTCATGTGGCCAGCAGGACTAAGCCGCTTCTGGCGAACCAGAGCAGCGCACGGAAACGCTGTTTACCTTCCCGCCGGAGCGGTACCTATTTATCTACTTGCACTTTGACGTGCTTTCGAACTGCTAGGTTGGCAGGAGCAGGGACTGAGCAACAGGAGCTCACCCCGTCGTGGGGGTTCAAACCGCCAACCTTCTGATCGACAAGTCCTAGGCTCTGTGGTTTAACCCACAGCGCCACCCGCGTCCCTTGCCAGAGTACATAGGTCTTCCCAAAGTTGCCTGATGTTTACTTAGGTTAGTTGCCCACTTCTTCTTCTTCTTCTTCTTCTTCTTCTTCTTCTTCTTATTACAGTGGTGCCCCGCAAGACGAATGCCTCGCAAGACGGAAAAACCGCTAGACGAAAGGGTTTTCCGTTTTGAAGTTGCTTCGCAGGACGAATTCCCCTATGGGCTTGCTCGCAAGACGAAAATACCTTACGAGTCTTGAGTTTTTTTTCGCTTTCCCCCTTTATCTAATCTGCTAAGCCTTTAATAGCCTTTAATAGCCTTTTAGCAGCTAATCCCCTAAGCCTTTAAGCCTTTAATAGCCGCTAAACCGCTAGTCAGCGCTAATAGCGCTAATCCGTCAATGGGCTTGCTTCGCAAGACGAAAAAACCGCTAGACGAAGACTCTCGTGGAACGGATTAATTTCGTCTTGCGAGGCACCACTGTATTATTATTATTATTGCAAGCCTGAGCCTTGAAATTGCAGCCTGGTCCACAGAAAGCAAGCAGAGAAAGCAATTTCTATCACTTCACACCAAAGAAAAAGCTTTGCTTGCAGTTTTGTGTGTCAGGCCCCTGAACAACGGCACAGCAGCAGCCCACAAGTTCATTCCCCCACCTTGCCCCTTTCATTAAAAAAATAAATAAACGGAGGGCTTTGGGGCAGGGTGGGCTGCCTGTGCTTTATTAGGTTTCGTTTGTTTGTTTTACCTGTTGTTTGGGTTGATTCTGAACATGGCCCAGTGCCCACCTTCCTGCTGTGATTTGGGTGTTTCTGTGGTGCCCATGTCTGTTTCTTAGATTCCCAAAGGTGCTCCAAGGCCCAAAAGAATTAGGCAACCCTCCCAACTTTACGACCAGTGCCGGATTTACGTATAAGCAAAACAAGCTATAGCTTAGGGCCCCACTCTCTTGGGGGCCCTCAAAAGATTTAAAGGAAAAGAACACATCTGGATGTACATTTCCAAAATATAAGATAAAAAACAAATAAAATAAAACCTACATACAGCAACGGTGTTTTGTGTTATGTAGGCTCCTATGGTGTAAGTAATGGGCACCACCTGCTAGCCTGCTCCCTTAAATATCACGGGTTTGCTCCTTTCTGTATATAGGGTGCCTACATTCTGCATAGACTGGCTGCATGGCAACATGCGCAAATGGCTTGAGATACCTATTAGGCCCATAAATTACCATATACAGTGGTACCTCTGGTTGCGAACGGGATCCGTTCCGGAGGCCCGTTCGCAACATGAATAGAACGCAACCCATGTTTGCGTGTCTGCGCATGCGCAGGTCGCAATTCGCCGCTTCTGAGCATGCGCGTGAAGTCATTTTATGTGCATGCGTGAGCAGCGAAACCCGGAAGTAACCCTTTCCGGTCCTTCCGGGTCGCCGCGGGATGCAACCTGAAAAAACATATCATGAAGCAAATGTAACATGAGGTACGACTGTACTGTAGCATATATTCAACACAAAAAACAGCGGCCATTTGTTGTTGACAAAGGACAGCTGGACATATAAAGGGCCCCAAGGAAGCCAGACTATCCTCCACCAAGGCCAGGGTCTTTTCAGTGATGGCTCCGACCTGGTGGAATGCTCTGTCCCATGAGACTAGGGCCCTGCAGGACTTGATCTCCTTCCGCACGGCCTGTAAGACAGAGCTATTCTGCCTGGCCTTCAGTTTGAATTAGCCTGATCCTCTAGTCCCTTTTCCCCTTTCATCTTCTATGAAGAAACTCTTTCTGGGACCCCATATTTAAATTCTTCCCTGGTCTCCTTGCTGGCCCTAGTAGGACCAACTTGGCCAGTTAGCCCTGGTGATCATTTGATGTCTACTGAGTGGGTTTTTTGTTATGTCCCCCCCCCCCGAAAATGACCCCTGAATTTTAGAATTTTATTGATATTGATGCTGCATTTTCTGTTGTATTTTATGCTGTTTTATGCTGTTTTTCAGTCACATTTTCATCGATGTTTTATATTTGCTGTGAGCCGCCCTGAGCCCGGTTTTTAAACCGGGAAGGGCAGGGTATAAATAACAATTTATTACTATTATTTATTATAACCTTCAGTAACTTAGGGCCTCATCAAACCTAAATCTGGCCCTGTCTACAATACAGTCATACCTCGGGTTACAGACGCTTCAGGTTGCGTTTTTTTGGGTTACGGACCCGCCGAAACCCAGAAGTACCGGAACAGGGTTACTTCTGGGTTTTGGCGGTCGCGCATGTGCAAAAGTGCTAAATCGCGCTTTGCGCATGCGCAGAAGCACCGAATCACAACCTGCGCATGTGCAGACGCGCCGCTGCGGGTTGCGAATGTGCATCCCCGCATGGATCATGTTCGCAACCCGAGTGTCCGCTGTTTTAGGATGCGGATGAGACCCTGCTCCTCGCCCCCAGCCTCACCTCCGCGTTCTTTTGGAGCAAGACAAGCAAAAGGAAGAGATCAAGGGATCCCTGCATGCTTCGGTTGCGGAACAGACACGAGGCCAGTGAGGGGCATCCATCTCAGGGTCCTCTGGCTAGCAGCCTTCTGCAGTGGGAGTCCGCCTCCATCCACACTGGACCCACGTTCGGTGGAAGAGTTCTGGGGGTGAAATAATAATAATAATAATAACAATAATAATAATTTATTATTTATACTCCGCCCATCTGGCTGGGTTTCCCCAGCCACTCTGGGCTGCTTTCAACAGAAAATTAAAATACAATAGTCTATTAAACATTTTACATTCTTCTCTGTAGAACTACTATGCTCCATATTCCTTGTACGGGTTTGTTACCTGAAATTAAAAATCAATCAAAAAAAACATTTAAAAGAAAAAAACACAGAGCCTTTCCAGAGAGCTCCGATTTCTAGATGAGATTCAACCGCATACTGGCAAATTTGGGTTGCTCAATCGACATTGACATGGGGCTCTTGCTCAACAAACAGACTCCCCCCCAAATATTTTTTGTGGCGAGGTAAGCAACAAGCACCCCTTCATGGATCAATGCCTTGCTGTGGCGAAGGGGCTTGAATAACTCAGAGAAGCTATGAGCTATGCCGAGCAGTGCACCCAAGATGAACAGGTCATAGTGGAGAGTTTTGACCAAACGTGATCCACCTGGAGCAGGAACCGGCAAGCCACTCCAGTATCCCTGCCAAGAAAACTCCATGGACAAAGACAACAGGCATATAAAAGTTATGACGCTGGAAGATGAGCCCCTCAGGTCGGAAGGCGTCCAACATGCTACTGAGGAAGAGCGGAGGACAAGTACAAGTAGATTCAGAGCTGATGAAGCGGCTGATCCTGAAGCTGAGGCTCCAGTACTTTGGCCACCTCATGAGAAGAAAAGACTCCCTGGAAAAGACCCTGATGTTGGGAAAGATGGAGGGCACAAGGAGAAGGGGACGACGGAGGACGAGATGGTTGGACAGTGTTCTCGAAGTTGTGAACATGAGTTTGACCAAACTGCAGGAGGCAGTGGAAGACAGGAGTGCCTGGCGTGCTCTGGTCCAGGGGGTCACGAAGAGTCGGACACGACTAAACGACTAAACAACAACACAACAAGCGACAAGGAAATGCACCAGAAAGTGTGGGACGATGCTTGCTTGACTCAGCTTTGTCTAACCTCCCTGCAAACAGATCAGAATAAATAGGTCACCTGGAATTTAACCGATACTCCCCTGTTGGGCAGAGGTTTATGCAGGCTGCTGTTGCCAGTTGCCAAAATCTGGGCTCCTTTTGGGTCCTTTTCTGCAGCTAATCCATTTCCCTCCAGCCCGAGTCCCCTTGCCCCTATATTCCTAGGCCACAGAGGGCTGCTCAAAACTAAGTGCCCTAAAAATAGGCCCTAGACTTCTCATTCTGTCAGCTGCTGTTCCGGAAGGTTCTCACGGGAACCCGCCAAGAGTGTGTGCTTAGCGAGATGCCTTGAGAGACCGACTCCCTCCAACCAGTTGCCCTCCGCCAGCTTTGGCTGTGATCCCAAGCAGCCAAAAGCAAGCTGGTGAATGCTGCTCTAACCACTGGGCCGCACTCCCCTTCTCCTCCCTCCTTTCGCTTTTCAGGATGCGAAAGAAGCCCTCGGGCATTTATCCACAAGCTGTCAGTGTCTCGCTTCCGCGCTCAGCGATGTTTACTTGGCTAAAAGCTGTCAGGAGGAAGTAAAAATTGGAAATCGATGCTCACTTCTCCGCAATGCACTTTAAAAACAGGAGGGGGCCGGCCTCATCCGGCTGGGCACATTAGGGGCACAGCGGCAGGACAGAGGAAACAGGGAAGGGACAACAAGGCAGGTCATGTGTCGTCTTCTCCCCGTAATTCCAAACAGGGCAGGTCCAAGACATTTTGCTCCCTGAAGCAAAGGGCAAGTTGGCATTCCAGTTTCATGTACAGAAGCTGATTTGACCGGAAACTGAATCTTATTTGGGCACCAATATCAGAGCCATGATCACTGCAGATGGTGACAGCAGCCACGAAATTAAAAGATGCCTGTTTCTTGGGAGAAAAGCAATGACAAACCTAGATAACATCTTAAAAAGCAGAGACATCACCTTGCCAACAAAGGTCCGTATAGTTAAAGCCATGGTTTTCCCAGTAGTGATGTATGGAAGTGAGAGCTGGACCATAAAGAAGGCTGATCGTCGAAGAATGGATGCTTTTGAATTCTGGTGCTGGAGGAGACTCTTGAGAGTCCCATGGACTGCAAGAAGATCAAACCTCTCCATTCTTAAGGAAGTCAGCCCTGAGTGCTCACTGGAAGGACAGATCCTGAAGCTGAGGCTCCAAGACTTTGGCCACCTCATGAGAAGAGAAGACTCCCTGGAAAAGACCCTGATGCTGGGAAAGATGGAGGGCACAAGGAGAAGGGAACGACAGAGGACGAGATGGTTGGACAGTGTTCTCGAAGCTACCAGCATGAGTTTGACCAAACTGTGGGAGGCAGTGGAAGACAGGAGTGCCTGGCGTGTTCTGGTCCAGGGTGTCACGAAGAGTCGGGCACAACTAAACAACAACCAGAGCTGTGCCATCTTCCAATGCCTCACTGCTTGTCCCTGGCACCTGCGGAGACTGCCTTACTCTCATAACCTCCAAGTGTCCTGATTTCCCAGGGACAGTCCCGCAATTACAGAAGCCATGCCAATTTCTGATTTGACCCCAGAATGTCCCGCTTTTCCTTTTTTTGCTCCCCTCCATGTCTTGGAGAACAAGTAGTGTGTCTGTGCGTAGGTGTTAAAAAAAATGGGAGTCCTGTTTATCCTGAAAACAAAACACCTGTGGCAAATGAAGGAAATTGTGAGGATGGCCCTTCCTGTAATTTTGAAGGAAAATGTCACCAATACACATTAAATGATTTCACTGCAATGTTTCAGCAGCCAGCCATTTCTTAGGAAACGTGTGGACTGTTTATTATTGTCAATGGAGCCTTTTACTGCAGTCCTAAGCAATTTTACTCAGAAGTAAGTCCCACTAGGTTCAACAAGATTTTACTCTCTGGTATGGTCCTGATCATTCCCTCAGTTGTTGTTTCTTCTTCTTCTTCTTCTTCTTCTTCTTCTTCTTCTTCTTCTTCTTCTTCTTCTTCCCCCCCACCTTTTTCATGACAGGGACTCAAGGCAGCTTACCCCTAAAATTTTATTTCATTCCATTTATCTGTTGACGGTCTTGTACACGTTCCCTTCCTTTACACATTTTTTTTCTTTACAACGACCCTGTGAGGTAGGCTTGGCAGAGAGAGCTGCAATTGGTGACTGATGTCGATGTGTCATAGCTGTAACATTTGCCTTTTTTTAAGGGAAATTCCCTTATTCCGAATAATAATAATAATAATTTTTATTTATACCCCGCCCTCCCCAGCCAAGGCCGGGCTCAGGGCGACTAACAAGCAATAATAAAAACAAGTTGAATGAATACAACTTAAAAACAAAATTAAAATACAACAGTTAAAATATTGAAACATTAAAATATGAAAAGGCAGCCTCATCACAGGAGGAGAAAGGAAAAAGAAAAAAGGAATAGGATTCCTCGCAAGAAAAGAGAAAAGTTGACAGCTATGGGATGTGAGCATTTGACATCTATGTGTGCAGGAGATGAAAAGGCGGGAGAAACTTCCGGATGCAGAGATGTCACACCCTGTCTTCCTCTGATGAAAATAGGGTCATTCTATTCTCCATCAGGAAACTTTGGGAGTCAAACTCTCTTGTCCCTGTTAGGGAAAAATCTAGGTGCGAGGCTGCTCAGTCACCCAGCTGGTTGGGCAGAGCCCGTGGGTCCCTGTGGAATAAAGGAAGGAGTCCAGCCAATGGAGCAAATAGCTGTAGACCAAAGTTTATTGCGCAATAGGTTCAAAGAGCAAATTTGTTTTTGTTTTTTTAAAATAATTTTTATTAAGGTTTCAGTAAAAAGTTAAGCAGAAAAACATAAAAAAGAAATACACAAATACACAGTACATAATCCAAAAAGGGGGGAAAGAAACAGAGAACAAAAAACAAAAAAAGAAACAGAACAATTAAAAACAATATCACCTTTTCATTTCTGTTTTTAAATTTACTTATTTTCTGGACCTCCTCATACATCCCTCTTTTGTATTCCAGTCCAAATTGTTTGTCCAGCAATTTCTTTTCCACTTTTTTAATCCCAATCTTTAATCTTAATGTAATATAGCATTAAAAATTTTACCTCTTAAGCACCAAATTTCCATTTCCTTAAACTTCTTTAATCCTAATCTTTAGTCTTAGTCTATCTATAACTTTAAATCCTGTACAGCTGGAAACCACTTATTTTCAATCCAACATCACTCTAACATTCTTTAATTTTGCAGTGTTTCTGTAGATAATCTTTGAATTTCTTCCAATCTTCCTCCACCGCCTCTTCTCCCTGGTCTCGGATTCTGCCAGTCATTTCCGCCAATTCCATATAGTCCATCAGTTTCATCTGCCATTCCTCCAGCGTGGGAAGTTCTTGTGTCTTCCAATACTTTGCGATGAGTATTCTTGCTGCTGTTGTTGCATACATAAAGAAAGTTCTATCCTTTTTAATACCATTTGGCCGACTATGCCCAGGAGAAAGGCCTCTGGTTTCTTAGGGAAGGTATATTTGAATACCTTTTTTAATTCATTATATATCATTTCCCAGAAAGCCTTAATCTTTGGGCACGTCCACCAAAGGTGAAAAAATGTACCTCCAGTTTCTTTACATTTCCAACATTTATTATCAGGCCAAAGAGCAAATTTGAACCCCGAGGATGGGGTGACAAAGACTTTTAAAACTTTCCCACCACATCCCAGAATACAGTTCGAAGGGGAGGGGTTAACCTTGGCAAACAGGTCCAGACAAGTCCTTGGTACAAGATTAGCATAAGCAGACATGGCAGGGCAAGACTCGGGTATAAGACGAGCATAGGCAAATATGTCTCAAGTACCCACCACCCAAAAGTACAATAGAAGTTCCTTTGCATGTCTGGAGCCTGAGGCGACTCAG